TTGAATGTGTTAGACAATCATTGCATTGACATGGCAAAGTTCAAACCAAGTATATATGGGGATTCAATCTCTCATTGCTCAATTTTCCTCCTGGTGCCCAGTGTGGGTGCCAGCGGCGTAAAGTTCGTCACCACCAAGTCGCGCCTGCGTTCGCCTAGTACCCACATACCGTCAGACGTCCCTAACATGGCGCAGTCTTGGGGCAGGACAATGGTTAGCCAGTGGGCACGATGCCTTTTGGAATTTTGAGTGAGTACTATTAGTCACTTACAGTTAAACAAAATAATCCTTCTACTATCTATCGTCTTCGCATTTTACACGAAATAATTAGTTCTAAGTTAGCGTTATTTGCAATAAAACTCAACTTCAAAATATGACAATTGAGAAATGTAATAAACAGCCGTATATACAATTGAAAAACGTAATTGATTTTATATCTAAACAAGACACTCTTGCACAATGTTGATCACAATGGGGGGTACTGCAGCAGTCGAAACGGCTACTTGGGGTGATGGCGTAGATACTTCGCGTGACATCTCAGATTGCGCGGGCGCTGATGACATCTTCCGCTTTGGCTTCAACGCTGCCTGGGCTAGCAACAAGTCGTGGTACCCGGACGTAATAAACTTCCCACTCACAGTCAATGTCTTCCGCTTTATGTTTTTCGGCTTCTTGGGGGGTGGCAGCAGGAGAGTCTCATCGCGGACAATGGCTTGACGTTTGATCCACGTTTCGTTGACACCAATCTCAGGAACGTCAGATGGTTTGAAAAGTGACAGGCGAAACATCATCTTGTCAAGGGACAGTTGGCAGAGTCCCGTACAAACGAAGCCATTCTTGATCGCTGATTGGCTCGTGGAGTTGGTCCACACGTCACACGCGATCGACACAGCTCGCTGCTTGCTGATGCTTATAACGTCAGTCCAGATGACATCAGAAACCGCCTGTCGAATCGCTTGCTTGAACGGCCGAAAAACCGTTACATCCAGTGGCTGGAAAAGGTGGGTCGAGTTTGCGGGCAAAAACTGTAGGAGAATGTCCAAGGCTTTGGCTTCGTCGTATACGTACTCGGAGAAGTGCGACGAGTAGCCGTCCAAAATAAGCAGCACTGGACGCTGCACGGTGGAGGGAATGTTGTCGTTGAGCATCGAGAGCCACTTGCGACAAATGTACGAATTCGTCCACCCCTTCTCAGAAGTTGTAACGGCAGCGCCAGGGATCGTAAGGCTGTCACATGTATCGGTAGATACACGGTCTGCAGGCAGCACAAAGAGCGGCGGTATCTTGGCCCCATCAGCAGCCACACATGCGACAAGCATGACGTGGGAAGCGGCAGATGACTCCTCGGCGTAAACAGCGTTTGTCGTACGGTGGACCACAACCTGCCTAGCTGTCTTCGAGGGCGAGAAGCTTGTTTCGTCCATGTTGAAAATTCGGCTTGGGTCCATGTTTACCATTGACATGGAGTGTACGAGCTCGTGAAAGAATTCGACGACAGTATCTTTATCGACACCGTTTCGGGTCTTACTGAGCACTTGAGCCGTTGCGATCTTGATTTGAGGGTGTCGCTTGAGGAATCTTGTATACCATCCGGTCGTCAGTTTTGGGGATTGCATGTCTTGGACCACGGAGACCATTTCGGTGGTCTTATCAGTTATTTCTCGACATCCAACTGGATGCCCATCACGCTCCATGGCAAGTATCGAGTGTAGAGGTAGGCAGCTTTGCGTACGAGTTTGAAAGAGGCTTTTAACATTAAAAATAAAAACAGAGGAAGTATATCAATGTTAAAGTCAGTGTGCCCGTTGTCAAAGGGAATATATTGATATTTTACTACCAATACTACTATCTCATTCCAGTCCTGGCGTCTTGGAGCTAGAGTGGACTACAACTTTGTGGGCTTGAGCAGAGCGGGGGATGGACGCGGGTCGTCTGATCCGCGATCGTGTGCTAGAGATCGAGGGGCTGGTCATTCGGAGGGTCTCAATACCGTGTTGGAAGTCGGAGTCGAATTTTCTTGTACCCAATCAGAAGCATCAAATCTGATTTTGATGCTTTTGATTGGTCGCAATGGTGCGGTAGCCTGCCGAGCATCGGACCAAACAGCGAGCTAGGGCGGAGGGCGACGTGACGTGGAAGATCGAGGTCGAAGTTGCCCGCGAAAGTCAGTGTGCCCGAGCGGTCCAAGGGGGTAGACTCAAGTTCTACTGTGTTCGCACTCGTGGGTTCAAATCCCACCGCTGACATTTATTTTCCCGTTCACTTACTAGTATCTTTTACACTAACAACTCACAGTCAACCACAGTTTGCTCCATATTATAGTTACTATTAGTAGTACACCTTCTATTAACGTACAGCTGGTCATTCCGGACAGTTAGAATGCTTAGGGCGTCGATGCGCATGGCCCACACGTTCTCGGCCAATGAAAACGCATCGTCCACGATGGTCTTGACCAAAATGGCGGTGCGAGCTGACCTCCTTGGCTCAAAAACAATGGCCCAGTTGATCGAAGAATGCTGGTTTGGGGCCACTGATAACGTGGCAGCACGGCTGCTCGTGGCCAGAGACATCCATCCGGTCGCCTACCGTGCAGCGAGAACTGTTTCCCATCCACCTGAAGAACGCCCTCCACAGCTTTCCAAACACTAACAACAGATAGCGCCACCAGATTTCGGAATGAATATGGTCAAACTTGTCCACAGTGGCGAGTCCGTTGAACCGACGTATACACGTAGGAACAGTTTACTCTAACTGTCAACAGGATTTTGGGATAAAAGGCACTGCGAAGTACTGTACTACAGTAGTTTTTAGAAATGGATACGATACTGTAGTAACGTTATAGTTGGTTCCACTTTGGGCAGTAAAAGCTTTTCGAACCGCAGAGTTGTTGAAATGTGTAAATAGTAATTGTCAAAACTTGGTTTGACAGTTTGATGCGATGGTCTAATAAAAGCCTCTTTGGTCTAGTGGTATGATTCCTGCTTAGGGTGCAGGAGGTCCCGATTTCGATCATCGGAAGAGGCCATCTTTTTGTGTTTTTCCCTTTTCATTCTCAAAATTAACTGTTAAACGAGGCAGGAGATTACTACTGTAGTATGAAAAACGAACGATGCAATATATTTGAATTCGACGATAATTTCGTTGATCAAGTCCCTCAAAGCCGACGAAATCATCGTCGAATTCGAGTATACTATAGTATGTACAGTAGTGTAGGCGTTGTTTCTTTTTCATAAACTTCAGCCTACATTGTACCGGGTACTACATATACGTACTGTATATATATATAGTTAGTTTTGAAAAAACACAAAAAAGATGGCCTCTTCCGATGATCGAAATCGGGACCTCCTGCACCCTAAGCAGGAATCATACCACTAGACCAAAGAGGCTTTCTTGTTGGCCCCGTTGAATTAGTCATTCAATGATAATGCTTGGTTTGGACCATCAAAATTCACAGTCAAATACCAGTAACGTTAACAGTAAAACTACAACACTCCAACGAGTTAAACATACCACGCCGTGGAAAGCGCCATGATGATGGATCTGGAACCCTTCCGCCAACTTTTTCAGCACTTGCAACACGCATTGCTTGACAGAAATTTCGCCGCCGACTTGGGGACCAGTTAAAGTCGTTTACGACCACCCAGTCCGACGACCCGCCACTGCTCGGATGACGTGCGCGTCCCCAAACGATCCGTCGACGCTTTCAAACACATGCGACCCTATCGAGTTATGTTTTTCTCATGAACTTGTTGCAATCTCGATGGGGACTGTGAGATTTATCGTCGGTCGACACACAATTTTCCAGTTTGCCAGCCTTTAGTAAAAGTCATAGCTGTCCAAACCAGTGGCTGACAAGTACCGGTACGTCGCTCTCCGCTACCTAACTGTAGATAAGTCTCACATTTAATCTCGATATGCCTCTGTGGATACCTAATTGAGCAATGGGTTCGGCCATCCCCACGAGCTCCCGCGAACACGACGACATCAGAGTCGGATCTCTCGTCATACTGTATCAACATATCTACGCAGCTACAGTACAGCCGTAGCATGGCCACTTCGTCGCGCTGATACTCACTAATACTACGTAGTATATACTTCCGTGCTAATCCACCTACCTGACTCCAACATCCTTCGTACGGTAATCCAACAGAGATGACGTGGCATCACCAAAGACCACAACGAACTGAAGTTGCAGTCCGAAAATATCCGGGCACATTATCCGGAAGTGTTGTTGTCGAGACTCAAAACTGCAATACTGATGGTGCGCCACCTTGCTAAATGGGATGCGCCGACGTTTCCGTGGTCGACGGTGGCGTTAAAGGTGCTCCATGCTCTGTCTCCATCGTCGCAGTCCTTCCGTCCATGCCAAGAGGCAGCCGTGAACTTGGCTCAAAGCGGCTTTAGCCTGTTCCTGCATCTACCCACTGGGGCCGGGAAAAGTGTGTGCTTCCAGCTCCCGTCGCTGCTGCAACAACGCTTGAACAAAGTCACGCTAGTTGTGAGTCCTCTTCGTTCGCTCCTCGCCGACCAGAAGCAGCATCTCACGCGCCTCGGCCTCGCCCACCGCGCCATCTTCCTCTCTCCCGGCAACGTGCCCGGGCCGAACTTGTCCAATGACATCGCTCTCGTGTACGCCACCCCCGAGCTTCTTCTGCAGAATTCCAGCGCTGTGAGACTCCTCGCCGACCTCGCGGCCACCGATCGGCTCGCGCGGGTCGTCTTGGACGAAGCGCATTGCGTCCTCGAGTGGGGCAACTCATTCCGCCCGACGTACCTCGAGTTCGCCAAACACTGCCGTCAACGGCTGCCCCACCTGCCCGTGACGTTTGTGACCGCTACCGCGTCGCCCGAGATCGTGTCCAGCACCGCCAACCTCTTTGGGCTGCAGCTGGCCCCACTCCCAGACACACACACCGACCATCATCCAATCGGCGACACGAACGCATCCACTCTCGTCGTCCTGCAACACATGCTGGATCGACCGAACCTCTGTCTGCAGGTCCTTCCCAAGACCAAATCAGTCTTGGCCAACATGGCCTCCCTTCTTAAAGCCAGGGAACCCGCCATCGTGTACGTCCTCTCCCAAAAGGACGCGGAAGCTGTTGCCGCCGGTCTCATGGCATTTGGTATCCAAGCGCAGCCATATCATGCTGGTACACATGTCATGTCGAATGTGATGTTGAAACATACAGAAATATTAATATATATTCTTTTATGTCGTCCCATGCTAAATATGCAAAAAACTGGCTTCACAATATATATTGTAGGTTTGTCGGATCCAGCTCGAAAACGCGCCCAACAGCTCTGGACCAGCGGCAAAATCTCTGTGATCTGCGCCACCGTGGCGTTTGGGGTAAAGTTGTATCTCGTCCACTTTACCGTTCACTGACATGGCATTCCCTTTACCGTTCACTGATATGAACATGGTTGAATATGTATGTAGATGGGAATCGACCGCGCCGACGTCCGCCACGTCATCCACCATTCGCTGCCCATGTCCCTTTCGGCGTACATGCAACAAATTGTACGTCCAGTGCGCCAGTACTTTTCCCCATGTTTTTCTCCACCTTTTGACCCGAATCCATTGCTCTTGTAGGGTCGAGCAGGTGCAACTTCCGACATGGCACCGTTCACTGTACCGTATACTGAATTCAAAATGATACCTTCATGTAGGCCGCGACGGACTGCCGGCCACGTGCACGTTGTTCTACGCTGGGGGGGATCGCGGCCGCGCGGCGTTTGTGATGAGCGGCGGCGACGGCTTTCTGGACGCGTCGGCGTCGCATGGCATGCGGGATGTGGTGGAGATGGTCACATCGATGGACTGCCGCCGTCGGATCTTGCATTCGCATTTTGGCAACGACATGGCCACATTGAGCGACGAAGAAGGGTGCTGTCGCAACTGCAACTGCGGCGAATCCGTGGTAGATGAAGACGAGGAAGCCACGAGAAGTGAGCGGCGCGCCGCCATGACGGCCAAACGTCCATCTAAGAACCTGGACGTCGAGTGGTTGTACCAGAGGTTGCTGCAAGACGGGCGGCGGCGGCGGGGTGGAGGGGGTGGCAAGGCCAATGTATTGTCTAGGAAAACGATCGAGGTGTGTAGTGCTCTGTGTTGAACCTAGGCAAAGTATGTATGTATACTAAGGGACGACGTAGCGGATCCTGGCGTCCCCGCCACCGTCGTCGGTGGAAGAGCTCGCGGCGATGCGCGGAGTGGGGCCAGACCGCGCGGAAGCATCGTTCTCCATGCTGGTTGACCACATGCAAGCGAAAGGAAGACGAGAATGATGGGAAATCATGGGGTTGGTCGAAGGCACCATCGGCAGCAGTTCACGCGAAAGTCCTTTGTGGACACTCGGATTAAGTCCTCAGAATGCCACCTAACTGACCATGCACATTGGAGTTGCTTAACGTTATTGTGAGTACCCGCAAGTATGAATATGATTCACATTCATGTCATTGACCCCTTCAAAGTGTCTCCTCACTCTCCGCGCGATTCTTCTTCTGGTAATGTTCCGTATAAGTGCGATCCCTAACCGCACTTACGAGGCCAATCGCACTTGGACGGGATTTGGTAGCACACCACATATTCCGTTCTTGATCATGTCGTTGAGCTTGGACAAGTCGGCGGACGCGACGTTCCTCCGCTTTGCGGCGCGCTTCTGCGGGGTGAAGACCAGCTCTGCCGCGCACGGAGAGATCCGTCTGAAGGTGGGCAATGTCCTGCTCCATCAACCCAACACCATCGTGCGCCACTTTGCCCGCGCCGCCGACCGCGAACTCGAACTCACGGGCCAGAACGCGTTGGAACAGGCCGAGATCGCGCACTACATGGATGTGGCGACGACGCTTCGAGGAACCGATCCCATCAACCCCGTCGTGCACTGGGAAGCGTTGGACAAGGCCTTGGCGTCCAAGGTGTACTTTGTCGGCAACCGCCCCACCCTCGCGGACGCGACCTTGTTCTGGAGTGTCCATGCCGCGTTCCAACAGTCGAACGCACGTCTAGCGCCATTCGTGAACCTCCGCCGTTGGTTCAACCAGATCCAGCACACCGTCGGCGTGCGCGGGTTTCCCGACGTCGACGTCGTTGCCATCCCCGTGCCCACCCATGTACTGCTCGTCTAACTCGACCGTGTCTCCATGTCTTGATCTGTTACAACCTGCAGCAGCTTTCGTCGTCGTCATCCTTACATCTCGCAAGCACCCGACGGAGTTCGGCGGCTAGCGTCACATGGACCTCTTCCTTGTACTTGATCGCATACATCCGCATGTGTCGCAGGATATGTCGCCGCCTTTCCCACGGAATGCGGCACGCACATACTGCAAAGATCGTTCCGTTGGCAGCAAACACGCGGCGGGCGGCGGCACTGCATCCCGCAGGGGGACTCCACACCACTAGATGTGTCGTGGCGTCGTAGAAACACGGTGCGTCGTCGCCATCGGGCGGCAGTTCCTTCCACGGAAGTGGCAGCGCTTGGACGAGACTTGGGCGGAGGAAGGCGCGGCATCGAGGGCAGAGCAAGTCGCTGAACATTTCGTCGTCGGAATAGAGAAAGTGCAGCGGGTTCGCCACAGGTTCCGATGTTTCCCACACATCAGAGGACGAATACGAAGCTCGACGGAAGGGAAGCATGGTGGAAGGGTCGGAAGCCTGCATGATGCTCTGGAAAGCTGAGAAGAAAATGGTCGAATTCGAAGGAGTGATGGTGATTTTTTCTATATTTAGACGAGAATTGGGTTGCATTTACTGTGAATAAAGTCGAGGGATGGTGCTGCAGCTGGCGCGAGCGATGGGGCTGCCAGGTACCTCCATCAAGCCGCCGCCATCCGTGGGTCACGTCATTCAGGTCAAGTCCAAAGGCACAATGGATCTCACCGCCATGGTGGTTTCGAACCCACCACCAAGTACTAGTACTCCACTACCCGTGGCTGCAACGTCACCTCGAACTGCAAAGGCGCATCCCACAACAAACCAAACGTCCTTTCATCTCACGCCCACTGCTATCTCCGCCACCACGTCCAAGCCGTCAGCTTCGCCTCTCAAACTGAGTGACGTGGAGCCCCACCAGACGACCAAAACCACGACAGTCAGTAGCTCGGTGACTACGTTGACGCCGTTCTGGGAAGCAACGGCCACATCGGAAAACCACCATCACCAACAGCAGCAGCAGCAGCAATCGGTATCCAAGCTGTTGAAACGGCGTCCTGTGACCAAACTACTCCACACGGATGACGTGGCATCGCCACAGCCGACCGCGTTTACATTTTATTAAACCTCCGTCTTGACCAAAACCTTATAAGTACTACTAACGTTACTTAGTTACTAGTAGTAGTAGTACTATTACTGTAATACTGTACGTACTGTAGTACATAGAACTCGTCAAGCACACCTGGCGGGCGAGAAGAAATGTCACGACATTCAAATGTCGTTCCGTTTTAGGTCGCCAATACCATCACAGTACCAAAGCAGCCACAACCACTCATTCGAAGTAGGAAAAGAAGAAACTCAATCTCGTATATGTACATGATCGATGCGATCGATGACGACGCCATGGTCGACGGTTTGCCCATGTTAAGAGCTTGGAGCATCAACGCAACTGCCTTAACCCACCATACACCGTCGTGAGTGTGTGTGTCTACTACCTGTTCATGTCATCCTACTTGTACTACTACTACTAGTACCTGTTACTCAGACAGGACTACAAGGGGCCAGTACGAACCTTATATTCAAACAGAACGAAAAAGAATGTAACGTTACCTGTGAGAGGTTGGTGATGACGACGACAACGTGGCCAAAGGCGACTGGGAGGTGACGTTATCATCCATTGCCACGGATGACGTGATCAGACTCAACATGTCGTACCGGTTGCAGAAGCGATAGTACCACCCCCGCGATGCTTGAAACGTGTTCATGTTGGTGTATCTTTTGGCGACGACCAGTGCTTGCTGCTGGACGATCGGCGGGGAAATCACGGCGCCGTTGCCTGCCCTTTGACCACAGATCCACGCGTACAAGTCGTTCTCGAACGCGACCTTGGAGTCGTCGCCGCCCCGCCTCCGACTCCCGCTAACGTCCTCCCGACCTGACGCAAACCGCACCATGAACTTGCGCCGTTGTTTGATTAATTTGAGGATCACTCCCTGTGTCACGCACGCCGTACTCTTCGGCCAACCGCTTTGGCGTCAGCTTGGGTCTGGGACCATCGAACGCGTCCGTCAACGTGGCAGTCTCCACCATCGACAAGTTCTCGAGACGCTGCGTGTCTGTCAAGCGAGTCCCACGGCCTTTCCACTGCGGTTGTCGTTGTCGTTGTCGTCATGCATCTTTCTTTACCTATCTGAAACACATTCGTCAAAGTAACATATGTGAAATAAGTGCAAAAACTCAAACATATGTCAAATATTTTCTAATTTCGGCCAGTAATACTTTTATTGGGCAATACATTGGAGGGCAACCGGTCGTTTCCAGCAAGGTACACATCATCCATCGGCATCATGAGCTTGCATTGCGACACGACGGCGGACGAAGAGCTCGTGCACATTCCTGATGAGATCCTGGAAAGTCCCCGCGCGGGAGTCAAGAGGAAAGGCGGCGGGCCACGACTCACGGATGCGCAACGCATGGAGATTCTGCAGGCTATCGAGACCGCCGTGGAAGCCCAGGCAGACAACAAGAACCTCCTCAAGCCCAAAATTCCAACCAAACGCCTTGCGGACGAGTACGGCGTCACGCCTGCCGCGATCCGCAAACTGGTCAAGCAAAAAGACAAGTTCTTGTCACGCTTCGAGACGGGGCGGGAAGACGTGCGGCAGTCCCGTCGACGCGGCGGCGACGGCGCCAAGATCGAGTTTGAACGGGAATTGTACCGATGGGTATGCGGCCTCCGCGCGCGCAACGTGACGATCGTGCCATCGTACATCCAGCAGCGCGCGCTCTTGGTTGCCAAGAAGTACCCGAACATGGACAAGTTTCAAGCGTCGTGGGGCTGGTACTATCGCTTTTGCACTCGGTACAACGTCACTGGCGGGGCCATTTCCACTGCCCCCGCCTCCAGCGACAATCACCTCATGCACTTGGACGACACTTCTGACGGCACTCTGCTCTCCCACATGGACATGGTACATACTCCACTACCTAATGCATCTTCGTCATGATTCCCTCTGTAGCCCATGCTCGTCGAGTCCGCTGTCGCCCATGCGTCGTCACCGTCCGTGGCGGTGCCCCCATTGTCCAAACTAACACCGCTGGCCAGTGCAAAACCTCGAAAGAAGCCAGACTTTTACGATGTACGATATATATATATATATATATCGCCCATGATGTTATTACCGATGGAATATATATATATACGTATAAATATTATTTTTGATAGGAAAAGATGTATCTGGATGCCGCCAAGATGGGCGACACCCACACGCTGCAATCGTGCTTGCTCAAAGGCACGTACATTGATTCTGTCGACGAAGTACGTCCGATATATATATATATGAAATATCTACGAAATATCTAAATTTATGACTGTAGGCAGGCTGCACGGCGCTTGTGTTGGCGACCCAAGGCGGTCATTTTCATGTGATGAAGTTTCTCATCGAACATGGCGCCAAGCCCGACGCAACTGACGAGGTACGAGATGTTATCCGGACAATTCACGAGATATCCGTAACGAACGAACGAATGGCTCAATAGAGTGGGTCCACGGTGCTCGTGTTGGCGACCAAGCAAGGGTTCCTGAACGCCGTGAAAGTGTGCTTGGAAGCGTCGGCTCGCGTCGACGCTACCGATCCAGTAAGTACTCCATTTCTAGTATCTATTATCTATCTACTATCTATTATCTATTTCACCTACATATCTATCACTACGTCGGGTGCAAGGCGCTATTAAAAAGATGGGAACATGATAGTTGTGTGTAGAATCTCAAGACGCCGCTGATTTTGGCGGCCGAGCGCGGCGACTTGAAAGCGATCAAGATGCTGCTCAAGTTTGGGGCCAATATTGAAGCCACGGACGAGGTATAAATATTATATATATATATATATATATATATCGACATTTTACACCAAAACACTCAATTATGATCATGGAATAGGACGATGGCACGGCGTTGATTGCCGCCGTCAAGTATGGCCAGCGCGACGTGGTGGAGTACCTGGTCAAGAAGGGCGCCAACAAACAAGCCCGGCATATTGTACGACCGTCAATTCTATTACTATGACATCCATTGGATTTATGTTTACAGTGATTATTGGATCTATATTTACTCTATTGTGACTATTGTATTTATGTTAAGTATCGTATAGGATGGTCTCACACCCACAGAACTCGCCCAGTCCCTTGGCCACGCCGACTTGTTGTCGTTTGACGTGTAATACTATTTAACAGCTATAAAACTCTCTGCGTTTAGTTGATTCGTGCGACTTTTACTATTCACTTCTGCAGTTAGGTAGTGTTTGTTACTAGTAGTATACGATTCCTCAATGACTGGGCAGGACTATCCATCACAACGCGGCTGCGAATACCACTCAGGGATATATACTACGTAGTATTGTGAATTCGCTAAAAACTTCCAAAATTCGCGCGATTTGTTCAATCAATGTTGAATCACGCTCGAATTCTGATTGGTTGAATATACTTGTCCTTTCTGTAAGAGCCAATCAAATCCACTCAAAATTGGATTAGCCAATAGCGTCGATTTGTGATTCGATTCGGTGGCGAGATTCGATTCGACGGGGTCTGGAAATTCGTTTCGAATCCACAATAGTACTCCGGAGTAATAAATACTCGTTGGGTATAATATTAATAGTACTCCTACTAGTACAGTGTAAGTGACTAACGTTACTACGTAGTATAAGCTTACAGTACAGTTCGTAAGTACATTTCGCTTATGATTGGTTGTAATATCTCTATAATGTGATTTGAGTGGCTAGATCAGTCGAAAAGAAAATTGCCAAATTCATTTTGAAACGGATTTGACATTTGGCAAAAGTTGACCTTTCTTTAAAATTATTCGATAATTTTGAATGTTCTGCATTTTCCACAAGTCGGTTCCGCATTGGCTGTCCAGGGACGCACACTTTACACCGAGCAAGGGAACAGCCGCATCACCTTTCGATCGTCATGACGCTATCGGTTGCTACGGCGCGCGCGCAGTTGAAGAAGAACGTCAAGACATCGTCGACCACGCCGGTGGTATGCATCTGCGGCGGTGGAAACGGTGCGCATGTTACTGCGGGGTATCTCGCGTCCAAGGGCATCCGCGTGCACGTGTTGACTCGGAAACCCGAGTTGTGGGCCGAAGAGATTCGCATTACGACGAAGGGAAGCAGTTGGGAAGACAAGGGCGACATTGTCGGTCGACTCACCATGGTCACGTCCAGCGCGAAAAACGCGATCCCCACGGCCGACATCATCTTCGTCGCGGCACCGGCAAACGCGCATCCGGCCATCTTGGAGAAAATCGCGCCTTTCTTGAAGCCCGGGAGCATTCTCGGCGCTTTGTTCGCCCAAGGCGGGTTCGACTGGGCCGCGAAGCGCGCGTTGGGGTCCGTGGCGCTGGACAGCCTCCACCTCCTCTTTGGGCTCCAGAACATCCCGTGGATCTGCAAGGCGACGTCGTACGGCAAGGAAGCCAAGATCATTGGACCGAAAAAGTGTCTGTATGTGGCGGCGTACCCCGTGGAGCGCAAGGACGTCGCCGCCCGCGTCATGGAGGACCTCTTCGACATTCCCTGCGCCACGGTCGCCAACTTTCTCAACTTGACCCTGACCCCATCCAACCAGATCATCCATCCCGCGCGGTACTTCGCCATCTTTCGCGACTGGGACGGCAAGAAGACATATTCCCACGCCGAACTGGCCGCGCGACGTGGCCTCACCTTGTGTACGAACCCTTTGATTCTGTGTCATGTGACGTTATCATATGACGTTATCGTAGACGCCGATTTTGACGAATTCTCAGCCGAACAACTGTCGATGCTCGACAACGAACTGCAACAAGTCAAGCTGGCGCTGTTGCAGGTAGTAGTCCGTTACGATATATAGATGCCTCCCACGACTTTAGACTTGACTTGACTATGTCGGATATATGATGCCATGATGGCTTCGGCATATTATTCCTAGGATATCGACCCATTGTGGTATCTTGGACTCATTATATCGCTTATGACATACGCCAAAATCCTCCTCCAACCCTTTGGAACATGGATTCACTATGTCCGTGTTGACATGTAGCGCTTTCCCGCGTTGGATTTGTCCGACGTACTACCGATGGACGCGCGGGTGATTAAGCAGTACGGCGACGATGTGTCGGACCGAAGTTCGCTCAAGGCGATCTTTGCGTCGAATTTGGGGTATGCTGGGTGCAATACCCCGTTGAAGGAAATTTCCCCGGGACAATTCCACCCCGCCGTGGACAGTCGGTGCGTTTGTTCGACATTTCGTGGGGAATTGTCCTCACACGACGTAGATTGTTTTGGGAAGATATCCCGTACGGGCTGTGCATTTTGAAAAACATGGCGGAAATGCTGGGCAATTTCCCCACGCCGCGCATCGACTTTATGATCCGATGGCACCAGCAGTTCATGCAAGTGCAATTCCTGAACGGCGACAACCAACTCAACCCCCGCGAACTGTGGCGCACTGGCGCCCCCAACAAGTACGTCCATCCCGATGTATTATGTGTATTGTCTTTCTTTTACCCCAAATTTGGTTGCCTTTTGTGCTGATTCTTTGCCAACTCTATCGATTACTCTTTGTCCTGACTATTGTATGGAAAGTTCGTGCGTTATCACACTAATTTCATTCACACACACACACTAATTCGATGTTGACTTCGTCCAAGAGTGAATTTGATTGGCCACTTGATTCGTGATATCTGGGTTTTGATTGGTCAGATCATCGATTGGGCGATTTGGTGATCACTCGAATTTCGAAGAATCGACTTGACAATATCACATGCATGTATGTAGGTATGGCATCCACGACATTGCCGACCTCGTTGAAACGTCGTTGCCTCGTGAAATGCACGGGTACCGACACCCTCGCTCCCGAATGTAGATGACGTCAACACATCACCACATTGGTCAAGTCGTTGGTGTTGAGATAGATATTGGCTTAACACTTACTATGTGAACTTGACCACTTGGCTTCGTGCGTATGCAATTTCAATGTCGAGTTGTTTGAGTTGTGTGGGGGTGCCACGCTGTTCGAGCTGCAGCAACGCTCGCTCGGTGCACAATCGCTGGACTTCCAAACTCCACTCGGCTTTTTTCGAGTACGAATGGGTTGAAACGACGGGATTGGGGTAGTAGGCGCTTCTAGTACTACTAGTTCTGGGCAATGGTGCGCGGGGCTGCTGATCTGGTGCGGGGGTTGAAGTGGAGGATGCGACGATCTTGAGGGACTCGCGAAACCGTTCAAAGTCCGCCATGAATGAAGACCGGTTCAACGCGGAACTGGTGATGGAGCTCTCCGAGGACGGCGCGGCGTGGCGGCCTTCGCGATGTGGAGACGTCACGGGACTGGGGATTGCAGGGGGAGAGGCATGCTGCTGCATGTTGTCATTGGAGTCATCATCGTCGTCGGCGCAGTCGTGAAACGAGATGGCGCGGCCGACGGTGGGCGTGCTTAAGTCGTCCATAAAGTGCACGGAGCGTTTGCTGTCGTCTGTTGGGGGCGTGACAGAGTCTTGACCAAGAAGGGGAGATGTGAACAGAAGCGACGAGGACACGTCATCTTGAATGGGGGATGTGAACGTCGTGGGAGGTCGAGGGGATGGGGAGGTGTACGAGGCTGATGCGTTCTGGTGCATGCGCGGTGGGGTATCGTCCTTGTCGAGGAAATGCGTGTACGTGGCCATGGGCAACATGTCGTCGTCTGTGTCTTCGTCATCATCCACGGGATTGTCCTGTCGCCTGGTTGATGGAGGTGGCGTGAGAAGACTCTCCCGGGCCTGCACAGATTCGTTGAGCGACTGCATCGTTTCAGCAAATTTGAGCTGTACATGCATCACTTCCGTGAGCAACGGACTGAGCGAATTGGGCTGTGTGGACGACGTCATGAACGGAAGGTGTCGGTGCGTCTCCGTCCTCGGGACTGGACTGGCGGTGGTGGTTGACAACGGCGGACACTGCGATGGTTGCTCCTGCTGCTGATATTGCTGTCGCAATAAACACTCGAGGATCTCTTGCAGCTGTCGGATCTGCTGCCGCGTGTATTGCTCGACGAGGTTGCGCGTCTCGATTTCCCACGCCAGACGTTGTTCCAGTGCGTAGTTGTGTTCCATGGCCATCTGTAGCTTGAGGTTCCACAGCTTCGAGTGCCCCATCATATGTGCATCCTCACCACCTTCTGCCCCCTTGGATCGTCGCCGGGTGAGCTTGTCCTTTGCTTCGCGGAGCCGCGCCTTGAGTGTGTCCAGCTCCGTCATATTTGCGGCGGCGGGAAATGCGATTCTCCGGATATCAGTTTGAATTTTCCCCGCGTGGGGATGAATATCCGGATAAACTACCTGTCAAAGTTAAGTGACCACTTGGACTGACTGCGGTCGTATACAAATTCCAAGATATGTTTCTCGTCGCCCAACTCAGTTTCCAAGCTCTCTGCCTCAGTTGCATTTTCGCATTCGTCCATACAAAGTTCAAGTCAAACACTTCCAGATTGTTGGTTCTGGTGAGAAGGATTTCAAATTTCAAACCATCTTGGGCCATCAAACAACACGATGACCAAGGACAGCACACCCCACGTCGTCGCCAAGCCTGCTGCACCGACCGGCCGCAAACCTCGTCAAGTCAAGCCCAAGGGAGGTGATGCGAAGAAACCTGTGGCGGCGGAGCCAGCCCAGGACGTAGCCGTGGAAGTTGCGACGTCGCATCCCACTGTGGCTTCCAACACCCCTTCGGCACCTGTCGAACAGGCCACGTTGTCGCCTACCTTCCTCTCCCCAGTACAACGCCTAGCTTGCGTAACTAAAGGCTCACAGAAGCGTGCACGACGTGTACTTGTAGGTGAGCAAATTGGACTTGGCGCGCGAAATCGCCGCGAAAGAACAAGCGGAACGCGTTGCGCTGGCGTCTGCCCGCCGCGTGGATGAAGCTCGTCGCAAGAGTTTAAAGCGAAAAGGAGCCGAAGCGTCGGCGGACGAATCGGGGATGCCGGAAAAGGTCCCCAAGCTCCACCAAGATGACGTGGAAGTGCTCGAATCGACCACGGTCGTGCATTCGACGACCACAACGTTGACCCATCGTCGTCCTCTCAAGCAAATCGAGCAGAACCAGGGTGAAAGCGCCACGGCGTATGCGCTTCGTGCAGCCAACATCCGCAAGGACGAGCGCAGCCACCATGTCACACGCACCGAAGACGACGTTGAGAACCACCCTCACAACGAACCACCTGTCCAGACGCCCGTGGTGGCTCCCACCGCGTACGAACTCAAGCTCCAAGGCGTGACCACCGCCAACATCTACGAGCACACCACCGAAGAAGTCGAGTTTGTCAACAGCGTCGTCAAGGACACGACTACGCGCGGCACGTCCAAGCTCGAGGAAGCCGCCGCCGCCGCGACCCCCGTCGAAGCAGTGGATGACGCGACGTCCAACTCGCGCTTTTACGTGCACTTGGCCGTGCTGTTGGTGGTCGTGTTCACCGTGTTATTGACGCTCACGGAGCTGTACGTGAGCCAGCTGCCATTTTGCAGCTTCCCTGCCACTTCCGGTACGGTATTTAGCAACCCCACAAAGTGATTGAAACTTGGTTCATATCCAAACCTTATGATTGTATCGTTATGGTATTATTCGTATCATGGTGGTAGATGGAGCTCTTTGCGTACTAGTATCACATATTGATATTATATATATATGGTGTATACAAAAGTGAGCGGAATGGAAACAAGTATATATATATATCGGCATATCTAACCGAGTATGATGGGAATTTAGACTTGAGCAACTGCCGCGTGTGCCCCGACCATGGCGTGTGCATTGACGGCGTGCTCACAGCATGCGATAACAGCTTGTACATTGCCGTGGACGACACATGCAAGCTGTCCGCCGACATCAAGCGCGACTCGAACCAGATGGCGGCGACCATCTCTGCGCATTTGACCACCGTCGCCACCGCCGCGTACTGCCGGGAGCCGTTTTGGAACCGCGTGCTGCAGGTGGACTGGGCCTTGCCACTTCAGCCCGTAGATGTGGCGGCGGACGCGGTCACGGTCGACTTGGCGGCGCTGGAATCGCAATTCCGAACGGAACCATTGTGGTACAGTTTTTTGTGTACATACAATATGTACATGCTTTCGAAGAGTGCTAAGGGGGTGACGTAGGAGCGTTGTCGGGCCGCGCACGTATGCGATATCGTTCAAGAAAGCCGTGCAAAAGCTGAACGTGACCACCCCAGTATTGGTGGTATCCGTGGCGAATGCAACCCCTTTGTGTCAAGTGCAAACTGCCTTGGTCGAATACTTTACGGTACACTGAACGCTTTGATTTGATTGGCTAGGTGTAACGTACGAGATGATGTGTAGATTTGGGTGTCGGCCGTGTTGCTCGCGTTTGGGTTTTACACCATGTACAAGGACCAAAAGCAATCGGCCGCGGACGCCGCCCTGGTATTGTGTTTCTTTTCCCCAAAATGTGGACTTAATCATTGCCAATTCCATCGATCGATTCTTTATACTGACTTTTGTATGTAAACATGGTCCAATGCCACACTAATTTCATTCACATACTAATATTCGATGTTGAATTGGTCCAAGAGTGAATTTGATTGGCCACTTGATTCGTGATATCTGGGTTTTGATTGGTCGTATATCGATTGTTTGCCTGTGATTTGGTGCTTGCTGCTCATTCGATTGAGCCACTCGAATTTCGAAGAATCGACAATATCGAAATAAATATGCGATATATATATTCCAACATGAATGATAGATATGTCTAATTTGATATTAACAAAGTGAAGAATAGCGTGTATAGTACGTAGTAGTAAGTTGATGTTCATGTTGAGTAGCTGCACGAGATGCTGCTGGTGGTGCAAGAGGAGCTGATTGTGCACACCCAAGACAAGGGGTACCCAGCCGCGTATCTCAAGAACCACGTGGTGGACGTGCTAAAGCTCACCAAGGCAGATGCCCAGCGTGTGGAGTCGGTCCTGTGGCCAAAATTGACCAAGCAGGTGGCGGCGGACGATCGTATTCGCGTCACGAGTGAAGACGGCGGCGCGTTGCTGTGGTACGTGGTTTGGCAGTGTTTGATGGGGCGAATGAGTGAGTGATTGCATAGGCAATGGGCGCTGTCGGCGTCAACCGACGAGCAAGCGACACCAAGTACAAGTGAACCGATTGTGGGGACGGCGGCACCAGTAGCCCAAGTTGCGTAGGAGGAGTAGTGTTGTGCATGTAATATAGGGTAGTTTTAGTATGTACGCAATCAAATGGATGGCTAAACGAGGTCGGTAGGTAATAAGTACAGTACATAGGTAGTCGACGGGAGATGTGGTGGCAACATTGAACCAAGCAGGTTGCATCGATTGACATCATTTACGAAGTAGTTTAACGTAAATGTCCAATTTACTATTGTGCTTTCGAGTGAAATTTCATTGTGTTGTGGTTTCTCGTTGGAATTTAAATCGATTTGATTGGCTACTTTAGCAATGCTCAAAATTATTAGCCAATCAAAACCTTCTCAATGAAATTCAACACCAATCAGATCGATTGTGGATCGGTTTGGTCGGCGCGATTCGATTGCACCCTCTCCAAATTTGTATCAATCAAATCGACAATATAAGAACACTTTTTCCGAGATGCTGCCGTTAACAAAGGGCGGGTAGATTAAAAAAACCTCAAATTTTAAATCTTAGGGTGCGTCTGGTAACATTTCAAAAATATTTTTCCATTTTCTCGGAAAATGGGATTAACCCAAAATGCCATTTTGAAAATGGAGGTAAAAGGTCCATTTTGTAATATGGCGTTTTGGACCTCTTCAACGAGTAAATCCCACGTGGAATTATTGGATTTGGGTTAAACCTCTTCCAGCAAGACATGTTTCAATTTTAATCAGATTTGTTGAATTCGGCCCCAAAATGGCGTTTTGGGCCTGAATATTGCAATATTTCCGGTTACCAGACGCACCCTTACTTAAATGAAAAAGTACCATACTATTTTACGTTAATAGTATGGTACTTTTTCATAAAGAATACTTTTTGAATTCGAAATACAGTAGTATCCGGTACGGTGTGATCATTATCCGGAAATGCGAAAGCAACCACCATCGACACCGGCAGCGGTGGACAAGGCTCGGCGGGATGCTCTGGAGGCGCAGAAAAAGAGGACAGACGACTCCATCGCTCGACGGACCGCCACATCCCACTCTTCGAGTGCGGCAACGTCGCGGCCGAAGCTTGCCGCTGCATCGGCAAAGCGGAAACAAATCCAAACGGCGGCGTTCCAATCACCCCTCAAGAGGCACAAGCCATCCTCTTCGACATCTAAATTTGTTCCCACCGCCAAATGCGTCCGCTGTCATGTGCGCGATGAGTTTCCGCGTACCAAATGCCTCTTATGCAGCGCTTCCGTCCATCTTGCATGCACGACCCCCGTTGCGCGTCGGCTCGGGATCGACGCCTTTCCCAACAACGGCGTGTATTGCTCGATCGAGTGTTACACCGAAGACACCGGCAATGCCGTCCCAACCACAACGTTTACGGTACGTGGATCGTCCATTCGCCTTCTTCCTCACGTCGTGGAGCAGACGACGGCCATGGAGCCGACTACGACGACGAAGCACGCGGCGAGACCCGCGGAAACACCTGTGGCCGCCCTTCCTCCGACCCCCACCGTCCATGGTCGCGCGTCGTCGGCCTCTGGGGCCTTTGTGGAAGGCGATGCGATCACCTCTGCCATTCTCAAGTATCCAATCGCACCTGCCGTATATTGTACTTTCTCACTTTGTCCATGTAGACACTCTGGTGTGAAGGCGCCTCGCCCGTTGGAACTTCCTCCTCGGTCCTTCTCCCGCCAGCACCCCCCGCCTCGTCCACCGTCCCCTGAGCGCAAAACGTTGCAATTTCAATCCATTTCCCCCATCAAGACATCCCCCGTCCAGCAGCCATCGTCCTCCACGCAGAAAAAAGGTGCTTCTATCGAGGTATGTAGTGTTTCCTTCAACGCTGTCAATCACGCTTATCTCTTGAAAGCTTGCCGACCACCCCGACGAACGTGTCCGCTACGTCCACAACTCTTCCAACCACCACGACACAAGTCCTTCTATCGAGGTATACTTACCCCTCCACCCCCTCATTCCTTTATATATATTGTCCTTTTACCCAAAATTTGGTTGACTTTTGTGCTGATTCTTTGCCCAAATCTATTGATCGATTCATTGTACTGACTTTTGTCTGTAAAAGTCATCCAAAGCCACACTAATATCAGTCGCACACTAATTCGATGTGGAATTGGCCAAAGAGTGGATTTGATTGGCTACTTGATTCATGTTTTGGATTTTGATTGGCCGATCATCGATTGTCTCAAGCACCCCACTTCAATTTCGAATCGACTTGACAATATATATATACTAGTACGTACAGCCCAGTGGGTTCTCATATGGTCGATGTAGGACGATGCGCGGTACCACGACTACTTTAATCCCCCGCGCTTCCTTCCGCGGACGACATCTCCGTCTACCTCTGGTGCATCTTGTTCTTCTTTGTCGTCTGTTTCGAAATGGTCGGCGGCGGCGATACTCGTGGGACTAGTGTCGATGGCGGCGGTATTACTCGCCGGTCTGTACATGGACTCGATTCCTTTCTGCGACTCGAACGACACTACCAACACTCCTGGGTGGTGCCAGCCGTGTCCGGATAACGGCATTTGCTTTTCCGGCGACCTCCAAAGCTGCAAACAGCCCTACCTAAAGGTCGAACGCGCGTGTTTGGAACCGTCGACGGTGACGCGGGACGCTGACCTGATGACGCACCTGCTGCCGCGGTTCCTCGTGAAGCGGGCGTCCAATGTCCTATGCAACCAGTCGCTGCTGGCCACGTGGCAGCACCAGGGGACGGCAGAGAAGACCAGCACCACGTCGCAGGTCGTCACGTCGGCGTTTGAACTGCGCAACTATTTGCTCCACCAAGCCATGTGGTACGTTCCTCTTGCTCCTCCTGTGATAGCGTCATTGAAGACAACGTCATATATATATATCATAAATGGCAACGTCATATATATATATATGTCATTGAAGACAACGTCATATATATATATATGTCATTGAAGACAACGTCATATATATATGATATCCCATGAGATACTGTCATATATATATCATTGAAGACAACGCCATATATATATGATATCCCATGATATAACGTCATATATATATATGTATGAGATAACGTCAGTTTAGGGACAACGTGGACGCGGCTGTGTTTGACGTGACATTTACGAAAGCGATGCGCCAACTGAAACAAGGTCACCCCGAGTACTACTACACGAGCGACGGCGACGTGGTCCTCGGCCGCGACGACGTCGACCTCTGGTGTGCATTGCAATTGCACGTTCAAGACTATGTCCAGGTACATATATATATATATATATATATATATATATAATATTCCTGCCATGACGACGTTTTCAAAGGAAACAGTGTATATATATATATAAATAAATATGAGTGGCCCTATGGGCGAGATATATATATATATATATATACATGGTCATATCACGTTATGGCTAAACCTGGATCTTTTGAGCAGATCTATGCAACACTACTAGCCATTGGATTGATCACGTGGGCAATTGTTACGTGGCACCGCCGCCGTCGCGCGTCCAAGTCCCAGGTGCGACCACCCTCAAACTATACATGCTACGTCCTAGTATTGTGATATTGATGTGTAATAGTATATATTGGCGTGCATTTGCGTCAATATATATATTTATCAGTATATTGTTATGATTGGCAAGTGCATGTCATCCTATTTATATATACATCAATAGATTGTTATGTTTTGAGTATTTGGCCAGTGCATTTTATAATATATATCACATCTATACATTGACATATCGTATTTTTTTGCGTCTTTGGCCAGTGCATTGAAATATATATATATATTTATATTTGGCGAGTGCATACAATGCGACTTGTGTGGACAGATCAAACGCCTCGTGCATGCCGTGCATGTGGCGTTGAAACAGCCGTCCAACGATTTGGTGGACGGCGCAGTGTCGCATCTGCGCCACTCGTTATGGGGCGGAAAGAACGACCGTACGTGGCAGCGTGTGGTACAAGCAATCCACCAAGACGCCCGCATTCGAGAGCGTTATATCGTGTACGACCACCTCCATCCTCGAAACAAACGCACTATATATATATATATATCTCATGTCTGTCGTGATGTGTGTAGCCATCGAGGGCAGCAAGTACTCATCTGGTACACTAAAGCAATGCACACTGACTAAATAACGTTATGCTTGAACAATGATTGTATGATTTAAAATAGGGAATGGATTGGCACAAGACGCGACGACCGCAATATCTTGCGGGGGCAACCGGTGGAACTGGTCGAGTAACCAGTGTAGTTAATAGTTTGGATTCAATAGGGAGCCACGAAAACTACATTTGAGGACGTTTTGACTAACAGCCATGACCATCGCCATCACATGTTCTGCATCAACCATGGGGCGCATCATGCATCTCTTACCGCCAATATAAATATATATACATGTATATACATATATATATATATATATATATACATGCATCCACATAAATCGTGTCTAAATTCGGTTCTAATCGTCGCCTTGGAATCGTCCCATCGACCGCACACCCACCACTACTAAAAACCGCCGTCCCTTTCATTAATATTTACAAGTTACACCGTTATAGTTAGAAGTAAATTACTAATCACTACAGTACAGCAACTGTAAAACCTCGCATCACGAAATATATATATAGCTTTGGCTTCTTGCTTCTGACAGACTTATCAGGCACTGTAGCTGGGTACTTTCAGGATCAGTTGACCACCAATCACACAGTCGGCTACTCACTCCATTAACTACTAGACGGACAGAATGGCGGCGATGACGACGTCGATGTCATGTGCCGTAGTGCCCCAGTTGGAAAAGGCCGCGCGGACGACGGTGGGCATGAGGAAGACGGTGCACGTGTCCGTCAACTGCTGGAGCCACGCGAGCGTTTTGACTTCGACGCCCGCGACGGCAAACAGCACTACGTTGAGCGAGTACCGTCACTTGGTTTGTCAATTCCGACAGCCGACTCGCCAACAAGCGCGCGCACTCGACGTTCCGACGGATGATCTCGGCGTGACCGTCCCGGCCGTACGCGACGACTCTGAACCACGCGGCTAACGCGCGCCACCGCCGCGAGTTCTCGGGCGTCAAGTGCACAAACTTGGGGGTCGCAGCTACATTGCCCAAATACACGGCGGTGTTGTGAAATACCGATACCTACATATCGTCGCCGGTCAATATACAGTTCAATTCCATGTGATATATATCCAAACAGACACATGCCCGTCAAATAGTATGTATCATCCCCATGGTTTATATTCTGTGATATGAATATACCAAATCCCCGTTGAAATTGATGATATTTCGTAATATATGTTCTATCCAATCAGATATTAACAGTTCGATGACTTCAAGCCCGTGCCATATATGTCCAATATCAGATAGGAATACATATATATATGCAGTAGTACCTGGAGGTCTTGGTGGCGCGTGAATTGCACTGCGCTGTCGTACGGGACATTCATCCACTTATGGCAGTCGATTGCACACCGAATCGGTTTCGTCCATCCGTGCGCGAGGGTCAAGTCCAGCGCCAAACGTGCCGTCCACATGCAGCCAAAACAAATGTTTCTTCTTGAGCCTTGAAATATCAACCAAGTCGTCAAAGTCGCCCGTGTTGACGGTGCCGGCGCTGGCCACGACAATGCACGAGGTGCCGTGACACGCCTCCGTCAGCGCCGCATCGAGCGCGTCCACGTCGATGGCTTCGCGGCCAGCCAACTCGGAACGACGCGAACGCATGACCGGCCAAGGCCCAGCATGGACGTCGCGTTGTAGATGCTCGAGTGCGGACTACCCACAAAGATGCACACCGGTCCGAGCGCCGCGACGCCATCCGTGATGACTTGGACGCCGCGCTGGCGGCCGACCCACTCGCGCGCGACACAAAGTTGGACATGCCGTGTGCGACGGGAGGCGGAACCAGTTGGCGAGTGACGACACCGTCTCTCTCTCGAGGGAAGGCGCCTCCGAGTCCCAGTTGCTCGTCGGGTTTTGATCGACGGTGGACGTGAGCCAGTCGCCCACGAGGCTGGCGGGGGTGCTGCCACCGGTCACAAACCCGAGTTACTTATGTACAGACAGTACTGTGTATGGTGTCAGTGGAGAGGGCAGGACGTACCGAGGACCAGCGCTGCCAGCGAGGTGTGGCAGCCATTGCGTGCGGAAAAGGTCAAGCGCCCCCTCGGCCCCGATGCCGACACTCGCGTCGGTCGCTGCAATGGCATCGGGCGCCTTGGACGGTGTCCGCGCGGGTGGAACGGCTTCGACGTTACGCAGGAACTCCAAAGCAATGGCTTGAGCCGCGGACGCGATGTCTAGAAGCGTTTCGAGGTCGTGGGCCAGTGTCGGGTGCATGAAGTACGGGAAAACGAGCAAGAAAGATTCGAGTTGTTGGCTGCATTGGGAGGAGTGCCACGTTGATGCGAGAAGGAAAGAGCGTCAACTCAAACTGACCAAATGTACTCTGAAAATTTATCTTTTGACTTTAGCTTGAAGTATTATTGTTTAGCGCATTGGTTCAAATACATGAAGAAGGATTGAAGTTAAAGGAGTATTTTAGAATAACCAGAGCTTGTTAAAAGAAAATCAATATCTAGAGGATTTTTACACTAAAAGCTGATGCTGGCGCCAATTTTCCATGATACTGCTCAGCGGGTTCGACGTCGATGACGAAGTGTTGCTTCTGCATGCGACTCCCGAGGTCCCTTCACAGCTGCTTCGACGGCCCTTCACCGATCTGCAGGCATGGGATCGATACGTCCACAAGCACACCCCTCTCATTGACGACCGCTTGCCGACTCGGCGGTTCAAGACGCTTATGACCTTATCCTGGACTCGTCAAGACCTCATCGACGGCAAACACCTCCACCTGAAAAAAAACGTGTCTCTCTGTGAAACATGGATCCAATCGACGTTTCGCAGGCTTCCTCTGGACATGCAGCGTGATTTCATCGACCCAGAGGCGTACGAGGCGCGCCGCCGTGTTGCTGCCGACCGCGTTGCATCCACCAAGGCAGCCAAGGATTTCGGACAGTTCTTTTCTCCGGATTCATCCATCGACATACTTCTGGACATCGTGTTCGCGATCCCAATCCCCGTGTCCTCGGCTCTGTTCCTCGAACCTTCCTGCGGCAATGGCAACTTCTTTCGACCCCTCGTCGAACGCGGCGCGAAGCGCATTCTCGCCTACGAATTGGATCCATCCGTGGCGACCGTTGCGTCTGCCGTTGACGTTCCTGGCACTCATGTCATCTGCGGGGACTTTCTGACGTCCACCAAGCCCGACTCGGATGACGTGATCGTTGTCGTGGGCAACCCGCCGTTTTCGTCGTCGTTGCATGATGACGTGATCTTGTCGTTCTTCCGACATTGTGTGGACACGTGGCAGCCCGCCGTCCTTGCGTTCATTTTGCCCGATCGGTGTGCGAAGCCGGCGTATGTCGAGGTGATTGAAGTGACGTTATCACGAGGCGGTTACGTCATCCATCGCCCCATCGTGGCAATTCCAGACAGCCACTTTGACTTTCACGGCCGGCGCATCAACAAGCCCAGCGTCGTCCTCGTATGCGTCAAACAATCGTAAACAATGGCACCGTACATACTATGTGTAGTACATCCACCACGACGATGGACTGTGCCTTGCCTCGCTTACTAGGCACACCGTTTAGCAGCATTGGGCCTGCATGCTGCTTTGTTCCCCAGAGCACGAATACAGTAGTATGCTTCAGTGTGGCTTGGTCCATAACAACGTCCATTGCATGCTGGCATCACGTCGGATCGATTTTGCATCCGTTGCATTTTGAAAGTTCATTCAATAAAGTACCTAACCTTCGATAAAGTATCCATAAATAAGTTTGACCATGAGTGAGGTCTCGGCGTTTTGAATTTGTTGCGACGATGCCGGCGATGCGCCGACGCACGTGGTGGACGGATCCGTTCGTGGTGGCGAACGCGGTTATTGCGGTGGTGGTGCTATTCTGCTCCTTCGTGCATCCCACTAAATACGTCCGTGTCCAGGGAGCGTACGTGCATTACCTCGGTCTTCCCGTCATCACTTCCACCCATTCATGCATGCGCGTGTAGATGCTCGTCGACGTGGGTCGATGTGGGACATCCGTCAAAGGAACCCATCTGCTGCGACACCGCTGGTGCTGGTGGTCCTTGCTATTCTTACATGCGCGAGCTGCACACTCTTACAACCGGACAAGTATGCATGCATCGACGTGCCCTCACGTAAGAAAGTCCATGTTCAACTGTGCTTGAGTAGGCCGCATGGACGTTGCCGCTAGCCGTGTTGTTGTTGAACTTTTGCACGGCCATGTTCCTCCCCAAAGTGTCCATGCGTCATGTGACCGCGCTGTTCAGTCGTCTCACGCTGTACTTTCTCGTCATGACCTTCCGCACGTTGGTCTTGTACGTCTTCTTCAACCGCATCGAACGCGCGCTCTTTCCCCGCCCCGCGACCTGCTGGTACGCCGATTTGCGTCGCGACCACAAGTGCATCGACGGGTTCGATCATGCCGACCACATCGTGCTGTACATGGTGCATTTTGTGTCGATCTCGTGCTTTGAATGGAAGGCATTGGGTATGGAAGCAACCCATCCGCTCAAGCGCATCCTCTTGAGGGTGTGGCTGATTGCCGTCATCACTGTGGCGTGCTACGGCATTTACCACACTGCGCATTCGTTTCACAGGTATCAAATACCCATCATGTCCGATCATCTATCGCATCCTGAACGAATAGTGCGTGGGAGAGCGTTGTGGGCATGATCAGTGCCCAATTGTTTGTGATGGTGCCGCTGTACCTGTTGACGCAGGATTCATGGCGAGAGATACATCCGGCGTTGAAATTGAGCCACTTTGTCTGCCAGCAGTAGAGATACATGCATACATCGTCATCCTTGGCGATTCCTCCCATCTTGCGGGAGGAAGTGAGCGGCCTCAAGAAGAATCGCATAATGTAACGCTTTACGTACTATCGTACATTCCTCCGTACATTGCGTATCGGTATTAATATTATAATTCATTTGGTCTTATCAATATATAAAATAATATAAATTCGCTTCATCAATTGATGTTCGGTTTGTACGTACTGTACGTTTCGTACATCATTGAGGTCGTTCTGACTGCTTTTAGAGTTTGACGAGACAGAACACAACCAAGCGCAGGTAAATGGCGGCAAGACGCGCCGTGGACGGTGCATGATGGGGCTGTGTGTGTAGGAAGCATGGCAGAACAAGGTGTGGACTCATATGACCATCTGTTCAAGCTGCTCTTGGTGGGCGATGCCGGTGTCGGCAAGAGCAGGTTCGACCCCGTCATGGTGGTGTCTTCGTAAAGTCGATGATATGATGATGGTCGTAGCATGCTCCTTCGTTTCACAGAGGACACGTTCGACGATCACCTTCAAAGCACGATTGGCGTTGACTTTAAGGTCAAGATGATCACCGTGGACGGCAAACGCATCAAGATGACGATCTGGGACACGGCCGGCCAAGAACGCTTCCGCACGCTCACGAGTTCGTACTACCGTGGCGCGCAAGGTATCGTCTTGGGTACGTGCTCCATATATGCATCGTTAGGACACATTCACTCATCGTCGTCGTGCATGCAGTCTACGACGTTGCCCGCCGCGATACGTTTGCGAACTTGGACACTTGGCTCCAAGAAGTCGAAGTGTACAGTCCCGCGAACGGCCGCGACGTTGTCAAGCTCCTCGTGGGCAACAAGATCGACAAGGTACTGCACACACATGCTTGTTCGATCTCAGCCAGTGACACATGCGGCAGGAGCGCGCCGTGAGCCGTCGGGAAGGGGAGGCATGGGCGCGGTCCAAGGGCATGCTGTTTGTCGAAAGCAGCGCCAAGACCAAAACGGGCATTCAGCAAGTTTTCAACGAAGTGGTGCAGAAGGTACCCACCCACCCTATAGCTCTCTTCCTCCACTGCCATATATATATACATGCAGAAACGCTCTCATGATGGATTTCCTCTAGATCCTGGACAACCCGTCGCTGTTGTCGAACACGGCACCCAAAAACCGCGCCGCCAAACTCGACTTGACCGACACCCGACCGAGCGCGTCCACCGGCTGCTGCTAATGCAAGGAACCCCATGAAGTGGGAGATGGCGGCGTACCCTCCTACCTCCATCCACATGACGGACGCTTCGATTCCTTTGCTCTTCCTCCAACTAACGTTACTATATATGAGTTGTGCATGAACGTCGTTCGTTTTGACGCAATGGTGTTGGCTCGCGGGCTCATAGAGTGCCTGTTATGCATGTCGTGATGGCTCCTGCTTGAAGGTGATGCCAGAGGCATCGGGATGTGCTGGGAACGACGTGACCGACGATCGACCAAGTGCTTGCTACCTTTCGTGCGTTGAGATGATGGCACACAGTGTTGGTGAGGTCTCTCATCAAGGGAGACGTTGCCGGCCGCACATTCGACGATATCTGGGACTCGTCTTCCAGCTTGGCTATGTCGTACTGTGCTCTATACATGCAGGACATCGTCGTCCAGGCTCGATATCAAGTAGCATGTTCAAGGACCCTTCGAAGATGCGGCGCCATACCAATCATGCTCCTGCAACTTCATTTTGGTTGTCTGGTTGTGACGGAACATTTATCCGGACATTGGATCTTGTAATTTGTATGATCATTATCCGGATATCCACAAGATTGGAGTCCCACCGCCAAATCCACACTTGGATTTTCGACAAACCTTCCAGCGATCCCCATGGGCCCTCACGTGGGGCAATGGTCTGGGTGGATCTACAAACAAGGGAGCCGCGTCAAGACATGGAAGAAACGGTACATGGTGCTCCAGGGGCGCCACGTCACGTACTACGACAAGTCGGTGCTGGAGCCAAATCCGACCGAGAAAGGAGCGCTCGTGCTCGTCGATGTGACGCAGAACTTTGCGATTGCGAACGGTCTCTTTTTGCATGACAACAAGGGCAAACAGATGAAGATCTACACTGACACTACCGCCGAGTTCCAGGACTGCTTTATCTCCATGCAGCGCGTGTGTCGGGGGGACGCGCCGCCGTCGTGTTCCCCGCAAACACAACCGCCCGCCATGTCAACGTCGTCACCTTCGTCGCAACGATTCACATTGTCGTCTCAATGTGCATTACCCGTGCACTCGTACCGTCCACCGAGCGGCAACCCCGAACCCGTGCAACTCGCCCGTCCTGTCTCGCGTTCGACATCGGAGCGCATTCCGGCGCGTGCTGCGGCCGACGTACGCTTCGCGCCTCCCGAGCGTGCCTTGTCCGACCGAGTCGAGCGCATACACTTGTCGTCCGACGCTCCACCTCCTCCTCGCGCGTCGGGTCCCAAGCTGGTCATGTTGTCGTCGTCCCAGTCGTCGAACGATCATTCGCAACGCATTCGCTCCACGAATAATGTCGTGGGTCGCAAGGGCGTACTCCGCGGGTGGTTGTACAAGGAAGGCCAGCACGTGCGCAACTGGAAGCGGCGGTACTTTGTGCTTACGGGGGACCACTTGGCGTACTACGGCAAGCAGGGCGAGGCCGCCAAGGGCGACGGGCGCGTGGTTGAAGTGGCTTTGAACCCCCAAAGGGCATTTGGATTGCTCGTTCGCCTCGATTCCGACCGCATTTTGCGCGTGGCGGCCGAGTCCGAAGACGACATGGAGCGGTGGCAGTCGGGGCTTCGCGCGGCGCTCAAGAACCAAGAGTACCTGGAGCGCCGCATCAGTAGCAGCGTCCGGTACGCCGGGTACCTGCACAAGAAGGGCAGCAACATCAAGACGTGGCACCGTCGGTGGTTTATGCTCACGGGGCTCAACCAGCTCGGGTACTGCGATAACGAAGGCGACACGCCCAAGGGGTACGGCAAAGTGCTCGACGTGTGCGCGAACCTCAAGCGCGCGCACTGCTTGTACATCCATTTGGACTCTGGACGGCGGCTGTCGGTAGCCGCCGACTCCCAAGACGACATTGACGGGTGGTTTGCTGTGCTGTCCAAGGTAGCGGCCGCCGTCGCGCAGACGTGCCCATCTCCCGTCGTGAATACGCCGACTTCATGTGCGCATCACCGTGGATGGTTGCAGAAGGAAGGCCTCGCCATCAAGAGCTGGAAGCGGCGGTACTTTACCCTCCATGGACGCATGTTGGTGTACTACAAGGACATGGAGGATGGCGGCCACGCTGTCGGCCAGGGCCTCGTGGATGCCGCCGCTGAAGGCACGTCGAGGCCATTCGCCATTGACATTCACTTTGAAACCGGGCGGGTACTGCGCGTGGCCGCCAATTCCGAGCGGGACCGCGCCGCGTGGCTAGCGGCACTCCGTCGCGACCACCAAACAGGTGGCGGTGCCGGTCCGTCCTTGTTGGCTGCGCCATCTGCAACAGGCCCGTTGGAAGGCTGGCTCGAGTGGGAAGGCGCCCGCACGTTTTTTACGCTAACTGGGAGCCGCGACGTCACGTGGTTTGCCAACCCGAACGGCCTCGTGCTTGGAAAAGGCACGCTGCAGGACATGCGAGTCGAGAATTTCCAGGATTTCGTCATGCATCTCGTGTTTGCAAACGCAGCGTCCATCCGGGTTAAGGCCGAAACGACCGACGAGTTGGCCATGTGGCGCCAGGGTATGACGATGGCAATCAAGGGCCGCCAGGCTGGGGTCCATTCGTCAGCTGGTACCACCACATCGCTGACTAGTGCTGCATTTTCTAGACGTACTTCTTGTATGATGACACAAGAGGGGTGGATGCTAAAGCAAGGCAAACAGGTCAAGAGCTGGAAACGGCGGTACTTTGTCGTCCACGGCACCGACCTCGCCTACTACAAGGACGAACTGCGCGGCACCGTGCTGGGCCAAGGCACCTTTGTGCACGTGAAACCCAATCCAGACAAGCCGTGGAGCCTTGTGATCATCCTCAACACTGGCCGGCTGCTGGTTGTGGCACTCAGTTCAGAGCACGACGAAGCGACGTGGCTGCACGCGTTGCAGTCGGCGTTACAACCACCACCCGACAGCCAGTCACTTGAACCCCATATTTCTGTGGCTGCAGTTGCTGCGCAAGTTGCTCCGGTAGCAAGACGAGGGGATCGTACCAACGACAATGAAGGCGACAAGGTTGAAGATATCTACAACACCCACCTGAGCTCGACTGACAGCCTCGAGTACTTTGATGATAACGACTTTGAGGATGAACTGGACAGCGATATGGGTGACAACGGGTCGATGTCATCGAGTGATATGGACGGACGAGCGGCCAAGGGGACGACGGGGGACTACGACTCGGACGGCCTCAGTTCCCTCTCGAGTATGTCGGATTTTGAAGATTAGGCGGCCCCAGGACAGTACAGTACAGTGCTTAAAATATACTAACCAACCCCCCTTGCTTTGAATATATATATATATATAGTCCATCATGTATCATAAAGTATACAGTAGTTTGAAGGCAGAGAGTAACGTTGATAGTATAAGTAGGACCGCACTACATCTCAATCCACACTCATTATGTATGGGCTTGGAGAATTAGTGCAGACCGCACCAATTTTGAATATTGAGAATTAGTAAGAATGATTATCTTGATTTTTGTATGTAGGATTTGTCATGAAATGTCACAACACAAATCGGCATTGATGGAAACTGTCAATAGTGCAGACACATCATGTACAAGGGATATTTACACCAGTATTTGATGGCTTTCTATGACTACTAGAGCAATATGGGCATCGTGGCATACACCCCAAACACCCCAATATTGCTCAAAATTGGTCCGCACTATTTACCAACCACACACAAATTTCTGGAATTCCATCACACATGTATTAGTTAGGACCGCACTAATTCTCAATCCGTACTAATTACGGTCATCGGTGTACGTAGTAGTATTCCAGTATCAAAAATTATGCTTCCTAATACTTAGTAATACACATGGGTACTGTTAATAATAGTACTGTACATTGATTTCCTTATTTATACAGGTTATTTGGATTTAATATATAAATATATTTCTTAGGGGGTCGTATTTTTCCCCGGTTTGCTGTATGGATCCGCACTATTAATAATTACCGTATAGTGCATATGTATTGCGACAGGTGATATTTCACAACCGGCCGACACTCGCTCTCAAAATTTTGTTAATCATACAAATTTGAAGTATATTCAACATAGTCACAAGTAAATATCAGTTATGACAAGAAAATTATCAGTTATTACAGGAGTCGCAATCGATTAATCCGTCGCAATACATATACACTATACGGTACGGTTATCGGTGTACGTTTCCGGAGTATATCCGAATCATATGTTATCCGGATAAGGATCCGGTCCCTCGCGAAATATCGAACCAAGAATGGGAGGGGGGGCACTTGAGAAGAATTTACACACTTGCATGAAGGCGGTGCAGTGCCCCATTTGCTATGACCCATGCTACGATCCGGTGCAAACGCGCTGCGGGCACAAATATTGCCGTCCGTGCCTCTCTCAGTGGACTGCGGAAGGCCATACGTCGTGTCCAACTTGCCGAGGGTTCATCACACCGCCCAAGACCGATCCTGAACTGGCGTCGCCATCGTTGGGTCGATATGTTGCCATCCACTTCCTCCTCGGTCTGCATTGGTTGAACCCATACGGCATTGGACTGTGGTATTACGGCGGTTGTCACGGATTTGGACTGTTGGCGTTGCTCCCGCTAATGTGTTGGAGTGGCCGGTTCGATGACGTGATTTCGACGTGGTGGGACCTCGTCGTCCATGCACTGATCATTCTCGTCACAGCAAGCATCGCGATTCAATTGTTGTGGAGTCTGGGCTTGTATTACACCCTCGATTGGATAGCAGTTTCGTTCTGCGTGTGCTTCCTAGCGCAAGTGATCTGGCATCGACTGGTGTGCCCCATCCGCTACAACCCCTTCGAACAGTACGGACATACGAAAGCCGTGCAGATTAGGCCGCGGGTCTCCCAGCGCGGGTAGTAAATGTTACATTAATATCTCTTCATTGTCAATCATTATCAAACTACGTTTGTTCTCCTCACTCGGAGCGCACTTCCTTGGGGCGGCACGAGGCTCAGATCACATGTTGAAGTTCAAAACTTGGTACATCAAATAGTGGTCAATATATTGCACCAATAAGATATACAAGCTATATTGAGCGATACTGGAGAGAAGTATTCATATATTGTGCTTTCGAGTGAAATTTCGTGTTGTTGGTGTGGTTTCTCGTTCGCGCCGACAAACGATCCACAATCGATCTGATTGGTTAAATTTCATTGAGAAGGTTTTGATTGGCTAATAAGTTTGAGCTCATCTGAAGTAGCCAATCAAATCGATTTAAATTCCATTCGATTGCACCCCCTCCCCAAATTTGTAGTATATCAAATCGACAATAGTTTCACTAAAATCGCTCACTGTAATGTCATGTCAGCGCCATTGCGGAGGACACCGATGCTGACGAAGACTACGCCATTACGATTGCTAGCACCTAGTACAACACATACAACGCGACGTACCATTGCTGTAGAATATACCCTCAACTAATACAGTATGTACGTCACCCCACCACACATTCATCATAATGGTGAACCAGCTTTTGATTTGCCCGTATGATGGGTTTATTACGATTCGGTCATTGCTACATTTAATGGCAGCTGCTGCCACCTCTGCCACCACCAACCACCGTCACACAACGAACCCACACCAAACACCCTACACGAGGGGGCTTTCTATTGCATAGCATCCTCCCATTTGCCTTCATTTTCAATGCTGTACATTCGCATCACCAACGAGTCGGTTCTAGTATCAGCAGGCCAACCTTATTGTGAAACCGCTAATCCATCACAGTCAACAGCGTGAGCCAATCGAATTGTATTCTGCCATATGACAAGCCAATCAAACTCGAGTTTGCCACGGGTTGCGAAACGGCCATTTGATCACACACACTCGCACACACCCAAGTCGACGACACCACGGCCGCCGCCAACCAACCCCCCATGACGTCGTCCGCTACGTCTGCTGTGGAATGCGCTATCTGCTACGACACATTCTACTTTCCCTTCGTCACGTCCTGCGGCCACGCCTTCTGCCACCAGTGCCTCACGGACTGGACCTCAGGCCACCGTCAGTCGACGTCGTGCCCGCTGTGCCGGTCGCCTATTCCACGCGTCGATGGCGAGCCGCGTCATGCGTCACTCCACGTGGAGCGGTACTTGATGCTGGAGGTCGTTATCAAATGCATTGACATGTGGTCCAATGTATTCCTGGTGGCCATGGCGGCCTACGCGTCCCTGGCTCCACTTTCCTCGTTGTGGACGCCGACGGTCGTACTCATCCTGTGCCTGTTCATCGCCCGAGTGTATTGCATGGGTTCGACCCCCGTGCTTTTGTGCGGTATGGCGTGTCAGGTGCATTGGCGCAGCGTGCTGCACACCGTTGCAACCAGACTCCTGCACGTCCACAACATGGTCTACTCTCGACACATCGTCCCTCGTACATATGTCATAACACGACAATAAATCATAACGTTACTTGTGTGTTTCGATAAACTACCGTATTCCGGTGGGACTTGTACCCCCGATTTTTACCATCGGAGTTGTACCTATTTCTCTCTTCAAGTCCTGTGTGGAAGATTCTGGGCTGTGCTCATGGAGTTGTACTAGACATCGGCTGCTATTGGTTGATAATCATCCAATTAACTGTACACAATCAGGTATGCGGCGACAGCTTGAAAGTCGACCCTGTGTGGAAAGTCAAATGCTTTCAAATCGTAAACGATGCTAGGATTGGCTAATACGTGTGACCTCATTTTGAATTTGATTGGCTTGAAGCCACGTATTGTGACTTCTGAAACGACCATGCCGTCGCCTTGTAGTTAACAGTGTTAGATCAACACTTATCTGCACTAACTTCCGATGCTTGCATGGTACTCTTGAATGTGTTCGAACAGAACTGTCTTAACTATGCCGACATTTCGTTCTGAACGCACACGCTGCGCTCGACTGGGTGCCACACGCAGGTCCTCCACAACCAATGCAATCTTATTCTTTAGCACGTCTTTGTGCTTGAGCAGACGCAGGGGGTGGTAGCCAAGATGGCAACCTTGCTCGCTGGCCACCAGACGATAAACCTTCATAACCTCCTCGAGGTTTTCACGGTCACCTTGTACAGCAAGTCGATACACGATGAGATGGCTGTACCTATTTGGATCAGATTTTGGCTACATTTTTGGGGGTACAAGTATTGTGCTTTCGAGCTCACAGTAAATTCGGTATTTTCAGTAGATTCGATGAACGACGTCAAATTCACCTGAAAGCATCAAGCGTCATTTTACTGTTAATTGAACTAACGTTAACAGTAAATATACTCACTAGGCCCCAAAATCAGTGACTCCAGCACTGCACTGGATACGCATGTAATTTGATTGGTCGAAACTTTTTTTTGGAAAATCTCATTGGCTACTTCGTTCCGTCGAGTTTGCTTCGTCGATTTATCGCCCCAGTCGTCCATTTTGAAACCGAATTATATATATATATATATATATATATTGTTATACCAATACTAATATAAATCCATCAACAAACTCCAACAGCAATAGCACTGCGACGTCCCCCATAACAACCACTTTGAATTTCCCACCACGTGCGTGTTTCAAGATGCCACCACAACCAATGTACTACCGGTACGAAGCAGTACACGCACCCCAACAATAAAACAAAACAGTCCTTAACACTCGGTCATATATATCGTTTGCAATGACCCCCCCATCACGTCGTACTCATACTACTAGTACGCGCGCCGCACTCTTCGTCCAGTCTATCGACGAGGTGCTCCTGAGCCTTTTTCACTGACTTGCCGTAGCTTTCCCGCACAAAGCCTTCCACGGTGCCCCGGAGGAACCCAAATGACCCGCCCACGGTACACGCCCCGGTCTGGGTCACTTGACTCCTACCATAAAAAACAGATAATCCCAGTTAATCCCAGTATTTCCCAACCACAGCGGACGTACCAATGGTCGTGGTCGTCGTGGCGGCGAAACAGCAAAAAGTCCTCGATGAGCACCAAGTGGGCAAAACTCTGGTTTCGCCCAACCACGTACAGCACTTGGTTGGCTTTGTCCCACAAGCTTTCCTCGATCACGTCAAAGTACTCGGCGTTCGCAAAGCGTCTGATAAACCCTGGCGTGTTGTTCTTGAGCTGGAGCTTCCGCTTCCGATACACGCACTGCCACTGCGGCAGCGGCACTTCCTCCACCAACTCAATTCCCATCAATCCTGGCTGGGCTGGATCTAATATCATACATACATTCGAGTCAACATATGATAGTCTACAATATTATTACTAGCAGTCAACGTAGTTTAGTATAGGTTATATTGTGCTTTCGAGTGAAATTTCGTAGTTTCTCGTTGGAATTTAAATCGATTTGATTGGCAAAAGAGCTCAACATTATTAGCCAATCAAAACCTTCTCAATGAAATTCAACAACCAATCAGATCGATTGTGCATCGGTTTCGTCGGCGCGATTATTCGATTGCTCCCAAATTTGTATATCAAAAATCGACAATAGTCAATATGTCGACCCAGTCAACGTCATACTGTGTATTAGAGGAAACATATTATGTAGTCAACATATTATTATAGTCGATATGTTATAGTCATGCACATGAGCGTCAACCCGTTCAAGAAAACTACGAGATTTACATATATTAGTATCGTTCATATTATTTACACATAGAGTCGTATAAGAGCTCACGAATGTCGATCATATGGACAGAAAAAGCTCATATATATACCTGGAAACGGCTCTCGAAAGCGTCGAAAGTGCATGTCGGCTGTCTACACATTATAATTGACCTTTATTAATTTAAATTTTTTTATTAAACGTAAATAAACATTTTTCGAGTTTATCACATGACAGTATGATGATTTTCGAGATAAAATACGTGAATTTTCGATATAAAAAACATGTCAATTTTGCCATTTTCCATGTTTTTTGGCGAAAAAGGTACCATTCTTGCACGAGAAAAGGCAGCATAGTGGTGACAAGTCTAGGCTATAACAAGGAAAAAGACTTACGATTTCGATGGGGTGTTCCATGATGGCGCGGGCAGATCCGAGGACGACAGACCCCTGATGAGGCTTGAACACCATCACAGGGTGGTCGGCGGTCGCGGTGCCGACTCTGCCGAGAACGAGGCCCAGCGATGCAAGCAAGTCGAGCTCGGGAGATGGCGGCGGGTGCTGGGACGAGGACGACGACGAGGAGATGGGGAGGTTCACGTAGTACAGCACGGACAGAATGTTCGATCGAAGCAACTATGAGTAGCTGAGTGCAATCATGCTATAGATACAACCACGTACGTTGGTTTGCAGCAACGTGCCAAACGCAATCCCAATCGACACCCATCCCATCGCCACCCGAACTGAATGGGACGACAGCCAGACGTGGCACACGGAGGACGACAGCGGACGACATGCGTTCGTGATCCATCGACTGAGTGCGATGATCGCGGCCGTGGAGAGCAGCAAGACCGCGATGGAACCAAGCATGAGGCTCGCGAGACGCGGGAGAGAAGCGTGGCCTGCCGCCTGGGGCTTGTACCGCCTCATGCGGCGAGTTGTACTCGGTCGGTCCGAGCTACCAGATGCAGTAGAGGTCGAAGGTGCCGCGACCTAATCGACGAGAGATAAAAGTCAACATGAAGGTGTACGTGGAATGGGGAATGACGATGCACTTCGGGTAAGATCGAGTGGACGAGCTGCACATACGCCGCTTTGGCTGCCGCGTCCGACATCCCACGTCGATCGTTCCATGCGTCCCTAAGACACAAGGTCGGAGAATGCTGGGAGATGGGACATATATATCTCGTACCATTTCGCTTTGCCGTCGTAGTTGATGGGACAACCTGCACACACGACGAGATTGCGTGAGCCGACGTTTCCTCATTGACATTTACGAGCGTCAACGTACGAGGTCGTTCCGTCGAGATGTCCCCATGTTGAGCTTGTTGATGGAGACCATAGAGCTGCATGTCGTGTCTCGCCAGGAGATGCTTGTGTGTGGTTTGCGCGTTCAGCACCCGCGCGGCGGCCGCATGGAAGTCGCCGTCGCCGCTCATCTCGGCCAACACACTGCTCTCAATCCGCACTGGAACACAACCTCTATATCACGATATTGTTTGACAAAATACTGTATCATTTAATATTCACAATAGCAATTCCATCATTGTAGCGCAGTGTGTGCACATCCATGCCCATGTCTGTGCCTCCTCCTTTGAACATGGTTTCCACGTGAAGTATCGTACATGGAGAAGGATGCAACACCCCGATGCCAGTGGATGGACGTAACTTGTGTAACTGAATTCGTTTCAAACCCTCGCGACCTTTCGCTTCATCCAACGATGATGACGATGGACGCTCCCCGCCGGAACTCGTCTCTTTCGTACTCGGTTCTCCATGCCGCCGACGTCAATGGGGGCCGTTCCGTCACCTCCAAGGAAGAAATCCACTCCATGGACCTCGCGCGTCAACTGGCTGATTCGCCGCCTCCGTCCGCGCCACCACCGCTTCGACCGTCCGCAGTTCCATCCTCCACGTCTTCCAAAGATCGGTACGCGCCGTGGCTCAAGAAAGCTCTGGGCAAGATGCATCATGCCGAGGCATTATGGCACACACATCGTCCTCCATCAGCCACGTCAGTTGGCGCCAACTCTCATTCGCCGCCGCCGCCGCATTCGCACAACAAATCCCTCGGCCATCAAGGCAACCCGGCGCGTCCCCTGCCGCCCCCTCCATCATCATCATCGTCCTCTGTCCAACAACCCGCGACCATCTGGACTGCCGTCCACGCCGGCAACGTCGCTGACGTCCGCCGCTTCCTCGACCTGGACAGGCACATCGTGTTCCGCCACCATGAGGCCGACGGCGGCAAGACGCTTCTCCAAGTGGCATGCTGGCATGGCCACGTCCATGTAGTGATGTTTCTCACCATGTTCGTGCAAGCTACGTTCGGCCTCGATGCACTGACCGCGTATGTAAATGCCATCGACACTGCATATAGCCGCAGCTCGGCACTGCTGGACACGTGTCGGTCGCTCAAGGCAAGTCGGTCGTTGTATCATTCTGCAGCTACTACAGTACTACACATGCTTGTGCCTTGTTCTTGAATACATATACGTGAGCAAAATACTATAATACGTGTGATAACAAGGATATTTATTGTCCTTTTACTCCAAATTTGGACTACTTTTGTGGTGATTCGCCGAATCTATCGATCGATTCGTCTTTGGACTGATATTGTCGTTTTACCGAAAATTTGGGCTTTTGTGCTCATTCGCCAAATCTATGGTTGTACTGACGTTTGTGTCCAGTGTCACACTAATTTCATTCACACACTAATTCAATGTTGAAATGGTCGAAGAATGGATTCGATTGGCTACTTGATTCGTGATCTGGGTTTTGATTGGTCAAGCGATTGTCCGCCGATTTGGTGCTGTTCATTTGATTGACCACCCTACTCCAATTTCGAACCGACTTGACAATATATTTTGTATGTAGAAGAGTTGTCCTGTGTGTGGTGATTTATTGTATCACACTAATTGAAGTCACACACTAATTCGATGTTGATGATGGTATGCTGCAATCTGATTGGCTCAATTCTTCTGTCGATTCTTCGGTCCATTTGGTTGTGTCGGTCGATTCATTATTCTCCATGTCACTCCAGTTTCGAATCAACACAACCATACTAACTACTACTACTACTACTACTACTAGTACTACTAGTATTACTAGTACGTACTATGCGACTATTAATAGTACTTCTCATCGTTTGTGGGTACTTTATACATTGCAACGTACTGTTCTGGCACGACTGGTTCACTTGTACTGAGTAACTTACTACTCCAGATTGTCGTGACATCAAGTCCGAATGTTAAAATTATATATATATATATATATTTGTATACACTGTATCTCATTTTAACCACCCACATTACAGGGCGACGTAAACGCTAAACTCAAGATCCTCCAGCTCCTGGTGCAGTTTGGGGCGGTGGTGGAGCACCAGGACTGCCACGGAGACAACGCACTGCACTGGAGTGCGCGCATGCAGGCGCTGCCGACCACTCGTTTCCTCATCCAAGACACGGACGCCGCCGTGTACGCGCTCATTTCGGAAAACCACAAGCGGCAAAAGGTAACAAGCATATCTCACCAAACATATCTCACCAATTGTCCATGACACTTGGTAACAGAATATCTCACCATTGGTCCATATTGTTTTGTCGTTTTATAGCCATTGGATGTGGCCAAGCTAGCCCGAGATGCCAAGCCGAGTATGGTCACGAGCGCCATCTTCGACCTCCTTAGCCGCGTGCACAGGGACTGCAACGTCCGCCTAAAGATACAATATGGAAAGAAGCTCCGACTGCACGCAGAAGCCGAGGCCCGCGCCCGCCGGGTGGACGATGTCACACACGCTGCCGACAGCGCTCGCATGCTTTGCCACAGGTATATATATATTTATATACTGTTGTGGAAAGGATGTTGATATATATTATTGATATATTTTATTAGACATTTTTTTTATTTTTATTTATTTATTTTATATATTTAAGGATTTAATGAGTTGTGGTATGCAATGCACATATCGATATATATATATAACGTTATAAATGGGGTTGGCCTGTACATATATATATAGTTAATTTATGCTGTTGATATGCACTCGATATCCCTCGATCCACTGTGGAGTTGTACCGTATTTGTCGTTGAACTGCACCATGCAATCAAAATCATGAATATTATTCCATATATATATATATATATATATATCAACAGAATCTCAAATCAATTATACCATTGAAATCCTTCAAGAAATTGTTTAAAGGTACGATAAATACGGGTAATAGGAATTACTTACCACGACAACCACAGCGCTATTCGAGGATAATATATATATTTACTCTTCTTGTACAATTTGGCCACGTCCAAATATTCACGTCTTTTATCTTTCCAACCATGATATTACCAGGAAATGATATATATATATATATATATATGTCGTACGACCCTACGTTTGGTATTATAGTGCTATTTCCAGGAAATGAAATATATATATATATATCGTTCGACCTGACGTATGATTATAGTGCAGACCAAATGTGGACTATGGCGCTGGAAGCAGCCGAGTGCGTGCGCAATGACATGGAAGCCAAAGTGCTGGACGAAGGCGGCAAGGATGCGGTGGGGCGCGCGCGGGTGTGGCTCGAGACCAAAGAGGGCAAGGCGTGGGTCAAGAAGGAGGCGCCGGACGCCATCGAAGCCATCAAGAGCCTCGTGCACAAGGGCGTGGTTCCTAAACCGAGGGACCTGAAGAAGGCGGCGGCCGTGCGCGTGATGGAGGAGTACGTCCTCGGCCAAGAGACCAACATGCGCGACCTGATCAAGAAGAAGTTTGGTCGAGAACACCCCGCGTTCGAGTCGCGGGATGTTGAGTACTACAAGCGTGTGGTCCACAACGGCGGTGCTAGATAAGCTGACAAGGCTCATCTGAGTGACCTTTTTCTTGTACACGATGGAGTGAGTACCAACCAGTATTGTAGTCCTATTTTAACGTGGAAGCTGGAGTCGACAATAGTATCATCGACTTGACTGTGAATATAAATTTATGAAGTTTTATGGGGTTATGGCTGGGCCAATCAACGTGATGTTTTAGAGCGATGATTGGCAGAAACGTGTCATTGGTGCAATTGGATTGGGTAGGTCATTGTAAAATGTTACTAGTACTACACATTGGCCAAGTGTTCATTCGATTTCGACGACGAAGTCCAAATTTAGAAAGAAAATTTACTTGTTAAAGTAAGGTAAAGGTAATCATGAACATGGCAAATGATGCTAGGATGGATTTGTACGTTGAATAGCATGGATTCTGTCAGGTAACGTGCGAGGTATGGAGGTCTTTTTTTTTAGCTACAGGCGTCGAGATAAGTAAAGTATCAAGGGTCATCGCAATGTTCGTACTATTTGAATCTTATACTATAGTACAAGCCAAGCCAGTTGGGTATGCAGAAGATATCCAACTCGTATATGATGTACTAGTGTATCTAGTATATACTACGATATAGTAGTACTATATGTTCTTGTTTTCACACAACGTTTGTGATGTTCGATTTTGGCGCCGGTCAAATATAGTCGAATGGATTCGCAAGCATGTGACACAGCGAGTTTTCATAGCATAGTGGCCATGTTTCAAATTGTCTCCGTTTATCTTGCTCGTTGTATGTCTATTTAATGATTTAAAAACAGTATAATGTTTTAGTTCTTTTGCTACTATTTCTATTTTACGAAATTATACTTTTTTATTTTTACATTATTATTGGTCTATTATTGATTCTAATAATTATATTTTTAATTTTTATTTTGAACCAAAACTTTACAATTATTTTTTATTTATTTCTCAAGGGCCCGTCTTGTAACCTCAAATATGACAATAGTCTGGCCTTTCAAACCGCCATTTTGGGGCCAAATTCAATAATAATAAAAACCTGAAAGAATTGAAACATGTCGTTGCTAGTAGAAACTTTTAGTAACGCAAAGCCAATATATAATTCCAGGTGGGATTTCCTCGAACTCTTTCACGAGGTTCAAAACGCCATGTCACTACATGGGCCTTTTACCTCGATGTCGAAAATGTCATTTTTGATATATATATCCCATTTTGCCAGAAAATGGAATTATATTTTTGAAATCTGACCCGATGCACCCTAAAACATTATCGAACGCAATACATGTTGTGGGACTGTAAACGTGATATATCTATTGCCGAGTATATATTTATTTCAGGATTGCATTGTTTGTGTCCATTATTCATATTAATATGATAAAGTCACGGTGGAATCCCCGACGGCGCGTGTGGACATGAAATTGTATTAATATTTTTTAAAATATAATAAACGACGATAGCTGTAGTGATTGATGCCGTGGTTGTAAGAACGCTTTATGCAATGTAAAACACGTCCGAAATCGGGTTTGAGCGACTGGATCCTGCCACGACCACAAGTCGCCCGATGCAAATGCCGTCGGGGCGGACGGCGGCCGGGAGCGTGTGGCGGTGCGCCGTCGGCGCGCACACGACGCTCTCCCACAGCCACTCGTTTGTTTCAGGTGAGTTGTTGGACGAGTCCCATCGACCCCAATAAAGCACCACCACGTCGTTCGTCGCCGGTCGTGGTGGCGGAGGCTGCCACGTCACCTAATCATGTACAAGACAGTATTGAACGATGGTTATACTAACAGTGGTCGACAGCTGTGAGGGGGCCTTTGGGAATAAAATATTGCTGCATAAATGCTAGCGATAAACAGTTAATATGAACATTGTAACTCACAGGCCAAGCTACAAAGTGATCATTTAAACACAACTTCAATGTTGATATTCTCGCTAAAGCGATGTTGCAAAGTTTCAACATGAGTCATTTTTCACCGTATTACATAATAAAGTTCCATATCTAATCAACGCGTTTTTCATTCTATGCATAAAAATTGGTGAAAATCTGAGAAACATCCTTGCATAATCGATACATATTATCCGAAGCCCTCTCACAGCTGTCGACTACTGTAAAATAGATGAAAAGTAAAACAGTGAAAACCTCGATAGTCCAGTGGCTGGTGGAGGAGCGAGCGGGACGAACGACGATAGCAACGCTGTCCGGGTCAATATGTGGGGGCACATAGGATTCGTGCTGAAGGGCAAATGCCACGAACTCAGAGTGCATGCGCTTTCGATCGACAGCTGAAGACGGCGCGTCCACCACGCCTGCCAGACCCCGCATCAGCGCTTGATGCTATAGCGTAGAATCAATATATATATTTATATATACATTTATTCATGGCATCAACATATAATATATATATATATATATTATATTCTACTAAATCGACCGATGCTACAACGTAGAATCAATATATATGTATATTTACATTTATTCATGGCATCAACATATAATATATATATATATATATTATATTCTACTAAATCGACCACAACGCATCAAACACCACCTAATCATCACAATCATGTTGTTCACATTTTGTACACACATACATATGCATGTGTTTACGATGGATAATAAATAAATACTGCCAACTATAACATAAAATAATAGTACAATATCTGATAGTATGCAATCTATTTATCTATTTGCATGCAAATTACAAACGTATACCTCTGAATACTAATGTACACTATAAAACATATACGAACTCGCAGGATGCTGTCCCTCCATCGAACCACTCGCGGCAGAGTCCAATTGATGGTGCTGCACACTAATTGGCGAGCAAACGTGGATGCTGCTCCATGACGACGGGAATCTCGTAGAAATGGCCCGATTACAGTCATAACCGTCGCGTGGGTGAGCAACTTGCACGGGATCGCGACCAACGCCGCCAGCAACTGCACGTCCCTTAACCGGTCGGTCGCCGCCGCAAATATTTGGTTTTTTTGCTGAATTGCATGTTTCTATACATAAACTTTTAACCACACATGGGCAGGATTAGGGTTTTATTTCGTTTCGCATTTTTCTTGCCATTTTGCCGTGGAAATTGTGGAAAGCACCAGGAAATTGGAACACAGTAATATGATTGGCTAAAAAGAATGAATGTAGAAATATGATTGGCTAAAACGGAAAGAATGTTCAGACAGATTGTATCTCATCAACTTGGCCGCCGCGTAGAACTCGCCGAACCTTCGAAAAACAATATTATTTCTCGAAGGTTTGGCGATTTGTAGGCGGTTGATTCGACCAATCAAAGGGTCTTCGAAGTATATACTAGAATACAGTAGTATTTCACTTCGAAGTTACGGATATCGAATCGAAACTCTTGCACTATCCGGAGGGTTTGTTTCTACTGAAGTATATATATCACACAAAGATCCAAATACTAGTAATTTCTATAACGTCCGGATAGCGCCAAACTAGCAAGGTGGACTAAAAATAGAGTTGGACTACTTTAACCGATGCTCTAATAACGTTACCACCTACCAATTCCAACTCCTTGAACCATACTTTTGATATCCTGATAAGAAAAAGAAGAGCAATGTCGATATACGTACATGCGCGATCAGTCGGCGAATAAATTTGGCCGTCCTGACCGCCGACACAAACGACGCCATCAAGCTGGCAAACTGACCACCCGCGAGCCGTTTCGGCCGGCCGTAGACCTCCGCGACGTCTTTGGACTTCAAATCGCCGCCCAAAATCGCCTCGTGGACGTCCACGTCGGCCGCGCGCAAGTCGACTGACAGCGCCAGGTGCCGCAGCTGACGCTCCAACTCGACGCGCTTGTGGATGGTGATGCTGTCAAAAGCCCCCCATAACTGCATCAACGGAATGTCGAACAAGGCTGGGGCAGGGTTTACACTGCCAAATGAGTGCACGGCGCTGTGGTTGATGACGCTGTCGGCATTCCTGGTCTACATGCACTCTGGGTTATATATTTATGTATAATATATATATTCTACATGAGACGAATCCCGAATGATAGGATATATATGTATATACAGTATATATGTTTAAATCCGATGAGGGCATATGTTTGAAAATATATATGAATATGTATGTACGTGCCATGTGCATGAGTCGACGAATCCTTGGTAACCTCAACACATATATATGCTTATATTCTATATATATATATGCTACAGAAGACGAAATCATGAAAATACATCGAGCATACAATATATATATATAGAATTCGTACGAGAATGTACTGCTGGCACTGTTGGTGGCTATAGTCGGCATCGGCGTCGGCCCGCTTGATGTCTAGGCGGTTGACAATCAAATCGCCTTCCGCTGCAAAGTATGCCGCCCGCGCACTACACTCATACTATCAGCATCACTCTCCATAACCATCCCACTAAACTATATATATATAAAAATGGGAAACAATATGTGCGAATTCTACATCCCACTAAACCCATCTATTCATATAATATATATATATATATCCTAATGGGACACAATATGTGCGAATTCTACATGGTCAAACATCGACGTTATGCTGTCAATAGTCAGATGCACTTTTGTAAAAAATAATACATTTTATAGCAATAAAAAACTAATTCTACAAAATGTCTAAGTGATGATGTTTCACATTCTCAAGAGGAGACCACCAGTAAACCCCAACGTCCAAATGTAATTGAAATATTTCCAGCATTTCTAGGACTATATATATCGACAAGCATTTAAACTGCTTTGCCACATGATATAGACCTTTCGTATCAGTGTTCATGCTAGCCACACAAAAACTATACATTTCCCCAACAGAATCCATGTATTTGCAGCCAAAAAATAGTAATATTGCACTGTTAATTTGGTTCGAAATAATTCAAAGATTTTGGTTGTCTTCTATTTTTGGCTGTCTGGATCAAACTGATTTCGAAAGATTGCCATCTTTCAGAACCAAATGTCCCTTGGACGTTTTGTCATATTTGGCGAAAAACGCGATATTGGGCAAAAACTATGGAAATCTCCAAAATTGTGTTGGATCTAGACCAAGAAATTTTCAAGTTTTGCCGACTTGTTATTGTCGATTTGATATACAAATTTGGGTGTGCAATCGAATTTCGCGCCGACCAAAAAACCGATCCACCATCGATCTGATTGGTTGTTGAATTTCATTGAGAAGGTTTTGATTGGCTAATAATGTTGAGCTCATCTGAGGTAGCCAATCAAATCGATTTAAATTCCAACCAGAAACCACGCCACCACACAATGAAATTTCACTCGAAAGCACAAAAACCACAAATCAAAAGCCATCATATCGTGTTAATAAATGGGTATTGGCCTTCTTTTGTAACATCCACACTTACCCTACCCCCCACTCAAAACATGTGCATTTTTCCCAACAGCATCCATGTATTTGCAAGTTGATAATAAATATATCGTACGTAGGTCCTATGAACTTAGGATATATGTATCATCAACAGTCAATATATATACGTACGCCACGTATTCAGGGCAATTTGGGTCGACTTTGAACCACTCCAGTTTGTCGGTGCGCTTGATGTACATGGCTTCTTGCAGCACCGTGCGCTTCAAGTTGACCTGGCGGGCCCACGTGGCGCTGGCGCTGGCGTTAAGAAACAGCATCAAATGCATCGCATCCATCGGTCGTTTCGGAGCAAGTTGCTCGGGATTCGAACCAATTCCGTCGACCATTGCGAGTTGGGTACGGACGAGGTCGTCCAGCGTGGCTTTGTTGCCGTCGTGCGCGTCTATGGCGGCCGTAAGAAGCGACTGCACCGCTAGCACCACGTTCTTGCGATGTTGCACGAGCCTATATATATATTTCATACTCGTGTTTTCATGGTTTGGTCGTACATTCTTGATTTATAATTGATATATACATACACTCTCATGATATAAGTGAACGAACGAAGAACACAACTACTCGTGGTATAATTTAATATATTCCATATAGTGAACAACTCAAAGTACAAACGAATCACACACAACTCGAGGTATTAATATATATATATATATATTATATATTTGGTACACTCCCTAATAAAAACTCAAAAGGACGAATAACACAAATTTATATATGTATCCATACTCGACGTCGACATTAAAGTTGTAGTGAACACTAAGCACATCAAAATAGCCTGCGATCTTCATACCACTATTCGTACTCGTAAAAGTTTTATAGGTACTGGACGTCCGCAAACAAGTTGTGAAACACAAAACAGTGTCACAGGAGGATTGGACGTACCAGTTTTCTTCAGCAAACGCGGCCGCCTGCGCATGACATCGCCGCCAGCTGGCGTCGGACGCCGTGTGCATGTGCTCATGCAGCGTTCGAAACGCGTTCGCTACGGGGATATCGGACGGCGGGTACGACTTTCTCACTTGGTTCAGTTGAGTGAGCACCCGATCCAGGAATCGACACCGATGTACCAGCAGATCGTTCAATTTCGTCTTTCGAATCGCTTCTTCTTGACCAATCTATATCCCCCATATATACGATATTAAAAAACTACTCGTGTTTTTCACATATATATATATATATACTATTGTTCATTCGATTCGAAATTGGAGTGGGTGCTAAATTGAATGAGCAGCACCAAATCGACAGACACTCAAAGATCGACCAATCAAAATCCAAAACACGAGCCAATCAAATTCACTCTTCGACCAATATTCAACATCGAATATTAGTGTGTGATTGAAATTCGTGTGATACTGGATGATCTTTTGATGCAAAAGTCAGTACAATGAATCGCTCGATCAATTTGGCAAAGAATCAGCACAAAAGTCAAAATATTGGGTAAAAGAAAGACAATAATGTATATATATTCTAAGTTTGATTCGAAACTGAAGAGGGTGCTCAATTGACAGTTAACCAAATCGACCGACAATCGATATACGACCAATCAAAACCCAGATATCACGAATCAAGTAGCCAATCAAAAATCCCCACTCTATAACCGATCCCCATCGAATTCGTGTATGACTTCTATTAGTCGTGTGGCACTCTTACGTTTTTTCCCCACAAAAGTCTGTACACACAATCGCCCGATCGATTTAACGTATCATTAGCCATAAAAATCCAACATTTGGCAGAATATATAATATATATGTATTATATATACGTAGTAGTAAAAATGCAACATTTGGCCGAATATATATAATATACATATATAATATATATGCATAATATATGTATTTACGTAGTAGTAAAAACCCAGCATTTGGCCGAAAGCACAATATACATATTATATATATATGTTATATATATAATAGACATATATCATATATATATATGTACGGAGTATATATATTATCGTTGTTTATATCAACATTCCATATTATATGGTTGTGTTACCTGAAGCAATTCCGTTTCCTGTCGACACATGCGCTCCAGTACCCGCACTCGGTTGGCACTTCGCTGAGTCAGTCGTGTTTGCTTTTGCAATTCCAGTCGTAACATGGAGCTTTCAATGAGGGTACTATCAACGACCAAAACGTCGGCGATAATAGGTGCAGGAATCGTGCCTCCATTCTGGTGGAGGTCGTCGGCCACGCCTGCATGTAGGTGCAGGTCCAGTTCAAGCGCGCGTTGTCGCTTCGTCTCTAGGTCGAGCACTAGGTGCAGCACTGCGTGCAAGCTTGACTGCCACCGCTGCACCCTCACGGACGCCCCCATGTGCACCCACACAGCCGCCTTCCACGCCGCTTCCTTTGCACCTACCAATCCCTCGGCCCGTTCAACTTGAACAGTTAGCAACTCTTGTTCGCGACTCATTTGCTCCATTTGACTTTCCAACTCACTGGCATCTTCAAATACACTGGCAAAGCTCTCGGACTGGTACGTAGCCAGTTGGTCCCACAAGTATTTGGTGGTTTTCAAGCTGGCTAGCCTCGCGACCGATTCGACCTTCGTGTGGGTGGTCAGGATCTGTCGCAGATGTAGCATACTGTCGCGTATTGCCAATTGCATGTCATGGCTGCGACGATGTGCTTCGAAACAGCATCGCAGTTTATGCCGACAACTTGCCAAGTCTTCTTTAGCAGACCGGAAGCTCCGCTCGGCGTCTTGCCGCGGGCCAGACGTCTCATCTAGAGCATGGACGGCGGCGCGGAGACCCGCAGACGTGGCGTTCAACACGGCCAGACACTGGTTAACCCACGCTTTGTGCGCCAATGCCACCACGCTCTACACCCAAGAGCTGCTCAGCTATTGCTACAGATTATCCCAATATATGTACTTGCCTGCAAATACAAGCAACAGCATTGACTGTGCAAGTACGTTTTCCGGCGGGAAACTACTTGGTCTTGGACGCGAGCCAGCATCACATGCAGCGATTCCCAGGCTTCCCCCAACTCCATCGCCGGATCTGGCCGCGTCCATGCCGCATCGCGCAGCACCGCGGCAGGCAACTCGACGGCACAGAGCGGCGCCACATCCGACCGTACATGGTATGTATCGAGAAAGCGTTGTTTTGCAGCGTATAACTGCTCCAATTGGGTTTCAATCTAACTCGATTGTCGTCGATATTTTGAGCCTTTTCCCATGTTTGAGACGAAGTATATATATATTACACAACTATATATATATATATGACACAACTATATATATATATATATATATATTACACAACTATATATATATATATATATTGTTGTGTATATTCGAAACTGGAGCGACGTGGAGAATGAAAGCCAATCGACGACGACAACGACACACCACCAAATATTAATATTTGTGCAGAAGACGAGACGCAATATTAGAGTCCAGGAAGTCAAACTTGTCATTCGAGTGAAATTAATGTGCTTATTACAATCACCACAGGACAACGTTTTTCACATAAAATTCACAGTACACTAAATTGAACGATAGATTTCGTGAATCAGCGCCAAACTCCAAATTTTGGGTCAAAGGACAATATCTATATTGTCAGTTTGATTCGAAAGTGGAGTGTGATTGATCACGAAATCGGCCGAGAATCGATATACGACCAATCAATCCAAACAAAGAATTGAATCAAGCAGTGGCCAATCGCATTCTCGCTGCAACGATTCCACATCGAATTAGTGTATGACTGAAAATAGTGTGCAGTGCGTCATATTTTTCCCCATACAAAAATGTAGTGCAAGACATCGATCGATGGATGTGGTTAATCAACATAAAAGTCCACATTTTGGGTACACTAGTATGTACACATGACAGTGGATATATTGTTACTAGTACTTACACTATGCAGGTCCTTGGCTTGCACAAATCCGTCTTGCATCTGATCGAGACAGTACTTTTCATGCAGTTGCATGTCATGCACCGCACGCTGGAGCCAGTCGCCGTCGAAATTACAAGGCGCGGCAGACGGTACAAACGTCATGACGCTGGATAGGGCGATGCGGTACAGCGTAGCAGCGTCTGTGGACGGAGAGCGTAAATACGCTTTTAACATGTCTGCCACCGTAGCTTGCCACGTGGAAATACAAGCCAATACCGTTGTGGCTTGGGTCTATCATCCCAATTATAAATATCCTCACGACAACCACGTATTATGTGCACTCATATATTGTAAAGTCGATTTGAAAGTGGAGGGATTGGAATGCTCCATCGAGAATGTACAGACGACTAACCCAATCGCAGGCATTCAATATCGATGTATCGACCAAACCATGAATCTCAAGTAGCCAATCAAATCCGCCGCTCTTGGACCAATTTCACCTCGAATTAGAGTGTGTGACTTCAATTAGTGTGATACTGGACATATGAATAAGATTGGTTTCTTGCGTAGTACATACCAAAGTTCAGTCACACGTGTAATCAATCGTCCGAATATATCAGCCCCAAAGTTAGCCAAATAACGAGTAAACGGATAATATACCAATTCCAGCGCGATCAGTTGCTTGATAAATGCAATCTCGGCTTCTTGAACCATGGACGCTTGCAACGTCGCGTACCACTGCGCGTTTACAAACGGGTAGAGGACGCCAATGTCATAAAGATAGGCCAAACCAGCACGATGCGGCTGCAGGGAGCCAGTGGCGACGGCCACGTCACTAGACTGCCGGATGCGGCCAAGAGCGTCCTCTTCCACACATAACAACTGGTCACTTAACCATACGAGGCGCGCCGACGCCGCCGCCATCTCGACGTCGAGTCCCGTGACTTGGACGTTCAAGCTCAAGACGGTGCGGTCGCGGTGCTGTTGCGTCGATTGATTCCAGTGACCCAACTGGGCCTGCACCGACAGCAGGTCCTCCATGTCCTGGTCGTACCGGGTAAATATATGCTGGTGGAGCTGGCACACGCTCGACGCGCGGGCGTTTGCGAGCTCGACGTGTCTACGAAAGCCAAAACCACAACAGCAAAATTGTCAAGTCGATGATGCGAAGTTAATTTGGACAGGTTGATTGATTGGGGTGCTCAATCAAATGTGATCAGAAGACTGACCAAATCGACACGACAATCGATATACGACCAATCAAACCCTAGAATACTAAAAGTAGCCAATCAAATACGAGTACACACCAATTCAACATCGAAGGAGTGTGTAGTAAATTAGTGTGACACAGTCACTGTTTACATACAGAACTCAGGAACGAGTTACAAAGAATGGATCCATAGATTTGGCGAATCAGCACAAAAGTTCAAATTTTGGGTCAAACGACAATAATATATAGTGGATTCGAGACACATTTCAGACCCCGTCGAATCGAATATCTCGCCGCCGAATCAAATCACGAATCAACGCTATTGGCTAATCCATTTTTGAGAGTGGATTGGATTGGCTCGAAAGGACAAGTATATTCAACCAATCAAAGAACTCTACCGTGATTCAATATTCGACAAACCATATATGCGAATTTTGGACCATTATAGCGATATTTTCACAATACATTGTTGTCGATTGAACCAAATGAGCAACAATCATCCAAAATGAATGGAAAGACAAATACTCGATAACGACCAATGAAAACCCAGAACACGATGCAAGCGGCCAATCAAATATTCACTCGTCCACCAATCCACATCAAATGTTCGTGTGGGATAGATATGTATGTACTAGTAATATATATATATTGTATATTTTACATGCAACATTCAGTCCAACACACACAATCGATCGACTGATTTCAATCGCGACTCTGCACACTCATACACAAAAATATATCCAAATATATTCAACTTTTGGCAGAAAAACAAAAAAAAAAACTTTTCTCTCAAGTTGCAATCGTCAGCCATTTCATATGTTTGTTTGAAACACGTTGGAAACGGTTAGTGGACATCAATATATGTCGTCGTACTTGGCTTTTTGCTGCAACCAGCGGCGCTCTGCATGGGATTTTCGAAGCTGAAACAATGGCGGCGGTAAATGAGTCGATGGACATGACGATGATGGTGAGAACGAGGAAGAAGGGGCAGTGCTGCTTGGTTGGCTTATTAGCATCTCCGACACTTGGTCCACGAACGCTGCAAAGTCGGCGCTGGTGGCAGGTCGATGGAAGCTGCACATGTAGCATGGCTGTAGTAATAGCATCTGAGGGGACATCGTCCGGCAGTCGTCGCACTCAAACGATGTGTCCAATGCCGCCAGAACAACCGTGTTCCACGGTCTCGGCAGACATGGCGTTGCTGCAGATATTGGTGGTACTACTGGTGGCCTTTCCATAGTACCCTTACCACCACCATCATCCAATCGAATATGCCACATGGGTTTTCCCATAGACTTGGCATCACGAGCTACAACAGATATGCCGACAACAGCACCATATTATGACGATGGATTAGAACTCGCCTTCTAGCGTTTGAGCTATATATATATATATATATATATATAAACCTGCAGTTTCGACCGCCACGGTATCGGTCGTACAGCTGGACGTGATAAACAATACTTGGGCACACAATTGCCACGCGTCAGCATTGCGTTTGTGTGGGGCTCCACCCATGACATCCTTCTCGTCCTTGTCGTCGGCAACACCTTCCATCTACACATGTACATCACAACCTCTTATTCCCTGCTAGAAAGTCAAGTATAATGAATGCGGTCCGAACAGATTGTTGGCACTGATCACACGACCACTACGACCAATATATATATATATATATATTGGTTAATAGTTTTTTATGTAGGTTGGATATACATAAATATATATCCAACCTACATAAAAAAAACAATAGTTTCATTTTTTTAATTTTCGGTTGGATATATATATATATATATAGATATGTACATATCCAACCGAAAATTAAAAAAATAAAACTACTACTACATAATACTAGGACTAGTAGAAAACTCCAAATGTAGGTCCAAACACAATATAAAGTTAGTGGCGACTTAAGCAAGCACCTGATCTATCATTGTCAAGTGCTGCTCGTCTGGCAGCCACAATGGGCGGTCGTGCGAGTGCACGGGTGGACACAACGGCACGTCCGGCTGGCCCCGCTTTCGACCGGTTCGAAGGGCAAACACGAGTGCTTGCAACGCGTTCCAAACACTTGGGCGTTCGCAACGACACCAGACAAACGTGGCACTCGGGACCAAAGTCGGTGGAATATACTGGTTTCGTTTGACTTCAGTGAACCGAGCTTGCGCCCACGCGAATTGGAGCTGGACGAACCCGGCCATCTCGGCCGCCACGACCTATTTAGTATCCAAATACTCATCACATCTTGGACTTTCGAGTATTAGAATCGAATGAACGTGGAAACAGGTATTTGAGATATGGCCAATCAAAGTGCGCTAAATACAAGACATTTCAACCAATCATCATCGAGTAGACTTGCAGGATTTCAGAATGGCCTGACCAATCAAAGGTCCACTAAATAGAAGAAATCGTTTTCCTAAAAACATGATCATCGATTTTTTCGATCGAATCCTCTTGAAATTATTGTGAATTCGCTATAAACGTCCAATTTTGTCGAATATTGAATCACGCCGGAGGTCTTTGATTGGTTGACTATACTTGTTCTTTCTGTAAGAGCCAATCAAATCCACTCAAAATTGGATTAGCCAATAGCGTCGATTCATGATTCGATTTGGCAGCGAGATATGTCGATTCAACGGGGTCTGGAAATTCGTATTGAATCCACAAGATTACAATCCCATATATTGAAGCTTAAAATCGATTCTCAACGCAGGTGCCAAGTCCATCAAATGCCAGATAAATGGACCAAACAACGTGAATTGATCGTTTCAGACGTCTCGTACGTACCGGTTCGAGACGCTCGACGGCGGCGTCGTCGGCCCCGCGCCTCGCGTCCAATCGACCGACGAGCTCCGGCACCACGCGGTTGATTTCTGCCACGTCCGTCGCCGTACGGAGCTCCCGACGGTCCTGCATCCGCCGACCCAAGACGGACTTGGCGCCAATCGCATGTTGCAGCAACAACGGAGCAATATCTGACCGCATTCGCGTCGTTTCTCGCAGTCGGCTGACCCACGCAGCAAGTTGCACGTCGATTTCGATCGCCGTAATAAACACGTTATCCGTGCGCTTCAAATCGTCGTCGATCAAGCGAAGGCCCTTGGCGGCTTGGGCAAACTCGACGTCGGCGTCGTCGATACATCCCTTGGCATGGACTAGCGCCAGTGGTTCCACCCATTCCGTACGACTGGTAGATCTGGTGGACAAGTCGTAGGCAAAGTCGCCTACATGATGACGTTATCAAAAAAACAAATGGCATCGATCACGTCATCAAACCACGAATCGATGACGTTATCAAATCTCATATTGTTGTGTGTTTATTCTAAACTGGAGCGACATGGAGAATGAATCGAACACACAACCAAATAAAGTACACAAGAATCATTGGCAGAAGGATTTAGCCAATTAGATTGCAGGAAACCATCTCCAACATCGAATTAGTGTGTGCCAGAAATTAGTGTGATTCCAAGCACCGCAAGCAACGTTTTACATATTTTACATACAAACTTCAGTACAAAGAACCGATCGATGGATTTCACGGATCAGCACAAAGGTCGTCCAAATTTTGGGTAAAAGGAGCTTTGAAACAAGCATGATTTTATATATTTATTGAATTAAAATTTAATATTTTCTGATATGGGCAATTCATGGCAATGTTATTGGCAATTCGATTATCGGAAATGAACTGAAGGGGGGGTTGGTCCTCAATAGAATGAAATAGACTATGTTATCGATCGGCCAATCAAAACCCACAACACAGATTCAGTGACCAATCAAAATCACTCTTAACATTATGAGTGTGTGGTTGAAATCACAGTTTGTGCGAAACGCGACGACACCCTTCATACAAACTTCAGTACAAACACGTTGAACGATGGATTCTTCAGCGGATCAACCCCACACTCCAAATTATGGCGGAAAAGACGATCATATATAACGTAATCAAAACTCATCGATAAAACCATCGATGACGTTATCGTGTATGACGTAATCCAACGCATCGATGACGTAATCCAACAGATCCAAGACGTACTTTGTTATCATACGATGACGTAACCATACTGGCATAAGCAGGTACATATGCAGGAATACGACGACATCAAACACTAGTGGTCGTCGTGACGTGGTCAGGTACTGTACTATATACCATACTCAATGTCCCCCATACAATATATATATATATATATCCCAATACATATTGTACCAACGGCAGTGCCTTGAAAGGCAAACTTCTCGGCCGACGGGGGCTTCTGGGGGGTTTCTTGGGGCGTCCGACACTCGTCCACGAGCGTTCGGATGTCCATTTCATGAACAAAACCAACCACATCGTCTGATATGGATTGAAATTGCTTGGAAAAGACCTCCTTGGCCGAGCGCAGTTGCTCAAACTGCTTTTGGGCGTTGCTTGTGTCCATATCTTCCACGTGTTCCAAGTACGCTTTCCGACACTGGTACATCGCGTCAGCCCGCCGCGCGCCCGTCCGGGTCGCCGCCGCCGCGATGTCAGTGTATTCATGGCACGGACGTTGCTCAGTGAGTTGCTGTACCATCGCATACGGCGGTCTACTCGTTTGTCAGCCACGACATGTGTGACACCTGCAGAGATAGCAACCCACATTGCAACATATGACGTGGCAGCACGGACCGAGCCGCAGACAATGTATGACACGTGCACTTCGACGCTTTGGCCTGTGGGTTTTGTCCAATCAAAAGAGCCGCTGAAGTGCAAATGATCGCTGGACGTCAGCACGCCTATGTATGTATGTACGCACGATAACGTCATATATCATATCACACCTTCCCAACCTACAAACATTTGTATAAAGATATCTCCTGTTACTAAAATTACCATAAAAAGGTAAATAAAGATAAATAAGACATAAATCTAGACAAATGGGGGTCATTACCCATATATTCACTTGAATATAAATGAACTAAAGTAGAAACGCCAGTCACTACAGTTAACATAACAAAAGTTAAAGTATCAAAATAAAAAGCCCAATTACAATAAAAAAGTCCACTAGAAATCCAAGTAGTACATTCGGTTGTACACACGATAACGTCATATATCATATCATTCGGTTGCTGGGAGTCGGAATTGTCATCACATAGGAGACTCCAGGACGTTGAAATAGTATGTCCAAGGTGTATACTACTAGTACTACTAGTATAGATTTGTCGAAATGGCGCACAAACGACCGACCAATCAAAACCCAGACAACACGAATCAAGTGGCCAATCAAACTCGTGCAAACCATCAAATTCGTGTGTGCCTTCAAATAGTGTGAATAGCGTCACCAACTTGACATCCAAAATGCAGTAAGTAGTTATTCAAAACCCGATCGATTTGAATAATCAAATAAATCTCTACCTTTTGGTTCAAAGCACTCTATATATATTATATATATATATATATATATCATCAAAGGCTTATTAGGATTCAAAGAGGATAAAGATATAGTGGAAAGAGGGGCTTTGTACCAATATCCATAACGTGTTCGTGTACACTATGTGTGTATATATTGCTTGGCATGTCGGAAGTAGCGGCGGTAGTGCAAGTGCTTCGACCAGCGCGAACGTCATAGGGCTTGGTCGACAGCGTCAACTTGAGTTTTCCGTCTGTGACATCGTTTGCGGTCGCCACGACCTCCACGCGCACACTCTACCGCAGATCCCACCATCCCTTTAATCTTCTTGTATATGGAGTTAGTTGGTTCTAACTAGTAATACGTATGTACTGTACATGGCACACGACATGCATGCACTTGAACAAGACGTCGCTGAGCACCCACTCGATGTCGTCCATCGCAAACGAATATGCGACGACGTTATGGTGGTCAAAGCCCATACTTTTTGGCTCATTTTCCACCACCGCATTGGGTGTTAGCGATATGAGACTCACACGGGTCACGTGCTGTACCAGCGTCCATAGGTACCGGAGTCGGTCCGACCACCGCGGCATCGCAGGCACATCGTCACAGGCGACGACCGCCGCCGACCAAAACACACTTGTATTGGCCACATGCTATCAAAACAGATATGAATAATTGTCATATATACTATTATGCGTTTGCTACATATTATGCATTTGCTACATATTTCGCAATTCTACTCCCAACACTCTCGCCGCCAAGTTCATTGGATGTTAGAACGCACAAAGTCAAAAGGAAAATAGAATGTAGCCAATCAGCGACAAGCATTTTCAAATTGACCAATCGGAGCGATTCGGGATGGTCGGAAAATATTCCAACGCAATACTAACACGTTACTGTACAGTGAACGATGGAATTTTTAAGTCACACCGAAGTTCGTCTGAATATTGCTTTAATTAACCAATCAGAATCATGGATTTCAAAACCGTTGGTTTGATTTGTCAAAATAATCCAAATTAACCAATCAGATTTCAAGATTTAGTCGATTCAAAGTGTGGCTTAAATTCCCTCGTTCACTGTATTTGTCGTTGATGTGCACCATGGAATAATATAAAACGCGAAAAATATAATTTTATAAAATTCAATATTATCTCCAATCAAGTATACAAGTCGAATATTCAAATGAAATTCTTCATATTTAATTACTTTGGCAAAGGTACCACACATTACGGTACATACTGTAGTACTCCCACGCCATGTATATTAACATTTGAAGGTAAGAATACTAGAGCTACATACGTGGCACTCTGCGGCGACGAGTTCGAACGCAGTCTCCATGGCGTGATTGATGGAATCGGTGGATTGCGTAGATGGAACATGTGTGGTTGTGGAGGTAGTAGTAGCGTGGAGGGTTGCCTGGATGACTTTGGTTGCTTCACGCTATGAAAATGGCCATGTATATACATAGACCCAATGTGAATACATCCTACTAGTAGTACTACTACTAGTAGGATTCAACTAACATGGAGATCGTAGTAGTAAACAGATGTACAGTAAGGCGCAGATATGGTTGGCACACTTTCTTTGTAGTTAGTTACCTTGCCCAATGGATCCATCCGGCGCCATTGAAGGAGCGATCCTTGCGCTGTGACGATGGCCACGTCTGTGTGCGACGGCACCAGCGCAATAAACTACGTGCATGGAGATCTTGTTAGACTGCACCTAGGTGCAGCTAAAGGAGCTTCTCACACCTGCTGCATCCCCAATGCGACACGGTGGACTTCCTGGGCCGACAACGAGGCAAACGGCGTGGCCAGCACGAGCACAATATGGGATTTGGAGGGCGTGGGAACAGCGTCTGCGATGATGTCGACGGCAAATGTCATGTGCTGACGATGGAGGGAGGAGGGGGCGGTGGTGGTTTGGGGCTGCTGATGGAAGTGGAGGTGCACGGCGGGGGGGATGTGAGCGCGGACGTGAACGGGAAGGAGCTGCACCCAGTGCACGTCGTCGTCAAACCCGAGTAGGTGCAGGTCATGGCCCAATCCACTCGAGTCCAGTTGGTAACGAACGCGACTTTGGTTGTTTAATCGCCAATATGCCGCCAGTTTGGCAATATACGGGTGGGTGTGGGTCACTTCCCGGAGCTTCCACCTGTGACGTAGTTCGCAATTGTACAGTTGGGGTGTGATCATAGGCGTTCGGATAAGACGTACGTGGAGAGCGTGTCGAGAGGAAGGGCGCCGTACCATAGTCGCAGCTCCGACACGACGAGATGCACGCCCGCGTCGCGCAGACGGTTTGGCTTGGACGTCCATCCAATGCGAAGGGGGAAGGTATCCAACGAGTTGCAGGGCTCGGCCAAGTCTGCCGCCGCATCGACATGGATGAGTCCGTCGACTTGTTCGAGACGCAACAGATCCAGGGAGGTGGAGTGCTCGCCGTTGCAGAACAGAAGCGGCACATCCTGTGCAGTGTGGAACGTCCCTGCCCAATGATTTGTAGTGTTCTCCGTCGCACATGCAGTGGACGTGATGTACACTTGAGTGTCCACGCGCAGGACGACGTGACCTTTGAAAATCCCAACCGCAAACCGAGTGTGCACCAGAAGCCACACAGCGACACGCGGCAGCCGAGGCGGCTTCATCACGCATTCCCATGTCATAGCATCTTTGGATGGTATGGGGAAGGGTGCAGTCGTCTGGAGATACGAGCCTGCCGGCACACAGAGCCCGTACTGTGGTGCCGGCGACGCTTGCATCAAGATCGCTTCAACAAAAATGGACTTGCTTTCCCCAATAGAAACATTATCCGGATTTTACCGTATCCGGAGGATCGAATTGTGGGGTACCATTCCATTATTCGTCCCTGAAACTGCATTGATCATGGAGAAGCTGCAGGAATTGAGTCTCATCTCCAAGGTATGCTCAGAGCTGGAGAGTCACCTGGGCATGAGTGATCGGACACTGGCAGAATTCATCATCCACATGGCGCGGGAGTCGGCCGACGGCAAGAAGTTCCATGCCACGATGACAGAAAACGGCGCCGAAGTGCCGATCAAGTTTGCGCTCCATCTGCATCAGTTGATCCACGCCATGAGCAAGAAAACCAAAGCGGCCAAGTCGTTCGCCGTGCCCGACAAGAACAATCCGTTTCCAGGTCTTGCCCGCCCCAACACGAAACCCATCAACGAGGAAGAGATCGACGTCGACGACATCCCGGGGTTGCACGCCGACGACAAAGCAAAGCCGTCTTCTTCGTCCAGCCGTCGACGCGACGACGACAACGAGCGAGGTCATTCTCGACGGGGATCGCCGCCGCCCCGTCGTTCCCATTACTCGTCCCGGCGCAGTCGGTCACCGGATAGTCGCCGCGATTCCAAATACGGCGGTCGCCGTCGCTCGCGGTCGCGGTCTCCTCCTCCCCGTGGCGGCAACCCCAACGGCCCGATCGAGATGCACGGCATTTACCGCGGCCGCGTCGCCAAGATCATGGACTTTGGTGTGTTTGTCGAACTCGAACACCGCGACAAGCACGAAGGGTTGGTGCATGTCAAGAACCTCACCGACAAGGTGCGCATCACCAACGTCCGCGACTTTGTACGGCGCGGGGACCGCGTCTGGGTCAAAGTGATCAGCCAAGCCGGGTCCAAGCTCCTCTTGTCCATGAAAGACGTGGATCAATCATGCGGCCGCGACTTGCTTCCCCAGCGCGGCTCGTCCGACACCGCGACGCCGCGGGACTCACAGTCATGGGTCAACGCGTCCGCCCCGGGCATGCAGCAGCGGGCGATGGACGCGTACGCCAACGAAAAGCCGCGCGCGGCCAAGCGCTTGTCGTCGCCGGAACGATGGGAGATCCAACAACTCATCAATTCGGGCGTGTTGCCCATCTCCGAGTACCCGACATTCGACCAAGATCAAGGCGGCGGCGGCGGCGGGATGCTTGACATTGAAGAAACCGAAGAAGAGTTTGAAATCGAGCTCAACGAAGACGAGCCACTTTTCCTCCGGGGCCAAACCAAGGCCAGCCTCGAGCTATCGCCAGTGAAAATTGTGAAAAACCCCGATGGCTCCATGTCTCGCGCCGCCATGACGCAGTCCACGCTAGCTAAAGAACGGCGGGAGATGCGGCAAACCCAGGCCAACCAACTGCTCGATTCGATCCCCAAGGATTTGAACCGCCCGTGGGAGGACCCGATGCCCGAGGCTGGCGAACGCCATTTTGCCGCCGAGTTGCGCGGCATGCACATGGGCGGTACGAATGCGATGGCGGACGTACCTGAATGGAAGGAGAAGACGCAGGGCAAGTCGTCGCTCAGCTACGGCCACGTGTCGTCTAAATCGATGGTGGAGCAGCGGCAGTCCCTTCCCGTGTTCAAGCTCAAGCGACAGCTCATGGAAGCGATTCTGCACAACCAGGTGCTGGTGGTGATTGGCGAAACCGGATCCGGAAAAACCACCCAGATGACCCAATACATGGCCGAGATGGGGCTCACCGCGCACGGCATCATCGGGTGCACGCAGCCGCGGCGGGTAGCCGCGTCGTCCGTGGCCAAGCGAGTGGCAGAAGAGTTTGGGTGTGCGTTAGGCCAAGAAGTAGGGTACTCTGTTCGATTTGAAGACGTCACATCCCCCGACACGGTCATCAAGTACATGACCGAAGGTATGCTCATGCGCGAGTACTTGGCCGACAATAGGTTAAGTCGATACTCTGCGATCATCCTTGACGAAGCCCATGAGCGCGGGATCAACACGGACATTCTGTTTGGGCTGCTCAAGGCATTGCTCCCCACGCGGCCAGAGCTCAAGATCGTCGTGACGAGCGCTACATTAGACGCTGAAAAGTTCTCCAAGTACTTTTTGGAGTGCCCGATCTTTACGATACCTGGGCGGACGTTCCCCGTCGAGATTTTGTACACCAAGGAACCTGAGGCCGACTACTTGGACGCTGCGCTGATCACTGTGATGCAAATCCACTTGTCTGAACCTGAAGGCGACATCCTTGTGTTCCTCACGGGCCAGGAAGAGATTGATACTGCATGCGAAGTGTTATACCAACGGATCAAGGCACTTGGCGCGCTCGCGCCCGAACTCATCATCCTCCCCGTCTATGGCGCGCTGCCGTCCGAGATGCAGACGCGTATCTTTGAGCCTGCGCCCAAGGGTAGCCGCAAATGTGTCGTAGCTACCAACATCGCCGAGGCTTCGCTGACCATCGACGGGGTCTACTACGTCGTGGACCCAGGGTTCTGCAAAGAAAAAGCTTTCAACGCTAAAGTCGGCATGGACTCGCTGATCGTGGTGCCGTGCTCGCAAGCCAGTGCGCGGCAACGAGCTGGCCGCGCCGGCCGCACCGGGCCAGGGAAATGCTACCGCCTGTACACGGAAAACGCGTACAAGAACGAAATGCTGCCGACGGCCGTGCCGGAGATCCAGCGATCAAACCTTGGCATGGTCGTGCTACAGTTGAAAGCGATGGGGATCAACGACCTGATGGGGTTCGACTTTCTGGACCCGCCGCCCGTTCCCGCGATGGTCAGCGCCATGGAAAACCTGTACGCGCTCGGCGCCCTCGACGACGAAGGACTCCTCACGCGGCTCGGAAAGAAGATGGCTGAGTTCCCCATGGAACCGCAGATGGGCAAAGTGCTGCTCACGAGCGTCGTGCTGGGGTGCGCCGACGAGATCCTCACGATTTTGAGCATGCTCTCAGTGGAAAACATTTACTTTCGACCCAAGGACAAGCAGGCGGCGGCCGACTCGAAAAAAGCCAAGTTCCACCAACCTGAAGGCGACCAGTTGACACTCCTTGCCGTGTACGATGCATGGAAGCACGCCAAGTTTAGCAACCCATGGTGCTACGAAAACTATATCCAGGCCCGCGCCATTCGCCGCGCGCAGGACGTGCGCAAGCAGCTGCTGTCGATCCTAGATCGATTCAAGATGCCAGTTGTGAGCGCGGGCAAGAATTATAACAAGATTCGACGAGCGATAGTATCGGGGTACTTTGCCAACACGGCCAAGAAGGATCCCCAGGAAGGGTACCGCACTATGGTTGAAGGCCAGCCCGTGTACATTCACCCGGCGTCGGCGCTGTTCAATAAGAACCCAGAGTGGGTCATCTACCAGGAACTGGTGCTCACGACCAAAGAATACATGCGCAACGTGATGGCGATTGAGCCGAAATGGCTCGTGGAACTCGCGCCCGCGTTCTTTAAAAAGGGCGACCCGACCAAACTCACCAAGCAGAAAAAAGCGCAAAAGATTGAACCCCTCCACGACAGATTCAACCCCCCCGACTCGTGGCGACTCAGCAAGCGCCGCGGGTAACCATCGTGTAGCTAGCCTACGAACCACGGTTGTTGTAGTTCTATAGTAATACTAGTAACCGAGATTTTCCGTGTGGGCTTGTTATAGTCGTGTTTACAGTCAGTCGATTGGTACATGACGTGGCATGACGAGAGGGAGGTTGAAGAGTAGTCCTAGTCGTTCGTTCGGGAAGGTCGGAATGACGTGGCAACATGAGAGATTTGCATGGTGTGGTCTGTATGCACAGTGCGCATAGAGTAGTTAGCATTTACTCCCAAGCGACGATATGCAGACAGTAGTACACTGCATTTACGTACTTTACTACGTACTAACATTTATGTAGTACTTTTGGACGAGTACAGATATGTAGTACTAGTATACATATCGTACACCTGTAAGTAGTAGTAGTATTAATAGTACAGTATGTCCGAGTAGTACTGTACTTGTTGGTTGCGATGTTTATGGAGCCTATGTAAGTGTAGAAGCATCGCGAATTTCAAACATTCCTGGAGCAATCCCTCAACAATTCACCGACGAACGAAATTACCAGCGTTGTAGTGAGTTCGTTGGAACGGTGATCATAATTATGACGTAGAACTTGTCGCTAACGATAGACTAGTACTAGGATGGTGTTTACTACAGTATTACGACGGTGCTGGTGGGTTGTTGGTGGTGCTCGTGGTGGTGGGGGAGTTGGGGGGTCGAGAAGTAGTGTCTAGGGGTGTAATGGCCGCGTCGACCACGCGTCGAGCTTGTGCGAGTGCGTCTTCGTGTTCCGACGGCAACGGGACTTCCCGACCGATGGACCGCCCTGATGTCGCCACAGCCACCGTGGCTTTAACTGACCGCTGGCGTTTCTTGTTGGCGGTCTTGTACATGGTCGGAAACGTCTGTTTATACTTGGATGGCGGGTTGATCAGTTTGACGAGCTCCCCGGCAAACCCTTCCACGGATCGGCGGCGGTAGGCCTGCCTCGAGTTGAGTCGCGCTAGAACCCCTCCCCCCCATCAGTCACACGTGTGTGTAAATGTATGTACAACTTACCAACGTGGGCAAACAGAAGGGCCTTGTTTTCTTGAGTGGAAAACACTTGGTGCTTCTGCGCGTATACTTTGTAATACATAGAACAGACCCCGAGCAATCCGAGAGCAAAGATCGGTCCTCGAATGTCTTGGTACAGCACCAGCCCGCCAATGCTGGCGACCCACACCCCACTGGCAAACAAGGCGCCGTAGATCCCAAACGGACTTTTGAACGGCCGATGCATCTTGGAGTGCTCGCGTCGAAGGTAAATGTACCCAATGCACTGTGACAAGTACGCGACAAACGCGTACAACATGGCCACGTCAAACAATACAACGTTCACATCCACGTAGTAGTGCATGAAGCACAGGACAAAACTGATAAACGTGCCGAGCGCAATCGCAACGATGGGCGCGCCCGTGGACTCCAAGCATATGAGGAACCCCTCGGGCAAGAGCCGAGAGCTGCACAGCGCCACGATAATGTTGGTGTACGCTTGGGCAAAGCCTTGTCCTGATGCAAACGTTGCGGGAATCGACAGAAGCGTCGCGGCTTCCACGGAGCAGTTAAACATGCGCGTGAAGCCGTGGTTGAAGGGGGCGACAGACGTGGCGATGACGGGAAGGCCTGGCGGGAGGACGTTCACCATGACGAATACTGTGAGCGCGGTGCAGATGAGTGTAAATAAACACCCGAGCTGGCTGCGGGGGATTGAAATGTTGGGTGACTCGACTTCGTTGCAGAGGCGGTTGAGGGTTTCTACACCGGCAAAGAACCACGCAGCTTGGGGCAGGGTTTGGAAAAACGAGGGCACGTCCTGAACAATCGCGGACGGCGCCACATTGGGTTCGACTGCTTCTGACGACAACGCCAACGGAATCGAGCCAATGACGTACGTGACCAGTAGCCCCAACGACAGAAACGCCAGCAGGCGGTTCCATCGGTTGTACGTGGCACTGTTACAGCACAGCATGCCCACCGCCAGCATGTAGCTCCCTATCCACGTCACGTACGGATACTCGACGGAACCCGGGTACGTGACGGCCGTGAACCGACTCAGCTGCACAAAGTTGCATGTGACGTATAGAATGTACTGCAGCGACTCGCAGCACCCGACGAGAAACCCAGCGTGGAACCCAAATGTCCATCTGGCCAGACCGAACGCACCGCCTGTGAACGGCACCATACTCGTGACTTCGCCGAGGCAGCAGCACAGACAAATGTACGCCATACCCATGACCGTCACGGCCAGCCCAAAGCTCCACGGACCTGCTACAAGGCCCGTGTTCCACGCAAAGTAGTGCCCCCCCATGCCAACTGTCATGCCTGTCGACCACAGGTTGATGTACGAGTGGAAGAGAGACACGCCGACAGGTTTCTGCGGGGCGGAGTACCGACGCCGACTTTGCATGGTGAGGGATCCGCGCTCGCGCGTCATAGATGCCGGAAAAGGTATGACACGCAGATGTAAATGATGATGTGATGTTGAAGAGTATTTATAGGACGAAACCACAACAGTCGTGATGATACAGTATCGCATAAACAGAAACATGCTGCCAAAGGCTTAGCTAGAGGACGACATGCGCCAATGAGACTCGATAAAGCATATATTGAGGTGAACGGGGGCGGCTTTCCCTAGCACCTTTAGACTTGAGAGTACATTTATTAACGGTAGCTGTCCCGAGTAACGCCAATTTGAAACGGTTTCAAGAAGTAACTGTTCTACTACTAGTAATCGTGGTGCACTTTGCAGTTACTCGTTGATTTGAAACGCATGAGGACAGGCATTTCCAAGCGCCACGTCAGAGCCCAATTTTTGACTTTCTGTCCAATCAGAGGTCTGAAAACTTGGCAAATGGGTACATTACTACCACAAATATAAACGTGAATATCCGTATATGGCTTGATAATCCGGATAATGGTTCGGATGACGCTTGAACAGCAAAAATGAAACCCGTGCGGGAGGCGGCGAGCGTGGTGGTGTTCAACCAGTTGGAGCAGATCTTGTTCGTGAAGCGACCCAAGACTGCGAAAGCATGGGCCAACATGATGGTATTTCCGGGCGGCAAGGTAGACATCTCTGCAGAAACGTTATGACAACTGAATTCCAAGGTGGACGGCGCCGACAATGCCACGACTGCCACATCGCCGTATCCTCACGTTCCCATCCGGTGCGTCCTGATTCGACGCCGTCCTATGTCTCATGCACTTTTTCGGTAGGTTCTTCAACGCTGCGATCCGTGAACTGTTTGAAGAAGTCGACGTGTCCTTGACATCCCCGCGGCTGTGGAGCGTGTTGGACGATGCCGACCGACGCACTTGGCGCCACCGCATTGTCGACGACAAGGACGACTTCGAATCGCTCCTTCGTCGGACAAAGTGCCTTCCGCAGCATGACGAGCTCGTTCCGTTCAGTCATGTGATTACCCCGGAAGGGTCTCCCCACCGCTTTGACACATGGTTCTTTCTGGCGCGTATCGCCGCCACCGACATGCCCCATGTACGTACTACGCACATGACCTTCCTCTTGTCATGTTGACGCTGCATGCAGGTACAGACGCATGATTCGGAGCTCGAAGGGGCATGCATGTGGTTAAGTCCGCGGGAGGCTTTGGCCGGGTATTCTACAGGGTCGTTCGCATTTGCCACTCCTCAACTGTATCTCCTCCACCAATTCAATCAATTTCCCACCCTTCAGGCGCTCTGGACAACCGCGATGGACGACGCGCGAGAGGGAAATATCCCAAGTGTGCTTCCCCAACGCTTGCCGCCCACGGTACAAACTGAATGTGAACATGAGGAATTTGCCTACTGGTGCTCGCGATTAGGACGACTTTCCGGGGACATTCACGGCATTCCCAGGGGATCCTCTGTATCGGCCCGAGGAAAAGTCCCCGTTTCTCCATCGCATGCACCTCCACCCCACGGATCCATCCCAAAGCACCGTCCACCTTCCCCCGAAACCTAACGCCAACGTTGAAGCATAGGGACGAATATACCTTACGAAGTAATATTAGAACTAGCAATATGTTAAGCCCATTCGAAACCAACCCCATAATAGCACCCCCTCATACTACATAAATACCGATGTACAATACTATGTACAGTAAGTTGATAATGAATCAACCTGAGTAAAACAAGCCCACATCCGTCGAACACAGGGTTGAGTGCACTGCCAAATCTATATGTATAACCGACCGGCAAATTTGTATGATATTTACCCCGCACGATCGCCATAAGCTTGTAGCCCGCATTTTAAGCTGCCGTACTGACTCATAGCAACTTGGTCTGGACACTGAGCAACCTGGACGCACAAGCACAGTAAAGTAGTAGTACTGGGTACTTTGCCGACAAACCAGCCATACCGTCAACATACTTTAGAACGGTATGCATGGTTGAAGGTGGATGGTCTTTTTGAAACGTTTCGGTGGCGGTTTCGCGATACGTCAGTGGTCTCGTCTAAGTTCAGAGCACGTTTGGGCTATGCCATCCGCCAACGTGGTAGACGAGAAAGCGCACGGCAAGGAGGACGCGGTGCAGCCGTCTCAAGACGTCGAGCCGGCGCCCAGTCGGCCCCGACGCGTGGCGTTCACTGGCACATCTGTGGCGGTGAGCTGTCTCTTCCTTATCAACCTCGTGGTCATGCCACTCAAGCCCTACCTCACTGAGCCGTTGCCCGTGTCCGAAGCCTTCCGCGCCCCTTCGTTGTTTCCAGCCGTCGCGCCACCTTTGTCCTCCACGAATGGACAGCAGCAGCCAGGGCCCGTCACTCAGTTCGAGCGCCTCTACAACGCCGGCACCCTTCCTCCAGATGTCTCGTACTTCTACGATCCAGTACATGTGGTGGAAGTGATGCGCACGGGTGTGTCGAGCACGTCGTGCGACGACGCGGATGCCCTTGTCACGTCTGTATTGGGGGTACCCTTCTTCCCACCAGATGTCAAAAGCGCCATCGTGGATGCCGTGTGCTCATTGTCTAGCAACGCCACGAACAACTTTGGCACCGTGGGCCGTTCTTGGCGAATCTATCTCGGGGCAAAGAAGGTGGACTGCTTGTCTGCTGCGTGGGTCGTGATGTTACCAGCTCACAACTCGACTACGTCCAACGTGGCTACCATATACTATGTGTTTGCGCCGCACATTCTATCCCCAGCTTGGATCATTGCCAAGCTAAGCTACCGGTTGGTGATCAGCGTTTGCATATTCGTGTACAGCGTGTATCGATACTATCGTCCGTTGTGGCACCTGCGGTGGAGTTTGCAGCGCCAGCCACTGCACGTGTGGTCCACCGCCGTACGGTACGACGTGGTTGTGGGCGAGCCCACGTGTTTGGTCCTATCAAATGCGTGGGTGTGCTTGGCGTTTGTAGTGGACTTTTGGGGCAGCACCGAGTTCTTTGGGTCGGCGTGCCTTCGCATGGGCCAAACCAACGACATCGGGCTGTTTGTCTTGGGCGTGCTGTACCTTGGCCGAACCGTGTGGTGTGCGTACGCGAGCTTGGTCGTGCTAAACGCGACATTGAAACGACTGCACATGGCGCAATGGGCCGTGCCTGCCAACACAACCACGCTGGCGATTGCCGTGACCGTCGGTGGCGGGTTTCTCACCAGTGTGCAGGTCAAACTGCCGCCCCTCATGGCGTTCTACACGTGGCTGCTCACGCTCGTGAATACCGTGGACGGCAATGGAAACGTGGTGGCCTTGGATGATACCGCCGCCATGGTCGTGTATGTCGTGGGCATGACAGCAACATGCTTTGGGATTGTGTTGGGCAAGAAGTACGTTGGCCAGAGCGTGGCCAGACGGCGCTCGCATCTGCGACACCGTATCCAGACGATTCAAGTGGGAGCCACCACTCGCGCCGCGACTCCACGACTGTCGGATCTGCCTCAGGTGCCAACGAAAACCACCACGTGAATATGCTCACGTGAGGGATATGTTTGACTTGTTGTAGCCCCCGCAGCGATCGGTGGAAAGTCGCATGGCGTTCAATGACTTTAAACATCAAATGGTTCTGTGGCTTTGTCGCATGGGGTCCACCGACGACGGTAACGTTATATATATAGATGTATATCCACACGAACAAAGACATGCGATGTCGTGACGTCGATGGTAGGCGTATGTACGGGAGGCAGTGTATACCGCATCTTCCAGTTGTTTCCAATGGTACAAGCCCAGTGCACAATTAGTCAAACCGGAAGCGATTGCTACGTGTTTGCATACAACGCTGCGGACGAGCTCATCGAAGTCACCCGCGTGAGTTTGGTCGACCAGATCGACTTGACACAGAAGACGACCGCCCGACCGGTGCATCAGACTGTTGTGGAGACTGCACCCGCAGTCGGCTCGTTGGTCCTCGGAAGGGAGAAGGAAGGCGCGGCAGACGTCACGCTCTATCGCGGCGCCAATAACTCGCCTTGGGTAGCATAAAGCCATCGTTCGTTCGTAAAATGAAAGGCTCCACTTGTTTCATTGGATCGTTTCTTTCGCCATACGACATTTCCATTCGCTGATTGAATGCCCTCGCGTCTATTTCATCCAATCAAACGTTCGTATATCCGGATGAAAACTTAAATGAACGGCCCATTTCACTAAAGTTCCTGTGCTGTGGTTGGCTGTGTACGAGGTTGACCTCTTGATTGGTCTCGTGCATCTTCAATCTGCATTTGCCGCCGCTCCAAGTCGAAGATGGGATCCCAGAAGAAGAAAGCTATCAAGTTCATCAAGAAGGGAAACCTAAAGCACAAGATTGCCAAGCGCAATGAGAAGAAGCGCTTCAACTCCAAGAAGGACAAGAAGTCTACCGACAAGCCGGTGAAGAAACTTGCGGCGCCGGTCGCGTCCCGGGGAGGCGACGACGAAGGCGACATATTGGACGACATGGACGTCGACGAGTTTTTGAATGCTGACTTTCTCGACGAAGCGGATAGTGGTGATGAAGGTGACGATGGTGCCAACGACGACGAAGGTGCCGACAGCGACGACGACGACGATGATAATGACGGCGGGTCGTCGTCGGAAGAAGACGACGAGAGTGCCCTCGACCCCCGATACATGTCTGCGATGCCCGCGGACATCGAGTCCGACGACGAAGAGGATGGAAGTGGCGGTGCGCCTCAAGAAGGCGGCGCGTCTCGCCGCGAACTCACCATGGAGAAGCTGACGTCGATCGAGACAGCGTGTTCCGCGTCCAAGTCGGTGGCGTCATTGCGTCCACTCCTTCAAATCTTCTCGGACGCGTGTCGAAGTGCCGACGCCGGGCCCAAAGCAGGCGCGAAGAAGACTCCGTACGACATCCGGTCCAGCGCCGTGTACAATCGGCTGATGGTCGCCGTGTTCACACATACCCAGGCAGCGCTCCGGGCGTACTTTAACCTGCCCGAGGACGCAATTCGCACCAAGGGGGAGAACGCTCCATCCTCCAACACACCCGTCGCGCTCGATGCCAAGAAGTGGACCAAGATCAGCATGACCATCCGCCGGTTCTTTCACTGCTGCGTGTACCTGATCCAAGAAACCACGTCCGACGACATCCACCGCTTCGTTCTGCGCAGCTTGACCGCGTTCGTCCAGTATGCCGCGCCCTGTTTGAAAACGAGCCGCAAATTACTCAAGTGCTTTGTGACAGTGTGGGGCAAATCCCTCGACACGACTGTGTGCATGCTAGCATTTGTTCGGATCCGCGAACTTGCGACCATCGTGCCATTCCCGTTTATCGAAACCTGCTTGAAAGCGCTGTACTTGGCGTACATGCGCAACGTCAAGTTTACGAATGGCGTCAACTTCCAGCACCATATTGTCATGGGCAACTGCCTCGTCGAGCTGTACGGACTCGACCTCGTGTCGTCCTACCAGCATGTGTTCATCTACATCCGCCAACTCGCCATGACGATCCGCAAGGCGATTGCCGCGCCATCTGCCGACGCGCTCAAGGGCATCCTCACCTGGCGATTCGTCAACTGCCTCAAGGTATGGGCCGCCGTCGTGTCGGCGTACCCCGCGCTCAAAGCGTTGGTGTACCCGCTCACGCAACTCACGCTCGCCACGATCCGCCTCGCGAGCATTGCGCGGTACGTACCGTGATTCTGAGTCTGATTCGAATGTGCGTCTGAGTCTGATTCGAATGTGTGTCTGAGTCGACCGTGGACGATGGTGGGGGAGGTTTATCATCGGGGATTCAATATGGGGAGGGAATGTCCACCACAGACCACGTGTCGGGTTGCTTGTGTACGAATCTGATTCGTACTGCGTGGGGTTGTGCTGTCTGATTCTGATTCTATCGATCGGATTCTGCATCTGATTCGATCGTGGGGTGCATAGATACGTGCCGTTGAAGTTTCAATGCGTCAAGGTGTTGCAGCAAATTGCGTTGGCGACGCAAACGTTCATTCCGACCACGCCCATCCTGTTGGACGTGTTGCAGTCCCCCATCGTGACCCAAAAGAAGAAGAATGCGGTCAAGGAGACGGATATTGTCGAGCTGGATTTGCTCGTCAAGCTGAGCAAGTCGGCGCTCGAGTCGCGCCGCGTGCAGGAGATGGTCGTGTCCAAGGTGTTCGACTTGCTGCAGAAGGAGTGCGACGTGCAAAAGTACTCGATCGCGTTTCCCGAGTTTGGCGTGCCTCTTCATTTGACATTGAGCAAGTTCGCAACCACGACCCCCGTGCCGCAGTGGAAGCGTCTGGCCAAGGGCCTGTGCCAGCAGATCGAGACGCGCAGCGAATGGATCCGCAACAAGCGCATGACGTCCGACATCGCGCCCAAGGACATGGCGCAGATCGAAGCGTTCTTGGCCGCTGAACGAAAGGCCGCTGTGGTGCAAATGCTCGAAAAGGAGAAGAAGCAGCTCGCGGAAAAGGCCGCGCAGTATGCCCAGTCGGCGCCGTCCTCCAATGATGGAGATGCCCAGGAAGGCGACGACCAAGGTGATGACGACGACGAGGATGATGATAGCGAGATTGATGAAGAGGAGCGGGAGGTGCCGGCGGGAAGTGTGAACGACCCAGATCACGTCGAAGACATGGTGTGGTCGGACGACGAATAAGCAAGGGGCAGGATTAAAATGAATTATCGCAATTGAGTAAATGTACCATTTGAAGCCTCTGTTGTTAAATACAGGTATTTTCTGTAGAATACGGACATAGTGAAACTGTTCAAATTCATGGGGTCGTTAAAACGAGGGAGAAGAGGGAGCCAGTCGCTAGAAGGGGACATGTGTTTGCCCTTTGCAAGGCATTTTGGTCATTTTAACTTGATATTTGTATTAAATACAAATAATTACGTCGAGAGGTTCCCCACGAGTACTGGAATTCCGCATATACCAGTTCCACGAATCTGCGTCGCGCATTCTGTGAAGTCGGCGGAAATTTTCCCCTTGGAACCGATCAAATCTCACATGGCACCCGGCAGCGATACCACGGATCAGTCCAAGAAACACCATGAAAGGGTACGGTCATCATGGATATATCGGTCCGGTCCTCGCGTCCTTCCTCTCTCATCCATGAACATCGTGCATTGTAGCTGCATCTCAAGATCCAGCCGCATCCGCCCAAGTTCCCATTCCAGTCCCACCCGTTCGACATCGTCGTCTACCTTGTCGACGGCTCGGAGAACCTCAAGACAGGGTACGTGGTGTACCTTTCCGGCGTCTTCTCATGGGAGTTGTAGCATCGTCATGGCGCTCAAGGTGGACCTCTTAGTCGGGGACAAGCCCATGTCATCAAGTACCAAGCCGCTCGTGACGATCGATCCGTCGACAAAACCCATCATTAACGGCGACGGCATGTGTCGCCTCACGCTGTCGATCGGGGAAACGTCCATGACGCACGGCAACAAGAAGTTCCAGTTCCTCCTCACGCCTGTCGGCAGCGACTTTGAGGTCGCGCCGGTCATGTCCACCGACATGACATGCATCCGCCACCGCCTTATGATCCAAGAAGATCTACCCGAGCTCTGGTACAAGGACGAAGGCGGACGCGACAAGTGCATGCCCCTTCCCGTGCACCTCGTCGACGCGACCAACCAACCCGTGGGCCACCGCGCGGTGCCGCTCCGCGTCACGCTCCTGTACGAGAACGAACATGCAGTGCTCAAGCAAGACATTTTAAAGCTGTCCCCAGACTCCCAGCGCGTGATTGACAGCACTGGCATGGCGCTGTTGAAGCTTCGCATTGAAGACGTGAGCAAGAATCACCAAGGGCAAGCGTTCCGCCTTAAAGTAGAGCCCGACACGACGCAATCCCCTCTGCATTTCGACGTCGCGCCCGACTGGAGCACCCCCATCTCTGTGCGCTCAAAGCGCAACAAGCGGCGGAATGGCGGCGGCACGTTGTCGCAGCATCATGCACCTACTTCGTCACACATTGACCCACTCGAGTCTCCTCGAGGTGGCGGCGGCGACTCTCACCACCATCACATCACGCATCCGTCGTCGTCGTTTGACATGGAGTCTTCCTCTCGTCCAGCCAAACGCTCCAACAGCATGGTTGTGCCATCGAGTTCCCCAACGCATCATCATGGATCGTCGTCGTCGTCGTCGGCGCTGCATCCGTCCATGGAAAGCATCTTGCGATGGACAACGTCGGTGATCCACGGGTTTCAGCAACTGGAGTGGCAACCGATCGGGTACGAAGTGCGGCTCGACGGCAGCCAAGACAAGGACCGCCCGATCTTCCGATGCCCGGCCTGCTGGCGGTACAAGGACACGATGACGATGGACTCGCAACAACATGAGAGCAAGTGCCTCATTGCGAACGTGCTGCTCACGTACGCTTCCGACACGGTGGGCCATCTCGACGCGCTGCTTAAGTTGACCGAGAAGTATGGCACGGCGTCCAGCATCCCCCCAGCGCCAGCGCTGCCAGTCTCCACGCAGTCGTTGGGGCCGCCGCCACTTACACGAGGAATCACAGATATGGTCAACAGCATTGAAGTGCCGCCGTCGCTCTTCCGAGGCTCGTCGGGTGGCCTCTCCGAGTTCATGATGGGCGAGACTGGAAATAATGCCGCGGGTGGAGGAGGAGGATATGCAACGTCGACCGAGATTGCGCAAGCCATCGAACGACAAGTGTATTGCGTCTTGGCGAGAACGTTCATCGTGGAGTCGTCAAATCGCGCGGTGGGGCTTCCTGCGTTTGACAGAGCGATCAACCTGCTCGGGTTCTACGAGGAAGCGCTCAACGGCGTGACCCAGATCAACTTTGTCCCGATGAACGACGTCCCGGGACTGACGACGCAAGACGTGAACCAGTGCCGACACAGCGTCTTTGCAGAAATGAAGGTCCCTACTACCACCAAAGCGATCTTCCAAGTCGACATGTTCAACAGCCTCACCGAGATGAAGGAGAAGGTTTTTTTCTACGTGTGGGAGAACAAGCCGCAACAACAGCAACAACAGCAGCAGCAGCAGTCCAGCCAGCAGCCTCCCCGAGGGCACTGGGCCGTCTAACGAAGTCGCCCTTGATCCGTCATGCACATGGATCGACCCTGTCCTCTGCTTGCAGCCGCCGTTGCGCGCGACCGTCATCGGTTGTTAGGATTTGAATGGACCAATCAGATTGAGGGAAGATCGACGACGCCATGTTTATTATATAATTAGCGATCGTACATACAAAAATCAAGTCGATTGTATTTAATTATGGCTGTGAAATAAATTGCGGCTTGCACCATGAGCATTGGACGAAGCCATCCGAAGCCCCCAAGATGATTCGCCGCGCATTCTCGACAGCCGCGGCTGCGGTGGCGACACCGGCCGCCCGAACATCCCGCCTCCGACGAGAGGTCCCAGCTGCGATCAAACTTGTACGTACTCCATCTCATGTGTTGGGATGAGGTAATGACCTGTCGCTTTGGGATGTAGACAGACGAAGCTGCAGCACGCATCAAAGAGTTGATGGCGAGTCGACCCGACGCGATTGGCATTCGACTGGGCGTTCGGACGCGTACGTGTGCCTTGAATGAGCATGTAGTTGGTGGTTGACATGTACATATGTAGGTGGATGCAGTGGGTTGTCGTACACAATGAACTACGCAACGGAGAAGCAAAAATTGGACGAAGAAGTGGCTGAAAAAGGTAGGACACTGCATCATGCCGTGGATTACAGGCATGGGGGACGTGAAACTGAATCGATGTGACCATAGGCGTCAAGGTGTTCATCGAATCCAAAGCGCTGTTCCACGTCGTCGGCACCACGATGGATTACAAGGTATATATACCTTCCTAGTCGCCATCGTATCGTTGTGCATGTACGAATGCCAACTCTAATGGAACATGTAGATCACGCCAGTGTCGGCCGAGTTTACGTTTGAAAACCCAAACGCAAAGGGCACATGTGGATGTGGCGAGAGTTTCAACGTGTAGATAGAACGCAGCCACAGTATATGATAGAACAAGCAATATTACAATTTCGCCTTGGGTTTGATTGACACCTTCGCCACGATGACAGTGATGTCGTCTGGCTTGAGGTTGTGCGCGAGGGACGCCTCGACAACTGCATCTGCTGCCTCTTTGGTGGAAGCACGCGAGGCGACGACGGATACAAGAGAATCGATGCGGCCATGCCAGTACCGCCGCCACGACAGAACAGGCTACATGGGAAATCAGTCGACAATGGCACAACACCTCATTGCGTACCGGGAAGAAGGGAGGAATTTCCTGCAAATCCTGCGCGAAATTATCCCACACGCCGTCCGTCGCGAGCACGATGATGTCACCGTCTTCCAAGGCCACTGTCCCGTTGTTGGCCTGATCATGGATGGTATAAGTTTGATCAGCGACAAGCCGAAGGGCAATACCTCGTTCGGTTGACTTTCCATCGCCCCGTAGCATTTGAAACGGTCAGGGATCTTAGCCAGTTGAAATGGAGCCAACCCCATGCTCTGAAATTCACTCCGAAAGACGACCTTGTCGCCTCGGACGATGGCAAACCCAGAGTCCCCTAGGTTCGTGTACTCCAACAACGGTTCGCCATCCTTGCCGGCACGGATCTTGAGGATGCATGCCGTTGTGCTTCCAGCTTCCACCGCATCGTCCTTCAAGGTCAACGCGTATGCCTTGGTGAGGATGTCGAGGGTCGACAACGTGGCAGGGTCGCCTTCGTGGCCTTGGACGAGTTGACGAGAATATCGCATCATGGCGCGGCTGATGGCAGACGGATCAACGCCATTTTCATTCCATCCACCTACACCATCTGCGATGCCAACGACGGTAGGCGATACAAAGAATGAGTCTTCGCCGCAACCTTCCGGACGTGCAAATGCGTCCATGGTGCACCGCTTGCCCTTGCATGCAGCATGAGCGTCAAAGATGAAGGCATCAAACTCCCGACGCGCCGATGCTGATGGAGGCGACTTCGTACTGCGAGACGTGCTAAAGTGGCGACGAGGAAGGCAAGGCTTCATTAGCGATACCGCTGTCCGCGGTCGCAGGTGTCGCGCTAGCATCGTCGTGGACCGTCGTTGCCACCGACGTGAAAATGTGAAATGGAAACTACGTGGGCAATTTGTATGGTGGAGTTTTGCGCGCGAACTTTAATCCTTGAGATTTAAATGTCAATACATTTACCTTGTTAACTTTGTCTATTTATTAAATTATCACTCAAATACAGGCTGGTTGAAGATCGTCACAAGAGTATTCGCACGGTCTGCTGGATGACCGCGGCGGCAACGTTGGCCCGCTGCCGTAGTTCCGTCCGAATGGGAATGCATACGAAGGTTTCAATGGGTGGAGGCGCTTGAAGTACTTCCTGCATAGTTCGTGTGAGCACCAGATCCCAAACGGCACACATGGTGCGCGCCATGTCGGTCCGAGCAAGTTCTTCCTGCAGCCTGGACCGAGGCACCATAGCTGCGTCCCTGTCTTCGAGAGCGCAGTGTCGCAATTCGCGCAATTGCCGCAGTTTGGCGCGAGCAAACGCTGTTCGGCCAGCACCTACATATACCCGCCATGGTGCAGACAGATATGGTATCATCCAGGAAGGACGTCCTGCACCAACCTTGGACAATCGACCCCGCGGCACGTTCGACGCTGGATCGTAGTCCAAACAGTTCAAATATAAGCGTGCCACGTTCACTGAGCTCGAGCGCTTTGAAGTCTTGCGGGCGCAGCGTTGGTTGGGCTTGCGCAAGATGGATCACGGTGTACAACCCCATGTCGACGAGGATCTTACTGTACTTTGCGACTTGGCATCGCCCGTGGTTGATGGATTTGATCCACGTGAAGAGTGGCATTTCAAGCCATTCCCACAACCCCAGGTGGCGGCACTGTGGCGGGTGAAGTGTGTGGCCGTACAAGCCGTGGAACCATGGCCCCACGTTCGCCATGGTCTCAATGGTGTGGATGGTTTCGGGGTTGGGCAGCAGTATCGGGCACAGGATTTCCCTGTCCAAGTAGCCCCATCGGTCAGCGCTCCATTATTCATCATGTCTCTTACCCTGATGGAAACAGCGATTGAATGTGCTGCCGTTCGATGCGAGTCATTGCCTTGCCTGTCACCAACACGACAATCGCATCCAATCCATCCATGGTCACAACAGATTCCGTGGCTGTGACACTGTATTCCGCAAACACCTGTCACACGTTACCGGTTCATTGTACGTACAGTACTTGTTTGGTAGGTTGTACCTCTGTCATGTGCAAGTGCTTCAACGACGCAAACACGTACAGCCGATGCAACAGCGCAGCTACCACGCCATGCCATCCGCGACTCAACGGTGTCGTCACCGGCACCGCGCACTGCCGACTCATGTCGACGGCAAACGCAGCGGCGGCATGTTCCACGGCGACGAACGTTCCCGAGTCCGCATGTGAGTATGTCGTCTGGTGCTTCACCACGGCCAATACCCCCGACAGCTGATTTGCAAACGCCTGGGATGCCTTTTGTTTCTCCATGGCGTCGTGGGCAGCGCTCATCCATTGGGTGTCCACTTCCTCGAGCGCTCGTTGTGCCACGTCATAGCTGGGATTGTACGCCAAGCATTGCTGGAGATGCGCTTTGCCTTCGAGCAGTCGGCCGTATCGAAGCAAGGCCAGGCCCATATTAAAGTGCGCTTTCCAAGCATCCGGAGTTCGATTTAGCGTCTGGCTGTAGCATGCGATGGCGTCGGGGAGTTCGTGCTGGGCCAAGTGAATCGAGCCCAAGTTGGCATACAACGACGCGATGTCGCACCCGTGAGGCTGCAGCGTGAGGATGCCACGTAATATCTTGGCGGCTTCGGCGAGGTAGAGGCGAGAAGTGCCGTCCTGAAGCAACGTGTAGGCGAGTTGAAGCCGACTCTTCCAGTTGCCCAACGTGATGTACGAGGCGTTGACAGGCAAAGCCACGTAGGTCACGGGCGACTTCGTGCCGTCGCTGGACTCGAACGGAGTTGACTTCGACGGTAGTACTGGTATCTGGGGAGACTGCAATCCCAGAAACGAACGACGAGATACAGTTGCCGCAAGCTCAAAGTTCAAACGGTCTTCTCCAGAGTACAGATCTCCCAACAGGAGTGGCATCCTGGCAATATGACACAAATGTGACATCGTCATAAGGTAGAGTCGTACTACCCACATATGAAAACGCACCGTAGAATGCGCAGCGTGTCCGTGATAAAGTCATGCCGCGTCGTCAATTCCGCCGTGACACGGAGCTGGACGGTGCACGCTTCGTGGAACCCAACCTGATGATGTGGTGTATATCCACATTGTCACATTGTCACAGATGAAATGACCACACACACCCGTGACGCGTGGATGCGCACGTCGTTGTGTCGACGGATGAGGTTGCGCAAAACCAGGAGGACCAAAAACTACAAACATTCGACATACACTTTTTGGATCAAGGAAGAATGCACGTCCTCATGGAATACGTTTGTACATGCAAATGCGCATGTTCTGGTGTCGGCGGAAATGTGGCTATGGTGCTCCCCAAGGTAGACACGAGGCATTTCATGGATCGGCGGTGGTCACGGACGCCACCGGCCGTGTCGAGAAGCACCTGGTACCCCACTTCCAGACCCTGTCCACATACATACAGGCTTACCCACGATATTGGTGTCATGAAGCATCGTGTGTACCTTAGCACGTTTCGCAGCAACGAGGCCATACACTCGCGTGGACATGTACTTGTGGCGGACACTGTTGTCTGTGTCGACGCGTAAGTCAAGAAGACATTGCAAGTGACGTATTCCATACCCACAAACGGGAACGCGGCGACCATCGCAGTTGCACTACCCGCCGCCTGTCATGCGATAAAATCACGATTGGGACAACTAAAATGTGAGCCAAAATTAGATTTTTTCACCGTGTATATATATATATATAGATAGATGTATAGTTAAAGTCCAAAAGCAAATATCATCACAAATATAGGGCCGGTTGCCAGTCGGATACAGTATTTCTACAACCTCTCGAATAGATGTTATTATTATTATTACTCCATCGCTGGCCAACGTGATTAGACGGCACAGCCAGTTTGCCACCGCCACTCATAATGCTGCATGGCGCTGTTGTAATGAATCAGCGCGGCTGCGACGACGCAAATGTGCCACAGCTGATGGCTGTGGCCCCACACGTCGAAATGGCCTGGAAAGTATCGCTCGGGGAACCGCGTGCCGTAGATGGTGGCGCCGACAAGGTACAAGACGCCCATAGCTACGAGCGGTTTGACAAAGATCTGGATGTGGTCGTCCCAGATGCCATGTTTCCACACCAAGTGGCCGATGGGCACGAGCGCAAAGAACCCCAAGGACAAGAACATACCGCTGCGAATCGCTTGGTTCGATGTGCACACGGACGCGACCAGACACGCCACCGCCAGCGCGGAAATGATGCCCAAGTACATGTACAAAAGGTTGGGGGTGCAATAGAACGAGTAGTAAATGAGCGGGAAGAACGACCCGGCAATCATGAGGATGATGCCCGAGTAGTCGAGCTGGATAAACACGACCGACGCCGCGGCGCTCTGCACCCACAGCAAGTGGTAGATGGAGCTCAAAGTGAGGCAGATCACCGCGCTCCCAATAAACACCTTGATGGGCCAGTTCCCCACCACGAGCATCGGCGCCAATTGGGATGGCGCCACGTCCGAAATCGCATGCAGGCCGTTCTTGATGCTGTCCGTGACCCCGTGGAACTCTTGGAGGACAAACTGCAGCGACGGGTAGTCGTTCGTGTCGAGTTGCCGAAGGTACAACGTGAATGCATCGAGGCGGGCCTGCAACGACTGCTTCATACCGTGCACCTGGGTGTACGACCCGACCACGCTCTTGAGCGGCATGCTCTTGGACAGCGCATCGAATGACGGCTCCAACCGGGCCTTTAAGATCGTGAGTTCGTCGTGCAAGTGGAACAGTTGCTCCGACACCGAGTGCGAAATGCCTTCGGCGTGGCTGTCGAGGATCTCATGGAAGCGCCGCAGGCTCGGGATCTGCGCAATCGTGTGGCCAAAGATCACGCTTGCGACCTGCAGTTGCTTTGACAGCATTTCTTGGTACCGCGTGTCCACAACATACTCTAACGCGTGGTGCACTTGCGTCGCGGACAGTACGTTGCGCGCAAACAAGTGCAGCGTGTGCCGGCCGCTCTCGATGTACATGATGTTGTCGGGTTCGAAGTACGGATGCGTGCCGTCGTCGTACGTCCACAAATGCGTCGGGATTTCCATGTTGAACGCACTGTACATGAGCCCTGCAAAGATGAGCGACCCGATGATGTGCGTCCACACGTTCCACGTCTCGTTGTGCAGCTCGAAGAGCGAGCAGAAGCAGTGGCTCAGCGAGTAGTCCACACGGTACCCTGACCGGATGTACATGTTGTCCGCCAGGTACGACTTGCCTTCCGCATGTACGTCGTGGAACCCAGCGAGACGCTTCTTCGCAGCGGCATCCGATGACTTGGACTCGACTGCCACAGCTGTCATGCTTTTGTCAACTGGGTGAAACCACACCAAGGTGTGGAGTTCGCTTGGTATCCGGATAACCCGGTTAACCTTTCACACGTCGTGACCAAACTGGAGCCAATCAAAACGCACAATACTCAGACAGTCAAATGGAGATTCGAAGCAGCATCTCGAGAGTGTAATAATCATTGGAAGTAGTATCGGTACTGTACTGTAATACAGTATATGTGGCGAATTTGTACTTCGAAGTAACGTTAATTGAAACTCGTATGCCGACCTGACAGAATAAAAATATCAAGGTACCCCCCTACCACCTTCGATATAATCGACCCCACCCCCCATCGAGTGTGTTCACAGTCAATATTTAACGTTATAGATTTTCGATGCAAACAAAAGTATACTGTACATGACTGATGGACATCGAGCTCCGCAAGGAATGATGTTCGAACACCTCGTATACAAGTTCGTCTCAGCTTCATTTGTGGGAATTGTTGGCGGTGGAATGCTTTCTCCCATAAGCTTACTACATTCCATAAGCTTACTACATTTGTATTACAGTAGCTTACTGTAGAGTACTACTGTATACAATTGATAGGAAAGTAGGTACTCAGAGTAATCGTTACCGTATTTGCGACAAAATGTAAACATCGGACGAATTCCATGGATAAATATCTACCGGATAAGTTGGGTCTATTATCCGGATTATTTGACTCGGTCCGAAGTCATTACATTCCAAAAACCAACATGGGCAGCAAGAATTCGACTGGCACGACACCCGAAGCTGCGGCATTTGTGCAGACAGCCATCAATACCAATGGTGTGACTGTGTTTAGCAAGACTTATTGCCCCTATTGCGATCAGGCAAGTGGTTATAGGGCGATTCAGGCACAAGGATTCACAGGTGGCAATTCCGTAGGCCAAGACGGCGCTCAAGTCTGCAGGGGCGACGTTTGAAGTGATTGAGCTGGACAAACGCCCGGACGGTGATGCTATCCAAAGTGCGCTGGGAGAGCTGACTGGTACAGCTGCAACCACCTAAAAACCCACATGTTACCTGGACATTGACTAACTGGATGGATATGTTCTAGGCCGGTTCACTGTTCCCAACGTATTCGTCAAGACAACTACCATTGGCGGTGGCTCAGACGTGGCCAAACTCCATCGCGAAGGAAAATTGGTCCAGCTTTTGAAGGAGGCGGGTGTTCTTGCTTGAATAAGTTGACTCAATAACACTATCCAACCTATGCGTCATCCTCAGTCAGATTAACAATATCCGTCTAACGCTATAATACATACAACATCCACCACCTTCTTGACTTCATGCATTGCTTGACCGCCTTGTTACTACTGAAGTGCGCAACATCTTGCCTCGAGGATGCGGGAAATGACCAAAACGGCGGAACTCATACTAATTGACAGCATACCACGCAGCTCGATCGCACTACCTTTTATCATACCTTATAGACACAAAAGGGGCCAAGGACTTCTCGATTGGCCTTTCGACAAGCCGCAACAACCTGGAATGCATGGAGCAGGGCCTTCGACTCAAAACTGTTTTAATGGTTTTGACATTGAATTGTGAGAAATAACTTTACATTTTTACTTTATAAATAAAAATTACAGTAAATCAAAAATAGCAAATTAACTGTACTGGCTGCGACAAAAAATATCAGAAAACACCTATTTTTGCAACACCTATTTTTGCAACTTTTCAGAAATATTATGACAGTTTTTCAAACGACGGCTTTTGTGTGTTTGGCTACCAAATCTGACATATATAAAGTGACACAATACGTCGCGTTTTTACTGTTTTCTGACAGAAAAACGTTTGAACTGCAACATGTTATTCTTTAGTTCTCCTTCCATCATAGCATCCAGAGGTCATATCAAAATATTTTGAAAATATTTTCTCACCTCCCATTTGAAACGGGAATTCTCTGTGGCATCCAAACTCGGCCTAAATCTTTAAAAAATATAATGATTTAACAGTAAATGTTATTTTTAAAGTGTACATTATACTATATGTACATGTCTAGAGGCGGATTCGAACCACCGACACATAGATTTTCAGTCTTTTACAGTCTTTTACATATGCTTGAAGTTAGTCCTAATTTATGATCAACTTACTACGTAGTATCTAAGTACATGACTTTCACATCACATACACTGTAGCTCACTGACGGCTTGTCTACAAGCGGTGCAGCGAATAACATATTGCAAACTTAGTTGCAGTCTATCGTTCAAGGCTAGAAATGTAACGATTGCAACGTTGTAGCGTGAGTGACGAGTCGTCAAAGGAGCCAAAAAACTCAAATATAACCTACTTTTCAAGTAAATAATGGTAACTCGATGAATATAGCTCGTAACGAACGACCTCTATGATACGTCATTACATTGTAAAGATAATGCTTATGAACACGCGACCTGAGTCTCTGAATTCAGGAATCGGATTACTTGGCCCATGTGGCCTATGTTGTTTGACTTTGAAATGGCTGTGTCAAATATTTGCTGCAAATATTACGTACTACTATTAATAAAAGATCACATAACGTTAACAACGTATTGATTTGTTATTTACTGTTAAAAAGAATAGTTCACACCATGGTAAAAATAATGAAATGGTTTTATTGTTTCGAAGAAAAGTGCGCATTTCCATGGAGGAAGGTTGAGGACCAAATCACCAGTGAAGATGCGACGACGAAGGGTTCTGTCAACCAGGTGAAGCAAGAACTAATCCGATCGTGTAACATTGAGATTATAGATAGGCATCAGCTCCATCGAGTTCGTTCTAATATGACCCTCCTTCTTTTAATATTTTAGCCATGTACTATTAATAATATTGTACCGTTAATGCTAACACATTACAGGTGTTTTCTAAATTATATAACGTGTTATACGTATTTGTATTCCATAATAGAGCGTTATATTCCCGAATTATAACATTTTGTCGAAGAAGTGCACTCACTGCCTCGAAGTTTGTTTAAATTGTTCAAGTTTAATTTGCACTACAAATATCAAGTACAGAGTGTATTTTATGACTCGGTGGGGATTCGCTCACGCTTTCAGGACATATATATATTCGACAACAGAAGAAGCGGACCTCACATGGCGGTTCACAGCAGCAAATACGACCTCTTGGTGAAGCTCCTCCTCATCGGAGACAGCGGTGCGTTGGTGATGCCGATGACTCCCTTTATGTGGCTGTATGGATATGCATAACACTAACCTTGACTTCATGCAGGCGTGGGGAAATCGTGCCTGCTCATGAGGTACTCTGACGACTCGTTCACAACGTCCTTCATCACGACGATTGGGATCGATTTCAAAGTCAAGACGATCGATGTCGACGGAAAACGCGTGAAGCTGCAGATCTGGGACACTGCTGGCCAAGAGCGCTTCCGAACCATCACCACAGGTGCTTCCATGTCGTTCGCATTGAAGTCATGGATCTCATACTTTTCTGCATAAACACAGCGTATTACCGTGGCGCCATGGGAATTCTCTTGGTCTACGACGTCACCGACGACCATTCCTTCCAAAGTACGTTCCATGTCTCCGTTGGGTCGCTTCCTTACCGCGATGCTCCATTAGATGTACGGAACTGGATGCGGCAGATCCAACAGCATGCGTCTCCGAACGTGAACAAGATACTTGTGGCCAACAAGTGCGACGTCGATCCGTCCGAGCGAGTATGCCATATCGTTCATTCCTTCCATCATGACGGCCTCATGTCCATTTTCAATAGGTTGTGTCCAAGGAACAAGGCGAGGCGTTGGCAGCGGAATATGGCGTCCAGTTCTTTGAAACATCAGCGAAAAGTAACCTCCACGTGGACGAGGCCTTCCGCAGCATCGCCGTGGACGTCCAGAAGCGGCTGGCAGAGTCCGACAGCGACCGGTTAGACGTGGCCAACCAAACCCGCCTCAAGCTCGACGAACAAGCGACGCGATCGTCGGACGGGTGTTGCTAAGCCATTAGTATGAATCTTGCGTTTTCACAGCTTTACTACTTTCCCTGACGTGAACGACCTCGAGCAATACTGTTCAGTAGTATGTGTTGATCATCTCCATGTTCCCTGGGTTTACCAACCAACGCCACGACAGAGCTCGACATCGCGCGTTTACTAGCTCTCCTTCCCTGGGTTAAACGACAAACTACTCACAGAGCGACCAACTCAGTAGTAAGTACTACATGGGCGGATAACGACGTGGTCACTTCCATGTCATATTGCCGCCTTCTTTACGACGAATACATCATTTCCACCACCACCTGAATATGACGGATTGCTCAGCTGGCTTTGCTTCTGGGGGGTGTCATCATGCCCATCCCCTTGGCAACCTACCTCCAAGTCCGACATCTTCCCCGCAGGACTCCATTACGCCTCCGTAGGGTAGCTAGCACATATCTTTCGTCGTGCTAGGTATTCCACGATATATTATTGCTCTGTACATGCCATCACCACCAATATCTTCAAATATTCATGCAGTGTATATTGCCATCGCCGCTTTCTATACCTTGGAAGTGTCCGTGGGAGGTTGGTCGTTCCCTCTGTTTACAAACATGGGGTCAGGCAACGCCATTCATAGTGCTGCATGGCATACGCATAGTACACCAACGCCGCGGTGAACACGCAGACGTGCCACCATTGATGGCTGCTGCCCACCAAGTCAAACCGCCCTGGAAATGATCGCTCGGGGAACTGTGTCACATAAAGTGCTACCCCCACGAGGTTGACGACGGCTGTGCCCGCGAGGCCATGCAGCGTCAGCAGGACGTGGTCATGGAAGAGGCCGTGGTGGCGCATGAGGTGTCCGATCGGCACAAAGCCAAAGCCAGCCAGCGCCAGAAACACCCCCGTGCGGATGTGGGGGTGGTCTTGGAACGCCGGCGCGAACGACGCGACGAGCGACGACATGGCCAGACTGCCCACGACGCTCAGGTACATGGTCGCGACGTCCCGGTCGCAGTAGAACGCGTACGAAAGCATGGGCACGAACGCGCTTGCGATGAGCACGATGATGCCGGCGTAGTCCACTTGGGTGAACCAAGCACACCACGCGCGGGATTGGATGTACAGGAGGTGGTAGATGGCGCTACATGTAAAGCAGACGCAAACTCCCACGGTGTACGCGACAACAGGCCACGTCGACACGTGTTGGGCGTGCGTGACGTAGAACGAGGCCGGTGGGATCTGGACGATCGATGTAAAGTTCACGGACGAAGTTAAGGATGGAGTGTGCAGGCCGAGGCGCAGATGCAATGGCAGTGCATGTTCAATCAGGGATGCAGGCATGACGGAGGCGTTGTCGGCGACCTCGAGCCATGTGTGATGCAAACTCAGCCCGAAAAAGACGACGGCCCCCACGAGATGCGACCACACGTTCCACGTTTCGTTGTGCAGCTGGAACAACGACAGCCAGCAGTCGTGCCACGTATGGTGCACGCGGTATCCAGATCGAATGAACTGGTTGAACCCAAGGAACTCAAAGCCTTGGCTTTCCAGCGCGTCCACGACGGCCAAGTGCTTCTTGGTCGACTTCATCAACCAAAGTGGCAAGTTCAAGAGTCGTGTGATTGGTGCATAGAGACCAATCACCAACGAGAAAGGGGGAAGTGCCCCAGATTCGCCACGTCATTTGAGAATTATCCGGATCAAATGCAATCATCAGTAAGTTTCCCATGTCGTGCGCATGTTCGTGCTCAAAATTCACTGCAGTCGGATCGACGATGTAAGCTACCGGTAGTTACTGTAAGCTTACTTATGTTTAGTGCACTATTAGCTCGGTTGAGTGTATTAATACAAGAACAACCCCAAAAAGCTGCACGCCGAGCACAGATTGGATCATCACTTGAACGTGGTCATCCCAGTGATGGCAATCTCCGATAGGCACAATCACAAACAAGATCAGCCCAAGAAACGAACTGACCCGCACTGCCTTGTTGCGACCAACGGAAGGAACCCCCGGCGCCACGAAGAGCGCCACGGCCAACTCACCAATCAAAAAGCAAGCAAGTATACAGCTTGGCAGACCTTAGTAAATGCTGGGCAAATACTGTAACAGCCCATGATGAACGTGAGGATGCTGGCGCAGTCAATGTGCAGGTACCGAGTCATTCTGGACGTACAAGAGGTTGAAGACGGTGCTCAAAACAAATCACACCACGATGTCACAAAGAGCACAACCAGGGGCCATTATTACTGCGGCACGTTTGAAGTGTCCGGGGTGGCTTTATGTGCGGTGGCGGGATCGACGGATGCGGCAAACAACGCGAGGAATAGGAGCGAACACATGATGTGGATGCATTGATCCATACGTCCCATGGCTCGTTGTGCCATTCAAAGAGCGTCCGGAGGCAGTCGTTGGACGAATAGTGGACACAGTAGCCGGATCGAATGAAGTGGTTGCCAGCCATGAACGCCAACCCCTTTGGCATGCATGCACTACTTGGTTCGACACTACCGCCGCCAACGTCTCACCCGAACAATGCTCCACAACACCCTTGGGCGCTACTTGGGTTTACATGGGTGATGCGGTTTTGATATGGCACTGTACATGTAACCGTCAATGGCAGTTTCAATTCGCCCTGCTTTGTATGGCAACGCAATAATCAATCTTCAACTTTTCAAAGTCACGCAACTGAAACAGTGGCGTCTCGAATCGCGACAGTAACGCAAACCGCCAATCGATGAATGATGACGGCCGGGTGTAGTACGTCTTCATCACATAAGATGAGTACTACAGTACATAGTACTTATACAAATGTGTGTGTGGTGGTACGTCCTTGAGGATGGACGTGAGGTTGGCCTCGTCCATCGCCCCAATATTATCACAAGATAACGTTACATATTGTGTGTTCTAAGTTTAGTCAAAATTTCCGCGGGCGGTTTTTCCCGATCCAAATGTTGGCGAAATGACCTTAAACATTTGTTAATCAACACCCTATTACTATGACGCAGTTTCCTGAGCTGAGTTGATCCAATCTTGCAGCATTCACACCTTAGTGCGTAGGCCTCGTACGCGAGTCTCTCCGTACCCCCAGCACACATACACACCAAATGTACGTACGCACAGACATCTAAAGTACACCAACTGGACGCCCGTGCTACAGTACCGCAACGTGCGACTACTGGATGTCCATTTTCTGCCCAAATCTTCGAAACTCTAACCAATCATATCATCGCTGCTATTTGTTTGCGATTTTCACAATACTGTAGCTCACAATTGGCAAATTTGTTAACCGTAAAACGCAATAATATACCTCAACTATTCATGAACGTTTAAAGTGAATCTTTGACTACGTGCTTGCGACGCAAACACTTTTGTTTGAAAAACAGGAGAATTGTTTGAGAGATTGTTTTGGCATCCAATCACAATCCGAGATTTACGAATTTTGCAATCACAATCCGAGATTTACGAATTTTGCGTCATTTGAAATGGGACATATACTACATACAGTAAGTACAGTAGTACTACTGGACAGGTTCTACGCGTCTTGGCTGTCATTTCGAAAAAAACACGATGGCCGCGCACATTCTTCGGTTTCATCCACTGCACTTGGGCAATCTCGGCGCCATTGTGTTTGGATTCCAGCGTGGCTTTCCTCGCGAGTTTCTGTCCATCGTCACCGTCCTTCGAGCGCACATTCGATCGAGACGGCTATACACATCCCTCACCGCGTGGACAGCAACCGTGCCGCCGTCGTTGGCAAGTTGGCTCACTCACGTGGATATCGTCACATTCAAGCGACTGTTCGACCTGGATGCGTCCCTATTCTGCCACGCCATGGACGATCTGGCGTGCGTAGGTCGACGGGACCTTCTCGCATTTTTGTACAGGGCGGGCGGCACCATCCACTGCTCCCCCGCCGCACTCGACTGTGCCGCCAGTGCAGGACACTTGGAATGTGTGCAATTGTTGACCGACACCCAATCGGCAGCTGCGACGACGGAAGCCATGGACCAAGCTGCTGCCCACGGATTCGACTCAATCGTGCGATACTTACACCAACACCGACCCGAAGGCTGCACGCCTCGAGCTCTGGATCGGGCGGCACGAGCCGGCCACGTTTCAGTCGTGAAGTACCTCGTCGACCACGTTCGAACGTGTTGTTGCCTTTCCACGGCGTTGGACATTGCCGCCGCCTCTGGCCACTTGGAGATTGTCCAATGGCTTCATCCTCGCACGCCGCGGTATCGCTCCACTGCGGCGGTGGATGGGGCAGCCGCGGCGGGGGACTTGGCGATGGTCGAGTTCTTGCTCACCCGTCGACACGAAGGCGCGTCGGCTGCGGCGGTGGAAGCAGCGGTCGCATTGGGGCGCATGGATCTGTTGACGCGATTGCTTCTGGAGACTACCGTGGACGTGGGTTGTATCGCTGTTGTCGTGGCGGTCGAAAGAAGACATGTCGAAGCGGTGACATTACTCACGCCGCGTGTCCTGGACTGGCGTCCCGTGATGCACGCGGCGGTGGCCCGAGGGACTTGTCTGCATGTGGTGGTGACAACGGTACTCGGATGCCACGTGCTGCTGCATGACGAACCCGTGGCGACGGCTGTCGGTGTCGCGGCGCTGTACGTGGCGTCTCTCAGCCAGAACCACGTGATGCTGCGGTTGCTGGCAGCGATGGGGCATGACAATATGTGGGTCGAACAAGCCTGGCATCAGGCCAAGATGGCCAACGATAGAGCCGTGATGGCGCACCTATGCCCGCTCCGACGATGGTGGTGTCGGGCAAGATCTATTTTTTTCTAATTAACGTGTCGAAAAACAACAAATCACATGTACTAATCCTGGTAGTACTACTACTATACGTATAGTACTGGTACAGTGACAAGTAGTACTTACTGACCTGGTAAGTACAGTTGGATCCTTGAAGTACTTTTTGGGAAGTACTCCTTGATAAACCCAATCAAATAGGTACTTTACCCCAATTTGGGATGTGGCACCAAAATATTCCAAGTTGAAAGTGCGCGCCTGCAGTCTGTATGTCCCCCATCGCTCGCAGGAAGGTTGTTCAGATCGTCGGAATCGCGGCCGTCGAGGATAACTTGCCAGGCGTACGATACGGAATCCGTGGACAGTAGTGCTATTAGCTATAACTCGGCATTGCCTGGACTAGCATGACTATTGAATCGTAATACAAGAGCTCGAACGAATGTCAAGTGTCATGTGAAGCCTTGGAGTGGATATCAACGTGTATGTATGTAAGTCGTATATCTACTTCGAGAGGGATACACCGGACATGGCGATCATCTTTACAAAGCGCCAGCTTCTTGAAGAAGGGAGACCAACTTGCCTTGTTTGTGGAGGGCATCGACGTCCGAGCCACCGCCAATGCTCGTGCCGTTGACAAACACATTGGGCACCGTGTCACGGCCTACACATATCAAAGCATGAACACGACGACGGTTGTTTCATCGACTGCATGGCGCACCTGTCTTTGCTTCCAACGCATCAAAGATTTCGTCGGCATCGGAGAGGTTGTCTAGCTCGACTACAGCGTACTGTGCGCCGATTCCCGTGAGCACATTCTTCGCCTACACGTTCATGTGGGTATGACGCCATGGTATCGAACATATCGAACACACAACTACGCAGTCATACGAGGGTGCAGTAAGGACAGCGGGTCTTGCTAAAGATGGTGATCTTGTTGGCGGCAATCGTAGACTCGACAAATTCTTGCGCTTTCGCGGACACCATGATCGAAGCCTTGGGTTGAAAATTCAAAACTGGCTGAGATTTGTGATTTGTTGGCAAAGTTCCATGGAAGTCGGGTGAACAACTGATTAATTAAGACAAGTAAATAATGCATTATTTATTGGGCCACTTCAACAACCGTCAAAGTGGCTCCCAGAACTCCATCTAAAGCATCCTGAATGGACAAACCGCTGTCTGCAACAGCCTTGAAGCAGTCAGCCCCATGTCATCGCACCAACAGTCATCGTCCCCATGTACCAGTGGGAGGCGTGTGAAGTACGTGGCAGTCGTAGCTGCCGAGTTGGAACCAGCCAATGGTATTTCGTCAAAAGCATGAAGTTAACGTTAAGTTTATACCGAATTCACAATAAAGGAAACATGAATTAACTTACCTGAGAATAAGAAAGAACCATTTGGAATGGACTAGGGTTGTGAGCAGGCTTCAGTGGCGTCAAACGAACTGCGCCGCACCTGCCCAAGGAAGGTCGTCGTCTGTGTTGCGTCATAAACAGAACGCTGCCGTAGAGTATCTGCGGCATCGTGCAGATGGATTGACGGCGCAGTTCGACAGAAGGATGGCTCACTGACAGCCGCCGTCAGCGAAGCCCCTCCCTTAGCAAGTCGTCGCCAACGTCTTGCAAGTCGAGCTAGCTCGTAGCATCCATACAAACCGTCGTCTTCAAACCAAGGTGCCCATTTACCGCCAAGTGGCTCGTGACATGCAGCGGTGGGTTGCATAATGCGCTGCCCGCCCTTCGGTAAGTCTGTCGAATCTCCACGAATGCACTGTAACCGAGCTTCTTTCAGGCATATCTAAGCAGCATGGCTTTATCGTCATGAACATCTACAAGCATGATGACAGCATGTCCAACCAACTAATACGTCGCGCTCCAATGCAATCTCATCGCCCGAACGTTGGCCAAGGAAAGGCTGGCCAGCTAGGGACCAATTCCAAAGCTCTGAAAAAATTCATCCAAGTCTCGAAGCAGAAACCATTGAAGAGATGGAAACGAGCACGGCAGCTCACAACTACGGTAGGCCACGATGCAAGCAAGCCTTCCAAAAGGGATTTGAAAGCGCCTTGGCACGCATGTAATCTCCTGAAATGTGTCGGACTGGCCATTTTGTCATATTGACGGGGTATGCAACACTGCATGAAATGCATACTAGTAATTTACTGGCACCGGTGCACATGCTCTAAGCTCAATCCAGTGGATAGTCCACCCGACACTTAGCAAAGTATATTTCATTCGTCTTGCGCGGGGCAATCTCTACCGTAGAGCGTGAAACCACAACTGGCGACCATTATGTGACTCCGTAGCAGCTAGGTCATGTTAGGTGTGTTAGCCCTCCACAAAGCGGCTATGGCTGCCCCCACTGCGGCCGTTTCTGGCCTCCAGATCGGCTGTTGTGCTTGATGTGCCTCCGTTATGTCAAGAAGTCAAATCTGCAAATTGGATCTTTTACAGTTAATCGCACTTTACCGAGCAGTAGGATGTAACACTCACTACAGTATCAAATGAGTATCGCACTTTAGCGAGACTCGTACTTACAAAGTCAACTCGGAATGGCTCGTTTCCTTGCAGGGTCGCATGAGGTTGGGACTACCCGAACAAAATATGGGGGTATTTGAAATTAATCAGTGGCTCCAAAGCGAGGAGGATGGAGCGAGACGAGACGCCGATGGAAGACGGAGACGACATGGACGTAGAGGAGATGTTCGGATCGGACTCTCCTTCCTCCGGTTCGGACTCGGACGCGCCGCTCCGACCGGCGAAGGTCGGTGCCGCACCCCAAGCGAAACAATCCGTGGCGTCGTCCCCCGCAGACGACAAGAAAGTTGCGTCGACGCAACAACCATCTGCTGCTCCTGGGAAAACCGCGGCACCATTGACAACCGACTCCACAGTGTCGAATGTCCCGGCCACGGACGACGAAGCATCCGAAGACAACGATCACGAATTGGCCACGTGGGCTGCCATCGACATGCAACCTGCCATCGATCTGGTACGTTTGATCGGTCTTACATGATGCAAGCCATTGGACAGCGATCTGAACATGCGAGTAGATCGACAAGTTGGCCAAGACGTGCGTGGATGCTGCCAAGGACTTCAACGCGTCGGTTGTGTCGACGACTCATCAACTCGTGAGTGGGTGTGACTCAGTGTTGCTAGAGATCAAGCATATTTCAGATATCCGGGACTCCATGAAGCGGAAAGCGGTGAATTCTGCGCACACTGCGCCGTCGTCCATGTTGCTAGCGTCGCATGCGCTGGGCACGTCCATGCTACCTGCCTCGTCGTCGACGTCTGCCCCGCCTCAATCCTTCGCGACGGCCCCGGCCGTGGCCACTCCTCCATCCTTGGACAAGGGCACGGAAGACCAGACGGACCGCGTGCTGTACAAGATCGAAGCAAGTATTGAAAAGTTCCGCGAATTGGCCGAAATGATCCAAACCACAAGCATGCACCACGAAGCGTTATTGGTGCACAAGCTCCATCTCCCGCCATCTTCCATCGAGACCATGGTCACGTCCATCCACAACGCCGCCGCCGCCGCCACGTCCGCCGCGATCGCCCAAGTCCGTCATCGCATGCCGCGCACGCTGTCGCCCGAACAGCGCACGAAACTGCAAACGTGGTACTATAGCTACCCCCGTCCGTTGGCCGACGAGCTCGACCTCATGAGCTCCATCTTGAGCTACCCTCCGTACTCGACGTCGTGTAGCCTCGTACACCCGCAGCACGTCCGCGACTGGTTCAAGCGCCGCCGGTTCCGCGAACGCATGCGCCTGGTCGTGCAGGCCGTGGAAGCATCCTCCGACCCCGCGAGTCCGCTCTCCTTACATGCCGCGGAGGCCTCGGTCCGCGCCCGCATGGAGCTGCGCATCCAAACATTGCGGGAAGCTGTGAATCCGGACGAACTGGTGCGGGAGCTCGAGCACGTGCGCCTTTCGTCGTCGCTGTACTCGAACGTGGCGTCTTCATTTGGCCACAAGCGCAACTTGGACCAGTTCCTGGCGGCGGCGCACCACGCCATCTTGGGAGGGGCGTCCGACAAGAAGAAGCCGCGGCTGCAAGTCCCCGGTGGAGCGGCCGCGTCGTCGTCGGCGGCGTACCCCGCGGCGCTGGGGGTTGATGACGTGGACGACGCGATTGTAGTTAAAGTAGCGTCCAAGTTTGAACTGGAGGCGATCCAACGACGCCTCCAGACGCTACTGCAGGCGCCCAAGACCACGGCCAACACCAACAACATCCAGCAAGCGATGGACGTGCTGCGGTCGCTCGACATTTCGAACGAGTTGATGCAGAGCACGGGCGTGGTCGCGGATTTGAAGCGCGTGCTCAAGGTGTACAAGAAGCCGTCGCTCCTGCGCCGAACGACGGAAGCGCTCATGGAGTCGTTGGGTCAGACGACTGCGACCAAGAAACCCAAGCGACCTGCCGCGCCGCCGCCACCGCCGCCGATGGTGGTATCGGTCGCGGCGTCGTCGCCGCTTCCACCGACGGCGCTAGTCAGTGCAGCAGGGGGAGAAGGGAAGACGACGACAACATCGAAACGAAAGAAGGGCGCCAAGTTGCTCCGACCTATGAAATTCTCAATGCAACAAGTGGAGGCGCTGGAAACGTGGTTTCAAAAGACGTTCAAGCCGTCGCAAAGTGAAATGGAGGAGTACCTGGATGCGTTGAACGCGGAACCGCTGCGGGATCCCAAGCAGACCGTGGACGTCAACATGACGCAGCTGCGACGATGGTTCAACAAGCGGAGATGCCTGCGACGACCGCCGTTTGCATTGATGACGACCAAGGACAAAAAGGACGACGATGATGACATGGGCGGCACACCCGACGATTACGACGAAGATGAAGTCGACGACGACGACGACGGCGGAATGGCCACATCCCACGTGTCCTCAACTGGGTTGGCAGGTGGGGCACTGGCATCCGAAGACGATGATCAGGCGTCTAGTGACGACTCGTTGAGTGAGTAAACGAAGAAATGAAAACTTTCGCTTTGACCGAGCCATGGCGCATGCATTTATGTATCCGTCCATGCGGAAACCCACTCCTAATCGCGTGCAGATCAGTTCGACCTGATGAAGGCAACGCGTACTACAGTAACTACCTCGTGCATACTAGTACATGACTTGTTGAGATGCGGCTGTGACGGTAACGCGTACTACCTCGTGCATACCCGTCTCGCCTTCGACGCTTGATGAGATATGCGGCTTCTATTCCACAGTCGTCAAGCGCTCCCGCCAACGCGAAGCCTCTTCATGCACCTATGTATGGCCACCAGCGGATCCTGCATGTAACGTTATCGATTTGAATATGAAAAGTGCGCGAAAGTGGGTTGGATATCCGGATAACGTTGCCGATGTTTACCGAATGGTACGGATAACCAACGCGTGATTCCGGATAACGGGTATGTTGGTTGCAGAGCGATTATCTGCAGACACACACATCATGGGGGGGATTGAGGACAAAATTGCCGCTGCGGCGCAAGTGTTCATCGCCAGTGCGATCGAACGAAGCGACAGCCAGCACCCACTTCATCTAGCAGAGATCTTCCGCGCGGCCGGACAAGGTTCCAATGCCGTCCGATGGATGAAGGAGGTGCACGAGCTGATTCGCACTGACGGCCGGCTCAATCAAGTTGGCAATGTCTTCAAGGTTGTGCCAGGTGTCGATCCAAGCGCTCCTCCGCGCGACATTCCCGCGATTAATGGTAGGGCAACGGTAGCTCCAGTGCCCACTTCTTCACCGCCGGCGGTTCCCGCACCTTCGTCGCATTATTCACCTGCGCATGTTACCCCAGCGGTACCGTCGACGACCTCCACACCTCCACTTCCTCATGCATCGCCGCCCCCCGCGACTAATCCGTCGTCTGTACCCACCGCCGTTTCCCCTGCACCCGCTACTGCGTCGACTTCTCCTCCCAAACCCACCACGTCCAACCGAGACCCCGTGCCGGACGAGTCAGCCCTCCTCCCGTTCCTCGCATCAAGCAAAGCCATCCGCGTCGGGTCGGTCAGCACCATGGGCCAATTTCAAACCCTTCTCGAGCGCTTCCACGACACGTTCTCCCCGTTAGCGTCGTTTCGTGACTGGTACCCGTCCCATGTCGTTTGAATTCGTCGGGGAATACTGTACTCACCCCCATATGGTTGTGATGTCCACAGGTGGAAGGCCCATGCAGACGTTGCCGCGTCGGTGATTTTGGAACGCCTTGAGTTCCTCGAGCTGGTTCGCATCGAGTCGGTCGACGTGTCGTCGCGTAAACTGGTGTGGGACATGCACGCTCTGGGTAAGCATGCAGCGCCAGCTCCGTCGACTGCGACCGCTGCGGCGACGACGCCCTCATCGGGATGGACCACCGCCATGCTCGATCGAGACTTGCCGCTCGTGAAGAAGAGCGTGCTCCACCAACTGCGGCTGTTTGCATGCTACCGGCTGCAAAACATCCACCACATGATGCAGTCCAAGTACCCGCCGCCGCAATCGTTCCAGTTGGACTCGTATGTCGACCACATTGTGCACGAAATCGAAGAAGACAAGCGCCTCGTCATCACCCACGACGACTCTGGCAACCCCGCGTTCACATGGGCTGAACCCGCCAAAGCGCAAGCGCTCCTCAAGGACCCCCTCGTTCCCAATAACCGCCACGCCCTGGAAGCTGCCGCCGTCGCCGCCGCCGCCACCGCCGCCGCCGTCCTCGAACACCAAGATACCGTTGCCACGTCGTCGGTCGTCAAGCCTGGCGCTGTCACAGACTCTTCAGCAGTGTGGATGGACGCGGTGGTGGCCGCGCTATGGAACGAACATCGCATGCGCGTCCACGTGCAAGGCGATGTGCTGTGCCGGACAACGGACGACTTGTCGAAGAAGCGACCGCGGGCATCCCCCGAGCGTCGGTCGCCGACTTGGGACACTTCGCCAGCTCTACCCACGACGGATGACCAAGACACGGAAGACGAAAGCAGCGAACTACCTGCCCATAAGAAAACGCGTCGATTGCACGAGTATATATATATATATATATATGGACAAGTAGAATCAACGTGAGGGATTATGATGTAGGGTGCGGCAGCCAGTGATTGAATGGTCGACACCGCCGCAGTTTCAATTGCCGGCGAATGTGCCCGTGCGGCCGTATGTGGTCGAATCCACTGAGCACAACTGGCAGGTGAGTGAGAGAAAGGTGATGAAGAAATTGGACGTTTCAGCCATATTATTTGGCCTTTTTTTCAGGCTGATTTGCCAAATTTATCGATTTATTCTATTGCTTTCGTTTGCATGTCGTCGTCGCTGCTATCTCATTGGTCCATTTGAAAATGCTTGTCGCTGATTGGCTACATTAGTTTTTTCTATTGACGTTATCTTTTCTGAAAAACGTCGAAAAAGCCAATGAAATTTCGAGATATTTGGGATCGGTTTTACGAATCGCGTCGATTGGGGATATATATATATTCATGTGGTATATATATTATTCATCATATTGAAATGTTTCTGAATATTGTACAGTGCGTTTGTGTTGATTACACTAATTTCAGTCACACACACACCAATATCCGATCTGTCGATGTACGAACGATTTGATTGGCTCAATTCTTGTGTGCCAAATATAAGGCTCGATTTTGAAATCGATTTTCCATTAATATTGGCATAATCGATGGCGTAGACCCAACGTGCGCGGTTCTTGACGTCGAACGTGGAAGTGCCGTACCAGCAGGCGCCGGACCTGCCCACGAAGCCAATTGCGTTGGACTACCAATACGTCCAAGGCTGAAGATATATTGATGATCATGGCAAAGAAGTCCAAACGATTCATTCACATGCTGGTTTTATGAATTGCGATATATATATATATAAAGTACTACCAGTACTAGTACTAGTAAGTAGGCGTAGAATAGATTATACAATTGAAACAAGCGAGACAAGGACGCAGCATATAGAGCAACAGTTCACAGTACAAGGTCGTAGGCAACGCAATCGATTGACGCTAGAGATGAGAGCAATACAGACAGTATTGACAAACTCGATACGGATAGTACGACTGGCATAAAGGGGGTGCGATAGATTGAGGGATGTGCCGAGTCGTCGGCGATTCCAGCTCAAAACGCCCTTGTCAACCATCAGACCGACGCCGACGAACTCACGGCCTTGTAGCGTATCCACCCTAGAGACACGAGGAGTTATGCGCTGGTGTGGTATGGGGAGTCAATATAGGATGGTCGGCTGTGAGTGCCGCGTTACTCAACCGACGACCTGATGTCTTGCATCTCCTCGGAACTACTACATATTCAAGGCTCAAATGCATTTGCACGACGAATGAATTGGTGTCAATAAGCTGGGAGCGTTTGTTTAATCTAAGGAATCAAATGATGTACACTTGGAATGTAGGTTTAACCTTGTGGTTAGTATGTAGACGCTGGTCAGAGGCAACGCAAAACTAAAAAACTCGAAACGTCTTGACGGTACACCTCTCATGACGTTCGGCTCCTGTACTCAACCCCATGTGTAGTTGGGTGTGCGGCGTTGTGTCATTCCAAAAAAACATGCTTGACCTTGATGAAGTGTTCACGGCGGCGACGCGGGATGCGCACTTCAACGACGTCCGGCAGACGTGGCTTCCCAATGGCCTGCGGATCGAGTATGCAATGCACGGCGACGACGCTGCGGCAGACAAAGTTGTGATGCTAATGGGCATGCAAGGTGAAAAAGAAGCGTGGCTTCCCTTGATGTCCACGTTCCTCCATCCTGCGAACGGCACCGCGTCGTCTAAGTACCAACTGGTCACGATCGACAACCGCGGGGTCGGCGGCTCCGACAAGCCGTGGGGATGGTACTCGACGACTCAAATGGCGCGAGACGCGTTGCTTCTCATGGATCACCTGCGCTGGCCCAAGGCGCACGTCGTCGGCGCCAGCATGGGCGGCATGATCGCGCAAGAGCTCGCGTACATGGCACCAGAGCGCGTGCAGTCACTGGCGCTGATGGTGACAACCCCCGGGTTCCGGCAAGGTGCGCTGCCCGGTTTGTCCCAGCTCGCGTCGTACGCGTCGTTGGTGCAAAACCTGTTTTACCCCACCCATCACCGCGTCGCATCCACGATGATCTCCGTGTTGTTCCCGGACGAGTACCTCAAGTCCTCTTCATCGTCTACCTCTTCATCCCATAATCCAACCGCAAGTTCGGACGTGATCACCACAACGCAAGATGTGCTATACAAGCATCACATGGAGCGCCTCGGTCAGGTCCAAATGTCGCTCAGCGGGATGCTGGGCCACTACACGGCCGTGCTCTTCCACAACGTCGACCGCGATCGGCTCAAAGTGATTGCCGACTCGGACTTTCCCATCATGATCATCGGCGCCAAGATGGATCGCATGCTGCACCCAGACAACTCGGAGTACCTCGCGCGCACGCTCAGCGGCAAACACACGACGGCGCTTGTGTTTGAACATGCCGGCCATGATGTCCACGTGCAGCACCGCCGCGAGATCTCGGAAGCGTTGGACCAACTGTTTATGTCTGCCAGACGCAAGAAGCAGCACCCCCGACAAGGACGACGACTCTCTGCAGGGCAAAAGAAGCGAAAGGGGTCGCGATGAAGGAGCATAGCATACAGTAATAGCATCGAATCGAGGCACCAAGTATGTATTACTACTACTGCTACTACAGTACTACTATTACCTACAGCTGCACCCACACACTCTAATACATGACCACACAGTTGTCCAGAGCACAGGTAATAGGCGCATGCACTTGATATGTATGGGCTAGTTAAGCATCTACTACATAGCCGAGGGCACTTAGCGTGATAGCACTAAAAAAGGTTGTTAACACTAAAAAAGGTTGTTAACACTAAAAAAAGTTGTTAACACTAAAAAGGTTGTTAACACTAAAAAAGGTTGGTTAGTATAGCATCCTCCGCGGCAGTGAATCCCCATCGCTTGTCCTTACCGCCTCCTCTACAACACCCAGGAGAGGGCGAATTCATGCAATTGAGTAAAATCACAACAAAAAGCATTGGTCCATGCTGTGGGCAACCATGGGAAAGCTCTAAGAAAGGAAAAGTTGATAGGCAACCTTGTAACTTTGAGCCCCCACAGCAACTAACTACGCTAATAGTACCGAGATGAAAGCACTTGACCAACTGGAACGCTGGTGTACTATGAATAGTATTTTTCATTGCTGCGAGTGTCTGGTTACCAACGCGCTCAATAATGCCTACAAAGCACAAAACTGTGGATCATCATCATATAGAGGGCATGAATAAGGCGTCTTACGGGGGGCAGCACGAGAAGTGGTCGCTGCTGCAGGCCTTGCCGCACTTGTAGCAGAAATGGTGTCCGCTACAGACAAAGCCGTGATGATATCTTTTCAAGTTCATAAGCGTACCACCGACACGTGATGTGCGCGCAGCCAGACGCTCGTTCGACCACGGCTCGGCACCACGGACAGCGTTTCCACTGGAGCTTGTCGATGGTGGCTTGGAGCAATGCCGCCGCCTTTTCGTCCTCCAGATGCAGCTTGTTCATGGCACAATCAAACTCGGCATGCCACCGCAGGCCACATGCGGCACAGAATTCCAGGGCGCATTTAGGGCACAACACAGGTGCTTGATGGATATGACCGGGTACGTTCACAGTAGTCGAGCACGAGGTAGTTGGGCACTTCAGTACTCGAGGGGTAATGAGGTATTTGAACCGTTTGACGGCGTCGGGGTCGAGGACGCGGTCGAGGTGGTGGGGCTGCACTGCGTGGAGACATCCACGATGGGGGCAATTGGGGGCGCTTGCTTTAGCGTTGTGGGGGCCACTCAACACAGTGTGTTGGATCCAGTTACGCAAGCAGCCAATGCAAAACACGTGGCCGCACTTGAGCTCCCATCCGTCGTGGGGACTAAAATCGGACGGATCGACGTACGGGTAGTGATGGAGATGGGTTTGCACCGAGCCAAGGATGTCCAAGCAGATTGGACATGGGGCACGACCACCACCTTTGGCCTTGGACGCCATGACAGCAAATGACACCGCAGAATACAAGTAGGAACTGCCGTTGGAATTGGAGAAATTTGCAGCTCAACTGCCGTGGGAATCAAACTGTGACAGTGTAGTGGTCAATGATTTGAGCGCTTGACTTGGTAACATCATTGACGTATGGAGTGTCGAACCTGTAATTTACGCAAGATGGGGTCGCCATTCACCGTTCCAAAACTTTGTTGGACGAGCAAAACATCAACTTATTTTAGCACTCTCAACCCGATCGAAAACGTCTGGGGCATGATGACGCAGTACGTGTATGCGAGTACGAAGCAGTGCGGCAGTGTGTGTGACCTTGGACTGGCAATGTACTAACTTCTTGTGAGGGGATAACTATTCAATCACAAGCTCGATTGTACGACGTTGCGTTCGTCTTTGTTGCTATACGTATGCCAACCGTAGCATCTAACGTTACCCGAATTTCCGCTACTGTACCATGATGGTAAAACCTTGCAATGGGTATGTTGGGGAATTCTAGTAGTCTTTACAGTGAATTCTAACGTTAAACTGCGGACTATGCATCGAGGGCAAATTGTAAGGAGGTCCGGAGACAGGTCAGTTCCTCAGACTGCTTTGCAGTGCAAGAACTTCCGAGGAACAATCACAGGACAGATCTCAGACCGCAACTGAAAGTGTTTACAATAGGACCCAGACTCACCTGACTTCCCATATGAGCATTGCATTCTATCCCCCCCCGTAGCCCTAAACTGTAAAGCACTCTTGAAGCTCACAACATCAGCATGAGAGTGTAGGGGTACAGTACTAAGTATCTGTTGTAAAGGAAGGGCAAATCAGTCAATGGAAATATCACCAAAGTTGCAACTGACATGCGTAATTTGCAAGCGCCGATCGTTTCAGTGAAATTACCCAATAAATTTGCAATTTATTGGGTAATTGCCCGGGTATATGTCAAAATTACCTGAAATATATTCAAACTTTGACAAATATACGATCAATTCATAGTATTTTGCCAAGCGCCGCTTTGCAAAATTGCGTACATGCATTTGGGGCTAGTAACGAAGATGCATGGCTGGCGAGTTTGCTAGCTCCATTGTCATTCTGCATTTCCATGGGACTCCTTCACATCTTCGTCGCTACAGCCGGTCTCTGTTCCATTGGAGTCACAAGTGCTTTCACTGGTATCGCGACGACGTACGGTCCACCTGATGGCGAGAGTCCCCAAGGCGGCAACTGCGCCATGATGAAGTGGCTGCCGCTCGCTCCACAGTTCCACGTCGCCATCAACGACAATCAGTACGACACGGGTGCCAACTGCGGGCGGTGCGTGTCTGTCACGTGTGTGGATGCCCGATGCCAAAGCAAGCGCACAGTGCTCGGACAAGTCACAGACCGGTGTCCAGAGTGCAGTCAGGGAGATCTGGACATGAGTCTCCCCATGTTCCAACAGGTCACAGGATTCACCACCGATCGGTTGGCCATCTCGTGGGAGTTTGTGGACTGTCCCGTGACCGACGGCGTCCAAGTGTGTGCCAAGGATGGCAGCAGCATCCATTGGCTGTACGTTCAACCCGGCAATACTTTGAATGGGGTAAAGAGCATGCGCATCAACGGAGGCGACGCGCCGCTGTTTGGGTCGGCGTACTACTTCATGTCGACGGTGCTGGGGACCGTGGATTTGAGTCAGACGCAAGTGGAGATGACGTCCCACAGCGGACAAACCATCAAGGCGACTGTGGCGTTGGTGGCCAACCAGTGCACCCAGATTTCACAGCAATTCAGTGGAGTTGGAGGTGGTCAGCCGTCCCCACCTGCCACCCCATCACCTCCAACCCAAGCCCCTGTAACTCAACCTCCACCAACAACGCAAACCCCTCCACCAACTCAGCCTCCATCAACTACATCACCACCAACGCAAGCACCAGTTACACTGCCTCCACCAACACAACCATCACCAACTACCACGCCATCAACGACAGAAGTGCGGACTACTCAAGTACCCACTACTCAAGTACCTACTACTGAACTACCCACTACTCAAGTACCCACCACCCAAGTAACCACTACTCAAGTACCCACTATTCAAGTACCCACTACTCAAGTACCCACTACTCAAGTACCAACTACTCAAGTACCAACTACTCAAGTATCGACTACTCAAGTACCGACTACTCAAGTACCGACTACTGAACCACCAACTACTCAACCACCAACTACTCAAGTACCTACTACCCAAGTACCGACTACTCAACCACCAACTACTCAAGTACCTACCACTCAAGTACCGACTACTCAAGAACCGACTACTGAGCCACCGTCCACCCGATCCCCCACATCAACTCGGCCACCCTGTACGGAACCGCCAGCAACTTCATCGACAACGGTTGAACCAACGTCAGCTCCGCCTCCGACGACAAGGATACAAACATTCATTCCATCGAGTGTACTACCGACCACGACTGCTGCACAGTACCCGACCATCACTCCCACGGCGACTTCCGTGCCATCTTTAGCCCCTTATACCACGAGCTGGGCAACAGATGCACCGTCACCGTCGCGAGTTCCCACCACATCGCCAACTTCACCCCCCCCGAGTATTTCCCCATGCACTGAACCAACTAGTACATCTCCGCCAGATGGTACCACTGCAACAACGCCGCCGCTTTATTCTGCTTCAATTGATGTCTTGGCTGGCTCGCCCAACTCGATCGTTCCTTCGTCGCCGTCCACGTTATTATTGCCGCCATCCCCTCCAGCAAGTTCGGGAGCAACTCAGCCAGTCGCTTCCTCACCCACGACGCCATCCAGAGTGCCCACCGTCACTGCCAAGTCGGACACTGTGTCCGTGCGACAATCAGCCACCACGTCCGATGCATCCGGCAGCATTCTGATCATCACGATTGCGTTCATTGCCGTGGGAGTGGGTATGTACGTTGTGGTCGTCCAGCGCGCCCGTCGGGGACTCGCCAAAGACAAAAATGCGAATGCGCTGAGCGAAATCCCCATCTTAGAAACCCCCACAAGTCGCGCCGTCAGTATTCTGTAGCGACTACACACTCATGACCGACGAACAACGATTTGATATACTACTGTACTAGTCTGTACTACCCGCTCCGACACCACATAAACAATTGTGTCGAGCACATATTGTGAATTCGCTTAGGTCTCATCTGGATGCCACGAATTATGGCAAAAAATGACGAAAATCTCCATAAAATGGTGAAATGACAAAGTCGCGAAGTTGTTTCATCTGGATACCACAAAATTCAAAGGAAATATTACAAAACTATAGCTAGAAAGTTCACGAATTATGGCATAAAAAAATGGACCAAAATGGTCAATTTCTCATGAAAGACAGTCCATGTGACCACTTCAACATCAATGTTCTGTCAAAACGGCGCATTTCGAAAACCGCTGCAACCCCACAGCACACAGATGGGCGTTTGGACCACCACGTTGGACGAGATCGTGCAGCAGTCCACCATACTAGTACGCATCACGGGACATTCGAAACGTCTCCTCGAAGGCATCCTCGTTTTCTTGCAGTAACGTTATTTCGGCAACCCACAAAGCCCCCGACAAGATGGAGACTCGCTTTGACGTCTTCAAGAGGTAGGCGGAGTAGTGGTAGACCAGGTATGACATCAACTTCATGCGACGTCGCTTGAGGCGCCGCCGTCGATGCAGGATCATCATGGTCGTGAGCATCGTTTTGGCGCGCAAGTTTGAATCCGGATGAATCCAGACGGTTTCACCATCTCTTCATTTTGTATTGCGTTTGTATATTGGACAAATTTTGTAAAACTACAATTTCGAGTTTTGGCATAATTTTATGGCGTGGTATCCAGAGGAGCCCTTATAAACTTCCAAACTTCGCTTGTCTGATCAATATTGAATCACGCTGGAGTTGTGATTGGTTGAATATATATTTATCCTTTCTTTAAGAGCCAATCAAACCCACTCAAAATTGGATTAGCCAATAGCGTCGATTCGTGATTCGATTCGGCGGTGAGATTCGGTTTCGACGGGGTCTGGAAATTCGTATCGAATATACCACAATACTGTACCTAATAAGGGTTGGTCTGGATGCCACCCCATAAAATTATGCCATAAACCGTTTTGGCAAGTCTGCAAAAATTTCCCAAAGTCTCATATCCCATGAAGTTAAGGAGAAAAGAAATATTTACAAAGTTGTCTGGATGCCAGTTGAATTATGGAAAAAATATTCGATTTCCGATTGACTGTGAAGTGCAAGACTTCAACATGAACACAAACCTCAATAATAAAGTTGGACCAAATCGGTCCATTTCATTTATGCCATAAAACCCCCGATTCTCAAGAAAACTGTGGCATAAAGTTTTGAACTTTGGTGGCATCCAGATGCACAAATTCTCGAAAAATGGAATATTTTGATTTTGGCAACTTTTCTTCGAAAAACGGCTATTTTATGCCATTTTTTGTGGCACCCAGACCCGGCCTAAGCAATTTTTTCAGAATTATTTATAGAGTTCTCAAGGTGGTTCGCCTTGCGCAGCATACAAAAAAGGCTATTTCACCTTTCCTTTTTTCTGGTTAAGGTAATGTATTGATCTCTTAATCCAAAACACATCGACATATATCGCATGGTCGCTTGACACTGTGAAGTCGCAAATTCGGCGCAACGATGGCGACATTTGACATATGTGCAATATTGACTGACATAAAGATGGTGATCACCCGTGACATCTGGGCGAAAACAAATCACGCGCACGCGTGTGGGCTTTAACTCTTTGGTATTATCAAGCCGATTCGAGTGGGGTGCTCAATCCAATAAGCAGCACAAATCGGCAGACAATCGATTGACCAATCAAAACGCAGAACACTCATCAAGTAGCCAATCAAATCCAGTCTTTGACCAATTCAACGTCGAATATTAGTGTGTGAATGAACACAAAGTCCAATTTTGGGTAAGACGACATTAGACATGCTTGCTTGATGTCGTCGGAAGGAAATCGTGATGGTCGCATGACCAATTCATTCACATACGTCAGTATCCAGCTGGAGCGGTTTCATATACTGTAATGTCGTTCTTTGGTCGAAACTCCCCACCTTTTGAAACGACTGGTGAACTATGTACACCTGCCGTGGATCATTACGGAGTTGAGTAGTAGTACCTCTACCTAAAGCGGCCATCAGCTTGAGTTTCCATTCATTCCATCACGAGGTTCCAGTGTCCAACAATCAATTTGGAAGTACGTAGTACTAGTATTGGTACTGTATTGTAATACATTGTGTGGAAAGGAGGTACAATGTACTGTAGGTACACACGAAATGCATAACGTTAATGGTTGAAGTTGGAAACTCATGTGACATGTTTCACACTATTTTCAATTGTCACGTTGAAATGTACACACTATTTGATCGTCCATGTTGGTTTTGCGCGTGACACGAGATTTAATGTAAAGTTGAGGTTGATGATGGCTTTGGATTGGTTATAATAAAATATTTATAACCAATCATAATGCAGTAATACAGATCCTCAATGCTCCAAGTGTGCTCAGTTTGCAATACGATCAACGAAGCTCAAGGCACCATGGCAGGCGACAGTTCGGCGCACGTGGGCACGTACTCGCCGACGACAGGCTTCATCTTCCTATTCAACCTCGTGGTGGGAACAGGCGCCCTCACCATTCCGCATGCCTTCGCACAAGTCGGACTCATCTACGGCGCCGCCGCGCTCTTTCTCCTATCCGTCGTCAGTTATGTGTCTGGGACGTACGTGATTGAAGCCATTGCTGGAGTCAATGCGCTTCAAGGATTCCAACAACAGTCCAAAGGTGTCAGCACCGCCAAGTTGTCGGACGCGTCGTCGTCCACCGCCACCGTCGCCAACACGAGCAGCGTCGACGAAACCACAAGCGAAGCCGTTCCGTTCCTAGTGCACACCGAGGTAAGCACGCACCCAACCGCTCAAGTTCTGTGCGCACTGTTCCATTTATCGCAAACCTGAAGGACTTCGACCAGGCAGACGAAGAGTACGTGTCGGGTTTGCATTTCGACATTTCCAAAAAGGTACGACAAACTCCACCACCACTCCCCCATCACAAAGTCATCAGCGAATCTGACCCTTCCGCCGCCCGTTAGTTGGAACTCGCGGCGATTGCGCAGGAATTGTTTTCCCCGCGGGGTGTTGCCGCGTTCTACGTGTGCATGATTGCGTACCTCTACGGCGACCTCGCCATCTATGCCGTCGGTACGTCCATCCATCGACCAAACTGCTCCAACTCGACGCTGATCCTGTTGTTGTTGCGACGTATAGCAATCCCCAAATCCCTCCGCGAAGTCATTTGCCCGCGTCCGACGACGTCCGCCGCCGTCGTCACGACGTGGGACTGCCCTGCCCTGCACATGAACAGCTCCGTGCTGTACCGCGCGCTCGTGGCGCTCTTCGGGGTGTCCTTGGCGCCTTTCGCCATGGGTCACATGCAAAAGACGGCGCTGATCCAGATCGCGACCACCGTCATGCGGCATCTGTCGTTTGCGCTCATGATCGTGCTGGCGTGTGTGGGCATTGGCCAAGGCCAGGGGCAGTCCGCGGCGGCCGTCGTGTCGCATACCGACTTGGGGTATCTGCCAAACTTTTTCGGCATTTGCATCTACTCGTTCATGTGCCACCACAGGTAGAGGAAGGTTTGATGGTGTATATGCAGTCCTTTATCGTTGTACAGTAGTGGTAGATGTATATATTTATTATTTATTTATATATATTTATATATATATATATATATTCGGATATCTAATAGTGTGTGTTGTTGCTGTAGTTTACCAGGGATCATTGCACCAATTAGCAAGAAACGCACCGTGGGAACAATCTTCTTCGCTGCATTCATCGTACGAACCATGTCCCCTTTGCTGCATGCTATATATATATATATATATATATACACGTATATCAATTTATATATATATATATATATTATATATATACATGTATATCAATTTATATATATATTATATATATATATTTATACATGGAGACGAAAAACGTTATGTAGTTTGGATAGATTAAAGGAATGGCAAGGGCATTTTTACTTTGTATTTTATTGTTCTGACGTTTTCAAATGGATTTTATGGGACACACACACACATATATATATATATATATCACTGAAGTGCCGACATATATATATATATATATCACTGCAGTGCTAACATTCACGTCTGGACCTTGAATGAGTTGCGAATTCCAAGGTATGGCATATACTTTTATCATGTCGATTATATCGTATGCTGTGGATGCTTTCGACGATGGTGGTGATGTTGGTGGGTCGTGATGAGATTTTTGGTGTTTTGAATACAATGCCAAGCCTACTACCAACCATTCGACCAAATTGTTATTCTACAACTTCTTTCGATACTATTTGAATATATATATATATATCCGCCCCATATATTGAACGATGGAAACTCCGTGCAAAATTCCTATACACATACATATGTTGGTCGTACGTAGGCCGTGTTTGCGTTGTACGTTGTCCTGTCGTGCTCGGCTGCGTTTCGGTATCTCCCCCAAGACATTCAAGACGTGTATACGCTCAACTTTACGTCGTACCCAAACGCGTTTATCGCCTACTTTTTGAGCCTCTTCCCCGTGTTTACGCTCAGGTCGGTACTTGCTTGCTTGCTACCTTACTTTTATACTCCAATTTGAAAAAATATATAATAATCCATAAGGACCGAAAAATTCTATAATACCTTTATCTACTAATTTATAAGTAATATTATAACCTGATCATCTGATATCCAACCACTAGCACGAGCTTCCCCATCATCGCCATTACCCTACGGGAGAACCTGCGCACGTTGTTCCATGCAAACTCATCGCAACACGTGAGTGACATGACGATGTTTGGGCTGCTGGCGATCGTGCCGCCGCTCGTGATTGCCTTCTTTACTGAAGACGTGGGCATGCTCGTGGGGGTCACGGGGGCGTATGCTGGTCTGGCTATCCAGGTATATATATGTATATATATAGATGTGTAGTTAGTGTCCACTCAGCCAAACTTTGGACTTTTGTGTGCTGGTTTGCTAAATCCATCGATCGATTTATTGTATATATCGATATATAGATATTGTACATTTTTACTTTTTTTAAATTTCTATGTTCCAAACTTTGGACTTTTGTGTACTGGTTTTTCCACATCCATTGATCGATTAGTTGTACTGAGTTTTGTATGCCAAAACATGTCCAGCGGGGATGCCCATCACACTAATTGAAGTCAAACACTAAAGAGTTGTTGATTGGTTCCTGGAATCCGATTGGCTAAACATTATTTTGCCGATTCGACAATGTGTCGTCGATACATTCAGCACATCGCTCGGGTTTTGAATAAACATGACAATCTATGAATAGGGAATGTGTGTGTTGTTGACTGGGGAAATATATATATATATAGGGATTATATATCTATAATTTCTATGCGCTTGTGGGGTGAAATGTGGGGATATATATACAATATATATATATACTGCGAAACGCTAAAGCTGTATATTGATTGATGTACGGTAGTGGGTAATTCCAGCGTCGTTTGTGTACTGCCTCCGCCAACGCCTAGCCGACGTGGGCGTTGCTTTGAAACTACAGGGGGCCCCCAAGAACCCGTTTGCGAGTTCATTTGGGGGGCTCGGGTGGCTGGCGCTGCTCATGGGACTGTCGGCCGTGTCACTCCTGCTCATCACGTACACGCGAGTGTTCAAGTGAGATTTCACAACCTAGTTAAACTAACTATAAACTATACCTGAGCAGTTTGTTCGAGTTGGGAATCGGATCAAAGTACTATACCATTAGTAGTAGTAGTTAGTGGAATCACTGGAATTGTTTTACGCAAGGTAGTAGTTGTGTTCTCATCATAAAGGACTATTAAAACTACTAGTAGTACAATTTGTAAAACGTGAACGTTATGCAAGTATTTTTCTGGGACGTGAATAATGATTGGATAGAATGTGAAACCGAAATAAAATGTAGCCAATCAATGTGCAGCACTCTAGTTTGGTCGGCGCGATTATTCGATTGCACCCCCTCCCCAATTTTGTATCAAATCGACATACCGTTCATAGTTTTGTAGGTAATCGAATCACTCTATTGCCCCTGGTGACCTCAAATGATCCACATTCGATCTGATTGGTTGAATTTCATTGAGAAGGTTTTGATTGGCTAATAATTTTGAGCTCATCTGAAGTAGCCAATCAAATCGATTTAAGTTCCAACGAGAAACCACGAAAATTCACTCGAAAGCACAATAATTAATATTAATATCGCAACACGAACAGACACCCGTGTCGGTTGAGGCGTTGAAACCTTCTGGCACATCAATCCTCCGTCAACAGTCGATGGAATGCCATTTGAACGATGGCGACGATCACACGGGAGCGCATGCCCGTGAGCTTTTACACCCGCAAGGGCGTGCGCGTGGCGTACCTGTGCCACGAGACGGACTGGGTCCCCGACTCGCTCCGAGCGGCGTGCGCTTCATGCACGGCCAAGTTCCATGTGTTCAACCGCAAGCACCACTGCCGCCTCTGCGGCGAGATCATCTGCGGTGGTTGCTCTGGGGTGATGGCCTTCCACGCCAGCAACCGCATCCGCGCCTGCCACTCATGCATTCGGTCGAGCCTGGTCGAGTTTACAGCCGACGCGCCACCCGCCGTCGATGCCTTGTCCACCAGAGTCGTGATGCAGACCACAACGCACCCGCTGTACAAGGACGATGACGTGGCAGCGTCTCGTGCGTGTTCGCGGAGTACGGCCGTGATCTACCTCACATGCTTCATCGTCCTCGCGCATGTTTTCGTTGGCCAAGACATTGCTAGCACCTTTCTCACGAGGCTCTTGAAGTAATCAAAATAAATACTTGTGTTCATTTCCATTGACATCGCAGTGGAAGCACACTCAATTCACTGGTTCTACACAACAACTACAATACTACGAAGTACTAGGACTACATACAGTATGTAAGTACTGCCAGTACACGGTAGCAACGTTAGTACTTACTAGTATTACTTAGCTTGGGTTTGCGATTGAAGGCGCTTATTGGAACTACTAGTATGGGGTAACCAACTATCAATACACGTACTAGTAACAGAGTAGACAGGACTTGTGTGTACTGTTACGAGCCAGCGTCACGAGAGGATTTTTAGCACCGTGTGTGTATCCACGTATTTCGAAACCAATTTACCAATTTAAATTTTTAAACAGCGAAAAACTGTGGTGACCTTTCGACATTCGTTTTCAGCGACGGCCGAACTTCACAACCCCAGTGTATGAATTTGATATGCTTTACAATCCCCTTGCTGATCTATCGCCCTATTGAGACCCGACCACCCGAACCCCCCCCCCCCCGACGAACCAGATGTAAGTAAAAAGTAGGGGGGGTCTAGCACAAATACTCATCTCAAGCCAACAGGGACTTTTTGCGATGTAGTCCAACGACTTAGGCAAATGTGGCTACAAACACTGTGAACGGACTGAGGTTGAGCGTTGCATGCATCCACTCATTGGGGAAATACAGGACATCCCGTGGCTCGAGCACGCACTCGTGCGTCGGGGGTGCCCTCATGGTCGGGTACACGTTCTTGACCCACTGGAGCGTACTTTCATCGGGGTGGAACTCGGGAGTTGTCCTTGGCGGGTACAGAAACCACCGCTTGCGACCGTGGATCTGCTGCAGGAACCCTGGCCCGTGAAAGTGAAACGGCACGCCCGACCCTCGCCCGGCCATACCGAAGCTGACGCTCGTGGAGGTCGACGTGTGTCGCGCCAGTGCATTTACATCACAGGACGCTGGCGGATGGAATGATTCGCTGGGAAACACCAACGTGGGCGGGTTATAGGTGGCGAGGAAAGCGTCCCATGCAGGGCCCCGGGTGCTGCCAAACAAGTAGAACGTCTCGTTGCCCATCGTACCCACCTCTGCATCGTGCAGTTGCGTCGCCATGTACGAGGACACGGTCATTTCCGTCCATTCCTTGCCAGTGTATGAATTGGCCGTAGACATTTTCACACGCAAGTCGCCGTACTCGGTCTCCATGTGGTCCCGCGACGATGACGCGCTAAATTCGGCGTTCCACAGACCGGACGTTGACGACGATGGTCGAATGATCACGGGCTGGACGCCGAGGTACGTGTTGACAAAGTCGTCGCAGGACAAGTCCACTTGCACGTCGATGGAGCACTTGCCTCCATCCAGAGGATCGTCATAGTCAGTTGGTGTATGGATGATAATGCCATCGACGCCGTCCTCATCAGGGTGCATCTTGGACACGTGCGCGGCGTAGAAAGCCAAGGCGATTCCGACCACGACGCGCCATCGCTCGATGGCCGCCATGATGCAATCACACAGAAAAATGCGCACCTCATCCGGTGAAAACACCTTAACCGGATCCTACTGTAGTACAGTGGCCATTTGACAGATGTGATATTATTATTTATGTGCAGTTTGCGTCAAATATCAGAATCATTTTCTGGGGGTTGAACGTCGTCACTTGTGCATCCGATGCAACCTGATGTCGAACACTCGGTGGCCGACGCGCTCGACGTCCAGGAGTACTCGTCGATCCACACGACGGTGCTGCCGAGCGGCCTTTGCGTCGAGTATGCCTTGCATGGACACCCCGATGCACCAGAGAAACTTGTGCTTGTCATGGGACTCGCGGCGGAAAAGGAGGCATGGTCGGCGTTCGTGACTGCATTCTTCCGTGTGTCTGGCAACCTCGAACGGTATCAAATCGTTGCCATGGACAACCGCGGAGTTGGAGGCACGGATGCACCCAACGAGTGGATGTACTCCACTTCAAGCATGGCGCAGGACGTGTTGATGCTCACGGAGCACTTGCAGTGGCCCTCGTTTCATCTTGCCGGCGTCAGGTTCGTGCATTGTGAAACCATGCGCACTAAGGATACATACGCGTAGCATGGGCGGCATGATCTCCCAGGAGCTCGCACACGCGGCCCCGAGTCGCGTCCTTTCGCTGACGTTGCTGGTGTCGTCGCCTGGATTCCGAGAAGCGCCTTGGCCAGGATGGGCTCAAATTTCAGCCTACCTGTCCTTGATCGGCAACTTATTCAAGCGAACGCTGCATGCACGCACAATGACCATGCTGCGTGTGCTGTACCCTGTCGAGTACTTGGAGAACCCTACGGTGGCGTCGTCGTTGTACACAATCCATTCCTCTCGGCTCAAGGCGTCTCGCCTTCGACTCCGAGGACTCCTTGGGCAATACGCCGCAGTTCTCGGTCATCGCATGACTCGTCAACGCCTTGGAGAGATCAAAGCTGCCAGCATTCCTGTGCTCATCATAGGTGGAGGGAAGGATCGGTTGTTGCCATCGTCGCACTCGTCGACCCTGGGGCTACGACTACATGGAACGCATACCACGACCGTCGTGATCGCGGAATCGGGACATGGCATATTCGCGCAGTATCGGACGGACGTCGTCGGTGCGCTCATGAGGCATATCTGTCGTTGTGATTGGTCGGTAATCGAAAATGAACCAAGTTGAAGTGTGAGTCTTCATGCATCAATAGTTTCCTAGCGGTTATACTTGAATTTTGTATTCAAGATTAAATTTCCAATTAAAAGATTTCATCGACGAACGTTGAAGAGCTAGCCAGAATTTTAAATTTATTCTCAGTGCGGTAGACTTGTCCTTTGTATACGATTAAAACACTCCATTAAATTGTAAATTTCACGAATTGTACAATAAGAATGCCAATAACCCCGATTCCAACGTCGGCGATCGTCGGAGGCGTGAAGGACATCCTTCATGGAAGCGCCAGCACCATCCTCACGACCGCGACTCAGATCTATGGACCGTTCCTTCTCGGGGGATTCCTTGTCTTCGAAGTGTTGCGACGATGCTTCCCCAAGTTGTACACTTGCCAACCGACAAGTGTGCCAGGGGAGGGCGTGCGGTGGATCCCGCATGTGTGGACTGTTACCGACGACAAAATTATGGAGGTGTGTGGCTTGGACACCCTCATCTTCTTCCGCTTCCTGCGCATGGGCAAGCATCTGGCGGCGTTCGCCGTCATCCTGTCCATCGGTCTCTTCCCTGTACGTCCCATCATGGCTCCTTCCCTTGCCCCTTTCCCATGTTATATGTGTAGGCGTACAGCAGTACAAAGCTGCTGGAACAAGAGGACTTTATCGATCGGTTGACCATCAGCGGACTGCCGCGCAACGATCCGCGGCTGTGGGCCACCGTGTTCGCCGCCGTCGCGATGACACTGTTCACGATGTACTCCATCGCGCGCGAGTGCCAAGTCTACAAGGAGCGGCGCCATCAGTTCCTCGCGAAAGCTTCTACCCAGCAGTACAGCGTCCTCATCGACGACATCCCGGAGCATCTGCGGTCGCACGCCGCGCTCAAACGGTACTTTCACGCAATCTTCCCCAACCAAGTCGAGTTTTGCTATATCGCGGTCGAGTGTCGCGCCCTTGAACGTCAGGTACGCCATTATAATATATATATATATATATATATATCCCAAATAAAATCCGATGGGATTCGTTGGCATTTGCTTAGTACGTAGAGCTAGTTGTAGTTTGTTCATCGTATCATGTAGAGTTTGTATTGCGGCACCTTGTATAATCTGAACCCCAAATGACTATAGACATTTGCCTTGTATGAGTTTCTATACTACGCTTTTGAACGAAAATCAATGGTTTATTTTTGTTTTTATATTTGTTTATTTTACCCCAGTTTGGACTTGAGAGTGATAGCTTTTGAATTTATTTGATCCTATTAAGCTATACTATACAACGATTAGTATACATGTGGTGGTTTGCCCAATTTGGAAGGGTCAAACGTTTGGATTGGCAGAATATATTCTACATGACGTGATTTGATTGGCTCAGGCAGTTCTTTAATCGATTCTCCCAAGACATTCGACTATTCTGCTGAGGGCTGCAGTTTCGAATCGATTTGACAATATAACTTCTTATATATTGTTTGATCTAGACGTACATGAAATGTGGTTTACCCCAAATGTGCACTTTAGTGCTGAATATCGCCAACTCCATCGATCGATTCTTTGTACAGTACTTCCATAGTTGTCCGGTGGTGTATTATTTGTCATCCCATTCAATCAAGTATTACACTAATTAAATGCTAGTGATAGTTTCCTATAAAAAATTATAATTAAATTTTATATTAATTGTTATTAAGTAGTTTTATTTATAAAAAAATTTTAAACCTGAAAAATAAACAAATTGAATCGAATTCGCTACATCCTTCTGCCGTGATGCTTCTTGTGTCCATTTAGTTGGTTGTGTCGTCGATTCATTCAGTCTAGTCGCTCCAGTTTTATAACTATGTGTAGGTCGCAATGCGGGAATCCGTGCGGAATGCGCTAGAACATGCACTGGTCGTACTCCACCGCACGTCTCGCCGGCCCACCCACTGGGAGTGGCGTACTGGGGACGACGGGTGGTGGTGGTGCTTCTCCGTCAAGACTGTCGACTCAATTGCCACGTACGAAGCGAAGTTGCATCAGCTGAACAACGACGTGCTAGTGGCCATTCGCGAGATTGAAGCGCAGCAAAAACACGGTACTATAGAACTACCATACTATAGAACTACCGTACTATAGAACGAGCGTACTATAGCGTACTATTTGTCGTTTATATTTGCATACCATGCAATGAAATTTAGGACCATTTTGATTGAATCCTTCAAATTGGATGGAAAATAGAATTTAATAAAAATAGGGTTCGAATATCTGGATTGAAAGCATGAAAAGAATCAATGATTTTTTTAATGGAAATACATTGTTCAACTTTGGTTGACAACAACACAAATTTTTAATATTGTGCTTTCGAGGGAAATTTCATTGTGTTGTGGTTTCTCGTTGGAATTTAAATCGATTTGATTGGCTACTTCAGAAGAGCTCAAAATTATTAACCAATCAAAAACCATTTCTCAATGAAATTCAACCAATCAGATCGATTGTGGATCGGTTTGGTCGGCGCGAAATTCGATTGCACCCCGTCCCCAAATTTGTATGAAATCGACAATAATGGTTTGATTTTCATATAGGCATTCTACATTTATATCCATACATTTTTTAGTAGTAAGCTTAGATTCTATTGAATTCTATCGTGATGTTTACGTTTTACATCGTGCATGGTGCACATCAACGACAAATATGGATGCTTATATCAAACTATATATCATCATCTATGAGCATATATATATATATAAATCCGTGCGGTCTCGTCGAAAACTCATGTTGTCCTAGTGTGTATATATAACTATATATATATGTACATCGTGTAGGCAGCTTTCGATTCAACAACCCATTTCCAGACCACATCGTCGACGCCGGCGATCCGGTGACCCCTCCGCTAGCTACGTCGAACGAAGCGACGCCGCTGCTGCGTCCGTCCGCCGACGTCCTTCTGCCGCTCGCCAACCTCCTCCCCGACCTCTCGTCCCCCAAAGTACGTACTCGTCTGAAGTACTAGTATGCGTCGTAGTATTACTAGTAGTAGTATAGCCCACTCATGTCATAGGAGGTGCTGCGTCGGTCGGCATTTGTCACGTTTTCAACGCTCCAGGCCACCAACACGGTGCAGCAGGTCGTGCAGACCGCCACCCCCCACGAGATGCAGATCCAGGAGGCGCCTCCCGCCCAAGACATCGTCTGGGCCAATGTAGGCACGTACACATATGAGCAGCGCGATGTGTTTGCACTCGTGGCGATCGCGGCGACCGCGGCGCTCATTTTGTTTTGGACGGTCCCGACGACGTTGGTTGTGGCCTTGTCGTCGGTACGTACGTACTCTTATCAGCCTAGGGAGGTTGTATTTGTGGTCGTTGGTTGATTGCATGACTTTAGCTTTAGATTGGTGTGCTTGGTGTCGACTGATATTATATAAAGGGAACCCCACTAGTTATATTGTATGGTTGAGCGGAGATTGCAGCATTATTACGTAGTATTTGATGACGATATACACGTTTTTGAATATTTCATATTGCACATCAACGACAAATACACGAGTGTCGAACGTTCAAGTATCATGCTAGTGGGGAAATGCGGTGGAATTTGATTGGCCGATGGAGAACCTATCGAGTGTTTTGATTGGTCGATCATCGATTGACTGTCAAAATAGGTGAATATGCGATCTGTTTTGTCTGGTTTTGGTGTGCAATAGCCATTTTCTCCTCTATATCCGTTTGTATTTTTGCCACCCACTCGTCCATACATTTCATCCGTTCCAATGGCTGAAATGGTTATATATATATATATTATTTATATATGTATGTATATATATATATATGTTATTTATATACATGGTTGTGTGATGACGCAAATAGGTGGACTCACTTCGGCGCGTGGTGCCCCACTTGAACGAGTTACTGGACTCGTTTCCGTGGCTCGAGTCGTTGCTGCAGCAACTGAGTCCGTTGGGTCTTGTCGTGATGAATAGCCTGGCGCCGTTGCTGCTCCGCGTCGTCGCATGTACCGAAGGCCACGCGTCGCACAATGCAATCGAAGCGTCAGTCTTTTCCAAAGTCGTGGCATTCCAGCTCGTCCAGACGTTTTTCGTCGCGTCTGTCGCGGGGTCGCTCTCGGCAATCGCTGACAAGATCCAATTGATTGTCCAAGAGCCGCTGCAGGTACGACGAATCAATCGTTGTATAGTTTAAGTGTTTTTTGACATTTTTTGATATGTTTTAAATTTATGTTTGATATTGTTTGGACATTTTTGATATTGTTTGGACATTTTTGATATTGTTTGGACATTTTTGATTTTTGATATTTTTGAAATTGTTTGGACATTTTTGATATTTTTTACTTTTTTTATAATTTATGTTTTTATATTTTTGAACATTTTTTGACATTTATTTTATATTGTTTGTTAAACAAAAATTAAATCCAACACGTCTAGGTGATTCCGATGCTGGGGCGGTCGATTCCAGGGCAAAGTACACTGTTTGTGTCGTTTATACTCGTGCAAACGGGCCTCGGTCTTGTCCTGCAGCTGCTCCGCGTCGTGCCGATCGTGTCGGGGGGCGTCTACTGGCTATTCTCGCCCAACCTCACGCGCCGGGAGCAGTCGGCCCCGTGGTGGGGGCTCACGCCGGCCACTGTCAGCACCCGTTTCGACTTTACCACGACGCTGGCCCAGCTGTTTCTGGTGTTTGTGCTCGTGCTCACGTTTGCGCCCCTCGCGCCAGTCGTGTCTGTTGCTGGCGGCATCTTTTTCGTTGTGGCGGACACGGTGTACCGCCGCCAGCTGCTCTGTGTGTACGTCCCGACCACCCATTCCACAGGTACGATTGGACTCTCAGTTGTTGTTGGTAGTGGAGGGTTAGTATATAGTAGTTTGGAACACTCCTGAACACGAGAATGTATGTAGGTAGTAGGTACGTAAATATGGGTAGTATGTAGTTTATGGTTGGTTAGTAGATAGAGTACGTGGACACTGTTGTGAGATGTTGACGAGTTTTGATTTGGATATTGGATTCTGTACTGATATGGGTATTTGACCTCTTGTCGTTTGAATGGGCTTTGTAGTAGCTCTGGTCGTTGTACTTACTACTACTACCACAGGGTTGTGTTATGAATGTAGTAACCCCCTCGTCAAAAACGAGTAGTACTAGTACATATTACTACTACCACAGGGTTGTGTTAGTGTATGTATGGCTTGACCAGTTGTCATTTTTGATTTGAATGTGCTTTGTATTGCAGGCGTTCTCGTTCGAACTATATACTGTACTACTAGTCGTAGTAGTACTGTACTAGTACCACGAATCGTCGGCAAATAATCCTCTAGTATTCCGTATGTACGGCATACCGTACCCTCGAGAATCGAATCTGCGATGATGTATATATATATATATAGATCGATCGTACTATACCTTTGCCCGTTGGTTTTGTATGTGATGGTTACGATTGATTTGTAGGGCTCCACTGGCCGCAACTGTACTCGTTTTTGATCACGGGGATGCTTATCAGCCAAGGCACGTTGGTCGGAGTGCTCACTTTGAAGCAGGCGCCGTCTCCTGCGGCCATGGCGCTCGTGCTCATGGGACTCACGGCGCTCTTCCACTCGTGGATCCGCAAGTCGTACCCGAGTGTATCCGAGTTCCTTCCCGTCGAAGTGTGCGTGGCGCTGGACGCCCAGCGACGCCGCAGTCCGTCGGCGCCGCTGCTCGATCGGTCCATTTACAAGCAGCCTGCGATGACGCAAAAGGCGCCGCTGGCCCCCGAACTGTAGTACAGACCACGCCACTACGAATGCATATACATTATTATTAATATGTAGCAGGACATTATTATTAATATGTAGCAGGACGTAAAGTTAAAAAATATATGAAAATAATGAAAGTATACGTACAGAACAGACCCAAAAATGTTTCCGCTGCACGGAGCATAACTTATAGTAGTTTTTAATATTCGATCGGTAGCATACTTTTGAGTGAATTTGATTGGCTCTTACAGAAAGGACAAGTATAGTCAACCAATCAAAAGCGTGATTTAATATTGAGCAGACAAACCACGCGCAATTTCGAACGTTTATAGCGAATAAATCACATTAATAGTATATACAACATTGTATGACTGAAAACTCTCTATTATTGTCAAGTCGATTCGACAATCCCTCACATTATTGTCGATCGAATGACAGCAGAACCAACTCGACAGGCAATCAACCGACCAATCAAAACCCAGAACGCTTTCAAGTGGCCAATCAAACTCCTGCAACCATCGAAGTCGTCAAGTAGTGTGAATGCCTGCACACGTTTAACAGACAGAATTCAGTAGTACAAAAAATCAATCGATGGGTTTCGTGAAGCTGCACACAAACAAATCCACAGTTTGGCTCAAAAGCACAATACATTATATATATTGCCAAATCGATTCGAACCTGGAGCCCTCAGCAGAAAAACCGAACGCCTTCAGCGAATAATGGTCGAAAGAACCGCCTAAGCCAATCAAATCCCGTCCTCGCGAATTTCTGCCAATCCAATCGTTTGATTCGGCCCAGTCCCTCCCCAACGACATATATATATATATATGTATGTCCTTATCTTTGTCTACAGCAATATAAATGGATTCGAATGCTATTAATATTTGGCGACATGACTCCCCAACCTCAGCACGACCAGACCCTCATAATTGTATTTGACGTTCTATGCCAATATTTTTAGCGGCCGCCATGATTACTACTAGTACTGTACTACTACTAGTATGTACTACTACTAAAATGCACGCTGTTCGATTATCCAGTCCATAATCGAAGCAACGACGCATCGTGGTCGGCGGCACTCGTGTACCGATGCAAGCGCAGCCGGAGCGGCCGGGCCTTCCCGAGGCTTTGCAGCGATGCAAACACCCCCCGGGCACCCGAACACGTCTGTTCATTCACGGCTACAATCGTACATCCGACGGCGATGCCACGCTTGGCGGCGGCGCCGTCAGCATCCACAGACATGACCCGGCATTGGTTGTGTACAGACATGGCCACAGCCATCCCCAACGACGAGCGCTTAAACGAAGTGTCGGAGCAACTTTCAAAGCAACTCGTACTAGTAGCAGTTTTGGGCAATTGAGAAGGAGGGTTGTCGTCGTCAAAAGTCACGTCCAGCACGACCACGGGCCGCCGTATCCGGAACGAAAACGTCAGCGGGCGCGGGATGGACGGCTGGCTCAGGTACTGCATGAGCGTGTCAAAGTTGGACGACTTGACGTGGTTGATACTGAGCACTTGGCTGCCCACGATGACGCCGGCGACGTCGGCATCGCCGCCAGGGACGATCTTGGACACGAGGGTACCGCCATCCGGAATGGATTTTGCCAGGCTGAGGCCGAGCGGGGCGGGCGTGTCGCCCCCAGTGGGGTGCCGGCCGAGAATCGTGTCGAACTCGAGCTCTTCGTATGTGTCCTACAATTACAGTTGAGTTTGCCTATCAGTTTGATGGAAACGATCCTCAAAGTAGCGTGTGACATCAATTAGTGTGATTGCATCACACACAGGACAACAATGTAAATAGTATATGTTGCCCAGTCGATTCAATGTAATTGGCGAGATTGGGTGTTCAATCGCATCGATTGATTTGACCAATGAAAACCCACAACTCGAATCAAGTGGCCAATCATATCCACTGTTTGACCAATAAAACATCGAATTAGTGTGTGAATGAAATTAGTGTGAGTTCAATCGATCACCACAATCGGGGCAGACAATCAATCGATTGATTTGACCAATGAAAACCCACAACTCGAATCAAGTGGCCAATCATATCCACTGTTTGACCAATAAAACATCGAATATTAGTGTGTGAATGAAATTAGTGTGACACTGCACGATGGGTATATACAAACGTCAGTACAAAGAATCGATCGATAGAGATTTGGCGCATCATCAGCATACAAGAGTCCAGATACTGGGACAAAGGACACTACTAGTATGCACAGCATGAACAGGATATGAAGCATGAAGTTTGAAAACGTCTACACATGTACATGGAGGAGGTCGGTGGACGAGGCCGCGCAGCGCTGGGAGTGCATGTCCAACTTGGACACGGATACAAAGTCGTGGCAGAGCGTGCACTTGACTTCGAGCGACGCTTGCTTTCGGAGATGGACCATCGCGGGCGGTTGGAGTTGCGGCGTGGACAGCTGGATCGACGATGCATGGCGCCGCATGGGACTTGTCGACGATGATGGCACCGCGGGGACGTCCAATGGCAGGTTGAGCCATGTGAGCATCTCCACGAGGGTGAACGGCGTCACGGACTGCACGGCGGTTTGCATTCTCGTGCGGTAGGCATCGGCAATGACGGATCCGTACTTGTCTGCCGTGGACTCGCGAGACAGCCCCGCTGCGACGCAGACCGCGTTCCACTTGCCATTGCCACCGAGTTCCAGCGGCAATAGATCTCGGGTAGACCATGCGTCCATCGAGAGAGACTTGATGTAGCTGGTCTGAACACCTAATGCCCTGTGTCTGCCAGCACAATCCAAGCACAGGAGGATGCCAAATGTCACGGACGCCCACTGCGGAAACACGCGGTTGCAATCTGCGCATCGCTACGGGTGTGATGAGATGGTCAGGATTGAGGATACTGTCAAGCAAGGATTCATGTACATCATTTCCAGGACACCGACGCATGTGGCTCTCTTTGGATGGCGAAATGGCCTGCGGTACCACCGTCGACGACAACGCCATCGCCGCTTCTATGGCTTCCTGGGATTCGGATAAACCTCGGGGTAATCCGGATAATTGCTCCAAATCAGGAATCCGAAACGGCCGAACGGGCGGAATGTCCATGCTTCGACATGGGCACTCTTAAGCGGGTTTGCGATGATCAATCACCACAACTTAAGGACCTTTGGCATACACGAGTGCATGTAGTATAGGCCATGAGTATACCTTGACCTCGAGTATCGTGTTCTTGCAAACCCTTATCGAAACTTGGGCCTAAGTACAATCTCGGATACCGAAGATATCCTTGCTCCAGCTCCTTTGCCTCACGCATGGCCTTTGCCTGAGCGCTGCTGGCATGCTTCGAGGCATCGTGGCGATCGACGAGCGTCGGCCAAGACACGCGAAATTTCGATTCAAGTACAGTGTGTGACGTTGAAACCAAGGGGACACAAACAATTTGCATTGTGAAATTCAGGAATTGTTTATTTATAGCCAATCAACAGACTTGAATTCTATATATTTAAGCCAATCCCGCTGGACTTGCAAATTCAACACAACCTTCGTGCATGAATCGGCGTCGGTGGACCCGTCCTTCCGCAAAGGATGCCGCGGCGGTATCTTCCATCGCTGTGGCAGCGACCAAGGGCATGGAATCTGTCAAGAAGAAGTCTAAAGATCGAGCCATCGTCAAGTTGCACGTGCATGGTCTCGAGTTCCATGGCGGCGAAGAACTCGTGCTCAACGTGGACGCGCTCAAACCCGACTTGACATTCCCCGACGACGACGCATACGTGATGGAGATCTTCACGCCCAACTGCACAGAAGACTCTCGGCAGCACTTGCTCATGGACGTTCCGTCGCCGGACGAGCTCAAGGCAAAGAAGCCGGTGAAGGGCAAGATGCAGCTGAGTCTTCTCAAGGACACCGCGGCCCAGTTCAACCTCCAATTGCTGCAAGACGTCATGGTGCGGTTCATTGAGAAGCATGCGGTTGAGGTGGACTTTGTCGAAGTGTCCTTGAAAGACCAGTTTCTGTCGCGGCGGGACCTGTTCTACCTCCAGCGCAACCTCGTGGGCAAGGCGCTGTACGTTGGCAAGATGGTAGGGTTCGACATCACTCACTCCCCCCCTTCCTTCCTTCCATGTGTGTGTATATGCATGTGTTGTTGATGGACTGTCCATGCAGGTGCGGATGCATGGCGCCCGCGTCCAAGTGATGGAGCTCGTGCATGAGAATGAAGCCGTGGTCACGGGCGTCGTGACGGCCAAAACGCGCTTTGTGTTTCGCTCCAAGTCGTCTCGGATCTTTTGGCTCGTTCAAATCAGCCCCGAAATGTGGGATATGGTAGGACCGACATATGTGACGATGTGAATCATCACCTTTCGCTCCTCATAATGTACACATATATGTGTGGTGATATTGTCTATCCAGCAAAGTTGAGCCCAGAATCTGGTTGATACTATTGCACTGTACATTTGGAAGAGTGATATACAACCTCATATATTGTGCTTTCGAGTGAAATTTCATTGTGTTGTGGTTTCTCGTTGGAGTTTAAATCGATTTGATTGGCTACCTCAGATCAGCTCAAAATGATTAGCCAATCAAAACCCATTTCTCAATTAAATTCAACCAATCAGATCGATTGTGGATCAGATTTTTGGTCGGCGCGAAATTCGATTGCACCCCTTCCCCAAACATTTGTATATCAAATTGACAATACATCGTCCGTTTATTATGTGCTGCCTATAGTATGTATGGCATGTACACCTCCAGATTCAACTAAATCACCAATATGATTGCAATATACTACACAGTGGTAGGATTTTTGAAATATATATATATATAAATAAATTCTACCTTTGAATTTTTTTTAGAACATACTAGTCTTTTTTATACCATTCGAATCATTTTTTGAAAACAAAAATTAAAAAAAAAATCACCATTGCCATGGTTATTTTGTTTTTGTTAATGTAAAAAATACTATATTATTATTCTTCTTGGTTCCTAATATCGTCTAGGGCAACAACGGTAACTTGTACGCGGACGAGTTGATCCGGATGGTGTCGAGCTTATTTGATCGGTGGCAGGCCGAGTATGTGTCGCACAGTCTCACGGTGATTTTGTTTGGTCGGAATTACTATGACGATCTACCGCCAGTGCAGTCGGCTTACCATTCGACCGCAATATGCCAAGATGACGATGGCCACTGGTTTGAAGACTTTTACAAGGTGATTTCATACGGAAGAGATGGCGGCGCCGTGGACACTGCGAACATGCTCACGACACTCAAGGCCGAAGTGAATGCGTTTCCGCATCTGTGTGGATGGAGCTTGGATCCGCTCGACGGCATTGCGCTCACATGCAAAGGCGGCCACGGCCATCCGAGCTCGGCCAAAGACGGCAACGTCCTCGAAGCCATCAACCTCATCCTTAACATCTACGAAAAGCACTACCTGGACAGAGACTTGAACCGAAGCGGCCAGAACCTCGTGCTTTTCACGGCCGGCAACGGCGTCTTTCGCGTGAATCAACTTGTGAGCGATATGTCGGTATGATTATATTATGTATTTTGGAGCAATGGTTGATATATATATATATATATATATGCTGTCCATCGTTCGAGTCGGGGTTTTGGAGACTAGAGGTCGTCGAGATGATGATCATCACACTAATTGATGGCATACACCAATATTCCACGTTGATTCAGTGGTGGACATGTTTGTGTACTGAATCGTCAAATCCAGTGATCGAGGAGTTATTATGGTTCGAGAACTGTGAATGGTGTCTATATAATGTGCATCGAGGTGGCGAGGAGGTGGCTATCACACTATTTGAGGTCATATACACTAATTTAATGTACGCTATGCATTTCTGCGATCAGAGTGGCAAACGAACTTTGTTAAATAATTTATCTATACAATTTGATTCGGTCGATTCCTTTGCTCCAGTTTGGCATCAATAGTATCCTACTATATATATATATATATATATTTATCGAGCTCATGGAGCGATGGTAGGAGCAACGCATGATGGACAATGGCATCGGGTTTGACTGCATATCGCTGTCGTCGCCACCACTCGAGTCGGTTCCGCGGTTCTACTTGAAACATCCGAGCCACACCACGTCGTCGACGGTTGCAAAGCCCAGACCCCCTGCACAGCAGCAGCAGCAAAACCAACAACTACACCCCCACATCCCCATGTCTCCATTCTCACTCACCCCCGAGGCCGAGACCAGCAGCTTCACGCCCATGTGGTTCTCGGTTCGATTCAGCCAGCACACACCCGATACGTTTTCGCCTCTGCCAGTGTGTCGGCTGTTTGCGTCGCCCAGTGGCATCCCATCGCGACCGCTGGCGTTCTTGCTCACGCAATTGCAGTGGACAGCGCACAAGACGCTCACAGTGCCATCCACGCCATCGACGCCGTTCGCGCTGCCATTCCCATCTACCCCGTCTATCGACGACTCGCCGAGAAGACTCGAGCTGCAGCCACTCAAGCCGTACTACATGGCTCCCAACTACGACGACGACGACGATACCGTGTTTATTGTTCGGGCTTCGACTGTGCCAGACAAGTCGCCGCGGTCGCAGCATCCCTGTGGCACGCCGCCATTGCACAGTTTGCAAGCGTTGGCCAAGCCCCGCTTTAAAGCCAAGAACTATGGCGTGTCGCCCGACTTGAAACCGACGATGACCAAGTCTCCGCATCACCACCAGCCGCCGTTTTTGGTCGCGGGGGGGCACGCGCGGTCGTTTCCGTCTAATAGCTCCACGAGCCCCCACGACCACCACCCGTCGCCCCGCTTGCAGCCGTACCAACCTCTGGGCGATGGCTCGTCGGTGCTCGTGCCACCCCCTCCTCCCCTTTCCCAGCCATCCCAGTCATCCCAGCCATCCCAGTTGTTCTATCCACTCCACCATCGGTCGTTGTCGTCGGGGGCGGTCGTGACGAACCCGCCGCCGCCGCCGCCGCCATTTTTGCCCCAACAATCCACCTTGTCGCGAGCACAAATGATGATGCTGAATCTGTCGACACAGCAGCAACAGTCGTCGTTCATAACTCCTGCATATGCGCCCGTGTCTACAGCCAACAAGTACAGGTGGAGCCACGTGTATCGGTATGATATACTCAGCTATGACCTCGACTTTAAGAGCTTGTGCACACCCGCGCTGCTGCCGCTGACCACCGACTACATGCCAGACCTGAATGTCAAGTACGAGGAAAAGGTATACAAGGTCGGGTGTGACCAGCACGACGGGGTTAGTGGCGGCGGTGGCTTCTTCACAAACCATCGTGAATACGCATTGGAATTGGTGGCCCAGCGTTTTTCCCAGGTACAAAAGGATATTCGATCGATGGAAGTTGTTTATATTGGGAGTGTATGTATTTGGCTGATTGTGGATAGGATTTCCAATTGATTGGCGAACGCCACGTCGCGGGCACGACCATGTACAAGCTCAGCATGGGCCACCAAGTGCACGAAATCACCTACTCGGATAATACGGGAGAAGACATTGACGTCAAGATCTTAAAGCAAACGTCCCAAGGTATGTATATATATATATATATATATATAGTGCTTTTCACCCAACTTTTCTATATATATATGTATTGTGTTTTTCACCCAAATTCGGACGTGTGATTTATTCGCCAAACTTCTCTTGAATAAGCTTATACAAACTATACTATTCAAAATGTAGTATACCTGATTTGCCCAATGCGGACGGACTGACCTGAATCAGTCCTTTGGATTGGCGGAAATTCGACAGCACGTGATTTGATTGGCTTAGATCTTGAATCCATTCTTGGGACATTCTCAATTTGACAATACAGTACACATATTGTAGTTCTTTTACCCAAAATTTGGTTGATTTTTGTGCTGATTCTTTGCCAAATTTATCGATCGATTACTCTTTGTCCAGTATCACACTAATTCCAGTCACACACTAAGTCGATGTTGAATTCGTCGAAAAGTGGATTTGATTGGCCACTTGATTCGTGATCTGGGTTTTGATTGGTCGGGTATCGCTTGTCTGCGTGCGATTTGGTGATTCTGCTCATTCGATTGACCACCCAAACACTTCAATTTTGAATCGAATATCTTGACAATATCATCATGTCCAGGCTATTATCGTCGTATTCATTCTATATGATCATTTGTATGGACAGGAGACAAGCAGGTGGCGAAACCTCCATCGTCGGCGGGATCGTTTGCAAGTCTCGTGCCACAACCGGCCCCGCCCCGCGTCGAGTACAATTACTCGCTTTGGTCGCCGTTAACAAGCCACTTTTTACCTGCCAAGCAAGAGTTTCGATACCCCAACACGGACGAGTACGGGTGGAACGCGTTGGATTCGTCAATGAGTGCGCACGACTTTGTCATGACCCACAGCATCAAGTACAAGCGGGGGTTGTACTGTGTCCTGCCGCCGCCGATGTTGTCGACCGTGGACGACGCCGAGCGGCAGAAAACTCTCGACGAATTCACCGACAGGTTCAGCCGATTCCTCGACTACATCCGCGCCAAAGCGAGAAAGGACGACGCGGCGCCGTTGGGGGTGCCGTCCAATGTCATGGACGTGAGCTTGTTGATGGGGGAAAAGACCCCGCGGCGCGTGCTCCAAGGCGACATCAAGATCCCCTTGTCGGCGCCGGACGCACCCCTTCAGTACGTGTGCCGCATGTCTGTCCAGCCAAACTTTGGACTTTTGTGCTGGTTTCCCAAATCCATCGATGGATTTTTTGTACTGAAATTTGTATGTAAAGAAATATCCAGCGGGGATGCCCATCATCACACTAATTGAAGTCACACCCTAATTACACTAATTGAAGTCACATCCTAATTAGGTGTTGATTGGGTGAACGGATGATTTCCTGCGATCTGATTGGCTAAATTCTTCTGTCGCTTTTGCTTTGTGTACTGAATCCATCGATTGAGTTTTGAAGACTGTGTAAAGCTATTCACACTATTTGAACGCACACTCACGATTTCCATATTTGGAGGATTTTGATTGGCCACTTGAAGATTGTTTCTGTGTTTTGATTGGTCGATCGATTGTCTGCAGATAACATGCATCGATCGTATTTGGAATAACTTTTTGCATTTTATTTATGTGTCAAGTCACGAATTCGAAATTTGGAGGATTTTGATTGGCCACTTGAAGAGTATATCTGTGCTTTGATTGGTCGGTTGATTGCCGGCAGATTGATTTGTAGTTTGTACTCGAAAGAGTCCAAGGGTTGACTTGATCTTGTCCTTTTACCCAAAACTTGGTCTTTTGTGCTGATTCGCCAATCTATCGTTCGATTCTTTGTAAGTTAGTGACTTTTATATGTAAAATTCGTCCAGTCTCACACTAATGTAAGTCACACACTAATTCAAGGTTTAACTAAGAGTGGATTTGATTGGCTACTTGATTAGTCATCTGGGTTTTGATTAGTCGATCGATTGTCTGCCGATTTGGTGCAGCTCATTCGATTGACCACTCCAATTTTGAATCGACTTGACAATACTATGCTTGTGTTGTAGGCAGCAATGGCTCAATATCCACTACGACGTGGAATTCTTGCCCGTGCAAGTGTACCACATTGAAGTGCAGTGGCTCGTGTGTCGGAGTGCGTTGGTGGACGATTTCATTCTGGGGCTGCAACGCCGGGCCAAACAGTTCAATTTGGACATCATTCCCGTACGGAATAATGAATACCCGTCGTCATACACGATCTGTAAAGATGTGGTCGTACCTGTATAGATGCCCGAGAATTGCGGCGCGAGCACCATGGACGTGCATCCGTTGATCTGCCCCGTGTTCTTCCCGCTGAGATCTGCCGCGGACTTTGCCGTCGTGGAACACAAACTGACGGCGGAGCTGCAGTTTTGCCTCGAAGGCATCCATCGCATTCCGTACGAGTCCATGACGTACCAGTACAACGGCCCCAAGGAAACCAAAGCCATAAGCCCAGCCCATCGATCCGCGTCTGGTAAAACGCGCCCCCCGCAGCGAACGTACCGGCAATTCATCCATCGATCCATGAGCTGTTTTGTGCGGCTCACGGACGCAGGGGTGATTTGGATCAGCAGCCGCCGCATGCACTCGACGGCGATGCAAACATTGTTTTGTCAGCTGCAACATGTCATTCAGACCATTTCCGTCACGGACGAGATGAAAAAGCTCGATTTCTTTCAGACCACAACGAGCACCACCGCGTCCGTATTCATGGCCGACCAGCAGAAACAGATCGGGACAATGCTGGAAGAACAAGACTGCCTTTCCCCGACTGCAGCCTAACGTCTAATGTCCAATGCAATGCCGTTGGTAAAGTTATTGATGTCTGTCTTCACCTGTTGCTTCCCGCAACGCAGTGAGTATTGTCAGACCTGTACGAGCAACTTGTAAAGCAACGGCGAGTTGGAGTACACATGGGACAATGGCGGCTACTGTACCGTACTGTACACTACGTCTCCCCACTGGCTACGACGAGGCTGAATCTACTGCAAATGAAGGATCATTTCGTCTTCATTACCTTGGAGCATGTCGTCCGTGCCCGCCGCACTTCGCCTCGTCCTCTATCGGTGGATGTTGTTGCTGTTCGCGCGCAAATCGTAAAATGACGATAAATTTTCCAAATTTTTGGAGTTGAAGTGGAACAGAAGTTTACGATCGTACAGTATGACGACCTGCTCGGAATACAAATACCAAGTGATTTTCGAATCCAGAAGGACTTCTTGATCTGTCATAAAACCATCTGATGGGTGGGAATTAAATTAGTATACAAACTGCAAGTGAAGATCCGACGGTAAAAAAAGGAGTGACAAGTGCAATGCGACCATTTCCAAACGCAACCTGAGGAAGAACAATCAGTGTATGACGGCGGCGGCGACCGTGACGACGTCCTTTCAATCCCATCGGGAACAGGAAGAGCTGAACATACGCCTTGTCACCGAGGACGATGCCCTGCTCATGAAGAACGTCAAGTTCGATCGAGTCTCCCTGCAGGCCCTCGGCATGGACGACGTGCAACTTTGCGACAAGAGCCAATACGCCCCGAAAGCGAAGGATGTGGTGTGTGCGTGCTGCAAGAAGAAGCTTCTGTTTTACGGCAAACACAATTGCCGTGTGTGTGGTGACGTCGTGTGCGGCCAGTGCTCCACGCATCGCATCAAGTCGAAGGCGCAGATGAAGTCCATTCGAACGTGCAACAAGTGCTTTATGTATAACCTTCAGCTATTCAATCGACGGCTGCAAGACAAGGGCGATATGGTGCCGCTGATGCCGCTGCGGCGGCGAGCCAATACGGAGACGCTCCCTCTGCCCGACACCACGTCCATGCCATCCTCCGAGGCGACAGTCGCACCTGTTGCACCATCGAAACCGCCAGCTGCCAGCAAGCTAGCGACCCCTGTCAGTTTCCTGGTGTATGCCACAGCATGTAGCATACTCGTCTGTACATTCGTCGCGCTCGAAGTGACGGTAGACACCGCTTTATTTCTCTGTGCAGTGGCCATGGTGGCGTTCGTGGGCCTCCTGCAACTATTAAGTTAACTTATTTCATCATTTTTCCCGCATTTGCCCCCCGTTTGTTGTGCAATAAATTTCGACTCTTTTTAGTAGTAATAGTACTATGCGTTTAGTAATACTAGCCGTTACGAGATTCATGGGATAAATGACTATTTTGACCAGAATTACACCCCAGCGACGACGGCGCGGACGGCGACCGTAATGCACAGCACCATCAAGAAGAGACAAAAGTCATCCCCAGTCTTCTTGACCATGCGGAAACCATCGCGGAGAATGGGCACTTGTGACAAGAGCAGCTTCATGATCCACCCAGAGTCGTCGCTCTCGTGGTCGCCCGTGGACGGAACGTCGAGGACACTGCGCGCACCAAAGAAGAGTCCGCCAAGGAGCAAGCGCGCGAGGATAGGGAAGAGCAGGAGCGGGGGGTTCACCACGGCCGGTATGAACATGTCGAAGATGAAGGACGGGAGGAACGGGATCGTGTTCACGGGTAATTGCGTCGACGTATCAGCGAGCGACCGTTTGTCAAGGAAGGACAAGTCCGCCTACAGAGCACAGTGAAGTCGACGAACGACATTACGCCAGAACAGGTCGTACGTTGTCACGCTCAAGCTGCTGCTTGATAGATGCCAAGGTAAATCCCTGGGCGAGCAAATCGTCGACGTCCTTCAAGCGGGGGTCCAATGCATAGTCTTGGATGTCCGCGTAGAAGCCTACGACGGCGGCTGCGACGATCAGGACGAGCAGCACGGCCCATTGTTCGACGCGGAAGAAAAGCAGGTCTTGCTTCGCCTTGGTCAGTTTGACAAGCTCTGCGGACGACGCAGCTGCATTGCGTTGTGGCGCTGTGGTCGTAGTCGCTGCTTTGGATTCGTACACGTTTGGCGGCGATGTCGTAGAAGGGACAGCATCTGGAGTCGAGCTTGGAACAGGATCGGTCACGGATGGCGTTATTCCATGCAACCTTTCCTGAACTTTCTCTTGCTGTTTTTGTTTCCGCAGGGCAGCGTCCCTTCGACGTTGCGCGGGGTCTGCCCGAATGGTGGGCATGACAAGTCCCTTGACTTCGTCGCTGGTTTCAGGATGCAATTCCTCGAGCATGTCGTCGAGGGTCTTCTCCTCATGCTCCTCTTCGGTCGACTTCTTCAACGAGTCGGCTTGACCGGAGACGTACTTGAGTCGCTTCTCTTGCGATGCCAATATCCTCGCCTTCCTCGCGGCGCGAGCGTCCGCGTCAGCCATGTTGGAACGGTGGGGCGTCGTTCAAACCTGATGACCAATTAAATATTTAGAAAAATTATTATCAGCCAATGGAAACCGTTGAATATACCTCTCCATTTTCGAAATAATTTGAGCTTTTTTCCGTAGTGAACGTTAATGTTAGTACACTTTGATTTCCAAAATATCATTTCATTAGTTTTACATTAGTATTGTCATGGCTCACATGTCAAACGTTCGTTATGTCAGGCGCGATCCACTTCAATTTATCTTTACGTTTACCAATATTGCATGAGTGGTATACGTAATATATATCTCTTGCTACCCAAAAACTAAGGACGGACAAATGGAGATAGATGTCAGCTACTGTACACACTTGTAGTCATGCGTTTCAACATCGCGGGGTCAGCGCGACTTCATGCCGCAGGATGCATTCGGCAATACAAGCTCCACACCGCGTGAAACAACGATTCGTATCCCGACACGTTCGTGAAACACACTGTATTACAAGAGGTGTATTATCGTGGGCAGCAAATATGTACGTGAACACCCGCCTGTGCGCCACGTGTACTGCAAGATCCACAATCATATGAGTGAGCACCCAAATATAACGCCACGTTAAGCGAGATTTTCTTCGCTTTACAACCTGAAATGCACCACCAAAATCTAGTCCTAGTTGTAAGATGCCGCCGCGGTTACTAGTTTGTCCCATCCAAGCGCGGCCCGTCCGTCACACACACATGTAGATTCACATTCCATGATCGGAAGATCATGCTTGCTTCTGAGTTTCCCATCGCACGCACGCACCCACGTTCCATGGCTCAGATGACGACGACCCAGATGCCAGCATTCGCAATAGTACAAAGAAAGATATGGAACCAGGACGTAGTAGTAGTAGTACTACAGTACATATACGTACTTCCTATTAATACTTGGTGATTAAATTAATTCACGGTTGTGTGGTAAATAATATTATACGGGGCCTGAAATAATAAATAACGGTGGTTTGTTTTTCAGGGCGTTTTAGGCCAAGTCGAGCATCGAGTCAAAGTGATCGTCCGACAGCGCTTGGATCTGTTTGTTCCAGTGATGGTGGGCATTCACATGGAGCGCCGTGGTGACGGTATCCAGCAGCGCTTTGTCTCGGAGGAGAAAGAGGCGGATCAGGTGCAGGTCGTCGCACAGTGCACACGCTTCCCGAGCCACGAGCACATGGGGGGCCACGATGCATCGCTGGATGCGATCGAACGAGTCGTACACGACCTTGGTGAACGATTCCATGTACACTTGGGCCGACGCCAACTGCACCAGCAACATGGGGATGAGGCGGAGGAACAGCAGTTGCCGCGACGTGTTGCGGGACGGCCATCGCCGCAGCAGAGTGTCCGACAGAAACGCTAGACCATGGTGCGGCGACACTTGCGCAAGTAATTGGACGCTGGCGATCAGCGCTTTCACGGTCGGGTTGGAGGCCAGGTTGGCATTGGCAGAGAACACCGCGTCGGCGGATGATGCGGCGGTGGTAGCGGCGCCGTAGCAGCTCCACGCACGGCAAAACAACGCCAAGATGCGCACGGCATGTTCGTAAATGGTATCGTCTTCGTCGGTGGGAGTCATGTTCGTGGAAGAAACGTTCACGGTATCCTCGTCGTCGTCAAAAATGTTTTGCTGGGTTTGCATGGACAAATCGTGTTGGAAGCTGACGATGGCTCCCGTGAGATGCACCATGCCGTCGACGTTGAACGACTTGGAGTTGACAGTGTCGGGGAGGTTGTAGAATTCCGCGGCGGTGCACTCGATTGCCAACAACATGTCGTGGCGAAGGGAGGGGACTTGTTCGAAGATGGACATGGAAATGGCGGACAACGACCCTTGCGCACGCTTGTCCGACACGGTCATAAGGCCAAACACAATGGATTGGACCAACGACTTGGTCACGTACAAGTCGACCAACTTGGCGCCGGATGTGAAGGGCGGCGGCAAGTCGGTGTTATCGATGTGCAATGCGTTCAAGTGGTAATGGAGTTGTTGCTGGAAGCCGACCAAGTCCATCGAGGACGACTCCGTGGAAGCGGCGGCGCGACTGCATTGAACCAACGTTCGGTTGAGTTCGGAAAGGACATCGATCTCAGGAAGCAACGAGCACATGATTTCGAGCACCATTTGCTCCCATGCCATTTGGCGGAGCATTTCAGACGTGGTCGTCTTCGGTTGCTTCATCGCTTTCTTGGTCAACTTCAACGACGACGACTTCTTCCCCAGCGAGCTTGGCGAGGGACTCATGGAGGAACAGGTCGTACTGCACGCACTGCTGCTAACACTGCTTGGAGACGATGACACCAAGTCAAACTCTTCGTGGGTCATTACGCGTCCCTTGTTGTTGACGATTTTGGCGCAATCGAAGATCGTGATGTTACGACGGTGCTTCTCTTCAACAGGAGCAGCGTACTCGTGATGCTGCTTCGGGTGCGATGGTGCCACGTCGGAGTTCTCCTTTTCGTCGAAGAGTTGTTTCTTCGAAAACGTCTGATGAGGCTTGTGGTGACGCTTGTCTTTTGTCGGAGACAACGTCGGCAAGTTCCCCAATGGTTGCAGCGGCGCCGTCGAATGAGGATGTTGTTGCTTCTTCTTGGCGATGTGCTTCATGCGCAACTTGCGCACGTTCTTCTGCATGATCATGTCAAGGTCGGCGTTGGCGTCGACAGAGCGACTGTCCAGTTCGTGGCGAGGAGACATGGTGGTGAGGCACAGATGGGAGGGAGCTACTGCAGCCGTGAGGAGCTGGGAGCGTCGGATGTACTGAAGAGAGGAATTTGAAAATGGGATTGTCAACACCAGAGAGGCGAAACAACTCGTTTTTTTTTCACCTGGCCAAATAGCCCAAAAAAAATTGTTTGGATGGATCCAAATCTCCACCAATCAAGCGTCGTGTAGACTCGTTTCTCGCCCTTGATTGGCTATATTTCAGTCACAAGAATCTTCTTTCCAATGGGGTATACAGTCGCCCTCCCACGATTCAACCTGCCTGCACTCGCTTGAACTCTTGTAAAGCATACTCTGTATGTTTCGGATTTGCTAATCTTGAAGTTCCTTTGTCTGTATATCGAAAAGAACCTGTGTATTCGAATACATCGTGGTTCTGAATTCATTCGATAGATTCATCTGGTTTCCTCTGACGTGAGATTTGGGTTTCTGTGTTGCTCACGTGAGCTCCTCCTCGTTGTCGTTTGACAGGGATTCGATACAAACCTTCACTGAGATGTTCTCGAGTGAACTGACGTTTGTACTACATCGCAAGGAAAATGCCGCCGTCGTGCCCATATTTCGGAAGGTAAAGATCCGCACACCCCAAACAATCCCCCGCAAGTAGCCTAGCCAGCCTATATTTATATCGACACCAGCGACGTGTGAATTGCACACCATTTCTATCAGAGAGACGAGTAAGAATGTGAGGCTGAAAAGTGTCGGTGGCTTCAACTTCACTTGGTGTTGATGGGCCACATCTTTGGCATGTGCAACCCCTTCCATTCTCATATTGCTGCAGGATTTTGTCCTCCATTTTTGCTGATGTCGTTCACAAATAGGACTCGATGGACATTCACCAGTTTTGCTAATTGTAAAGTCCTGTTTCGGGGTCTATTTAGGACATTTGCAGCGAAATATCAACACAAACTCCCAAGTTTCATCGGAGTTCCCTTGGCTCTACTTCAAGTTGACGTTCTGGGATTCTCAGCGAATCAAACTCCGCGTGGCCAAATCATGACTTCTGATTGGTGCAAAGATTTTCACCACCAGGCCACGTTGGCCGATGCACAATTGTGTCGGATACCTTAACCGGATCGCACCCAATCCCAGTTTCAAGATTCGCCATGATTCTCCATCGGTAATCTGCGGACTGGCGTGTCGGCGGCGCACATTGAGTACAAGTCTGCGTCGCCATGTTGCCCCTAGTCACACGCGTCATGCGCAATCAATCGCCTCGCCACCACCAGTGTGGAACCGCTGTCCACGTCCATGGCAACGTTATGTCTGCTGCGAGCGTCATAGTCACCTTTCTGGGGGTGTCGCCCGCATCCCATCGCCCTGAACCACATGGAAGGCTTCTGACGGGAGTTTAACCACTCTTAGTTATTATTATTGTGTGTGAACTATGCCTTGCAATTGCATCGTTATGGTCTACACGAGCAAGAAGGACTTCAACAGCTGGACATCGTCGTCTGTCCATGAATCTACCGTAGCTGCTTGGGCATTGTCGGTGGCATCATGGGCAGCGCTGTGTTGGTTGCTCGGGGCCTCCACCGCATGCTTCCACGACCGTTCCTCAACTTGCTTGCCTCCTTCTTTCCTCTTGAGCGCGGCAACATGGTGACGTTGTTGATTGATGACGGCGGCATTTGCCCCGAGTGGAGACATCCCTTGAGATGATGGCGCCGACACATGCTTGACATTCTTGTGCACGACAGGGCTATCATACGCGGACTTGGGGAGTCCACAGAGAAGCATGGAAGGGGCCACTGGCGGCAGCATTCCATGCGGGTACCCCAATCCGAATGTCCCGGGCGACGACGACGACGGCAACGAGGCTGCCACCGCGGACGGATGATGATGGTGTGGGACGGACGCGAGGTTGTTGTGGAACACGAGGGGGTTCAAGATCTTGTGATGGTGGTGGTGTTGGTGCTCGTAGTACATTTGATGGGCCACCGCCATCGTGACTTGCTTCTTAAACAGTGCTTTGACCTGGCTTCGCTCTTTCCGTCGCACGGCATGCAGCGACTGGTACTTTCGATCGCTGCGTCGTTGGATCAGGTTTTGCTTGACCCGGTGCTCTTCGCACAGCGAATGCGCTTGGCCGTTGCGTTTCAGCGTCCGCTCCTTGAAGCACTTGCCGGTTTTGTACTGGCACTTACCAATGAACCCTCCTGCATTGGACGGCGATGCCGTGGCGGTGGAGGATGGATGAAGCGACGCAAGAGATGGTTCGACAATGGTGGCCGCCGCCGTCGTCGTCGTCACGGACGGATCAACGGATGATGTTACCAGTGGCTTGCCCATGTGAATGTATTGGGAATGTCCACACCACGATGGTGCAATGCCAGCGTTTGGACTGCAGTAATACTATGGGAATGTGTCGCCGGCTAGCTTACGACATTGTACGTCCATCTAAACATAGCCGTCGAAGCGTGATGGGTGTATTGTATTATTATTATGTTGGTCGTGTTCAAGTGTACTATTATTAATAACTAGTACTATTTTGAGCTCCACTCGTGGCTATTTATATAAAGCATTGATGACGTGGCAGCACGCTCGTAAGGCACAAAAACCAACGACGTCGATCGTGTTATGAATAACACACTACTCCTGCCCCACGACATCGACTACAGCTAGCTAGCTCGCTGTATTGGACCCTTCTTCGTCAGTCAGTCAGTCAGCGTGTCGTGATTAGCCCTTCATGTGATCCTTGACAAAGTTGAACGAGTCGTCCCGCTTCATAAAGTCAAAGTTGGTCGCGTCCGTGGGTTCATGGATCGTCTTGGCAATGTATCCCGTGGGAATCATAGCCGCGCCAATCACTTGCGAAGACGACACGGGCAGTTTACCAAGGTATTGTTGTGGCTGTCCATATTGCGGCTGCTGTTGGTACTGCTGTGGAGGGTACTGCTGTTGCTGGTACAGTCCCAATGGTGGCTGCTGCTGATGTTGCTGTTGTTGCGGAGGTTGCAAGTACACGACATTCTGCTGGTGGAACTGAGGGGGACCTCCACCATAATACTGCTGCTGTTGTTGTGGTGGCGCGAGGAATTGGTTGGGGTTGTACGTGGGGTGCGCGGCATACGTCGGTTGTGGCTGCTGCTGCTGCTGCTGGACAGGAGGCTGTAGCAGCGGATCGAACGACGCCGCCACAGAATTCGCCGGCGTCTGGTTGTATGACGGAGACGGATCGGTGGAGGAGCTGCTGCTTCCCAACGACAAGCCCCCGAACATGTTGGCCGTGGCTTGCACCGACTGTGGCTGTTGCGTGTACTGCGGAGCCGCCGCGGCGGCGTGACCATCCACCGACGACGACGACGATGTTTGAAGCCCGGCAAACAACCCACCACTTGACGACGACGACGGGGGTACATTCGGGGCTTGGGAGGACGGCTGCGGCGGCGTGCTACTGGGGCTGTCAAAGCCGCCGAGGAGGTCGCCACTGGTGGCCGACGGCGCAGGGTTGCCACTGTTCCGGCGGGACGGAGGAGCCGTACTAGAAGTCGCCTTGCCCAACACGTGCAGAATCTTGACGGCGCGGTCGCGCACCGCAGCCTTGTCGGACGCGGTCGATACGTGGAGGATCATGTCGTAGTTGTCTGTAAAGTACTCGTGGAAGGTTTCGCACCCGTTGGTTGCCAAGAGTCCATCGATCACCGTCAGTGCCTTGGACACAACTTGCCATGACGAAGCATCCGTGCCGAGTAGTTCATCCAGGATCGGTCCGACCACTTCGGCGTCCAGCGTCAGCGCGCTCTTAAGGAACGCATCTAGCTTGTCCTTGGGCGGGACGGCGCGCATGCCGCCCGGGGCGCACAGCCCTTGGATGATACCTCGTTCGTACGCGCCATCCGACGACGCCCCGCTGCGACCAAAAGTTTGTTGTGGCTGAGCACTACTAGTAGAAGGCGGGGGGGCCGTAGCAGACGGACGCCGCACGTACTGTTGTTCTTGAGCCCATTCGTTTTGAATGCGCTCGGCCGGGCGGGGTCCGTCGTCGCTTTGTCGTTGAGACGGACGATGCTGAGGGGCGGCTTGCGAAAGCGTCGGCGTCGGCAGGCTGTCCCACACTCCGCCGACGCGCCCTTTCTGCCGCTCGCCTTCGTATGCGCGATCGCGCAGCTCTTGCGACTTGTGCTGACGCGATTCGGCCTCGGACGAATCGGAATACGTCAAGCCCGACGACGGCGCCGCATAAGACGACGTGGGGCCCGTGTACCCGCCGACTTGCGACGTGTTGTAGGGCGGTGGGGGCTGGTGGTTGGGGCGGTACGGCTCGGATGGGTTGTACGTTGACGGCGCGTTCGGGTTGAATGCCCCGGAGGTCGGGCCGCGGTTGGTGGAGAAACTCCATCCGTCCGGCGCAGAGTGGGACCCGGGTGGGGCGCCGGCAAACGTGACTTTGGGCTCGCTTTTAAACGATACCTTTTCCTTCAACCCTTCAAAAAAGCCTTTGCTGCCTTCGCCTACCCACAATGGAATGACCGTGTGTGAGATATGGTGGGGGGGTCATGACGAGGGGGGGAAGGAAGGGGGGGTACCTTTCTTGTCTTCAAAGATGGGGTTGCCCAAGCCGGTCATGCCCGGCGGAGGGGGGTAGTTACCTCCTGGGTGTCCACCACCCGGGTTGCTGCCATAAGGAGGCAACGGACCGCCAGGATACGAAGGAGCGGCGCCGCCGTACCCCGGCGGCTGCTGCTGCTGCTGGGAAGGGTATTGGTTGGCGTCGCTACCAGGGTACGCCGGACCGTTGTACCCACCAGGGTACCCTCCCGGGGCATCGTACCCCGCCGCAGGGGGGCCCGACGTGTTGTACGCGCCAGGCACTTGAAACTGTGTCGGGGCGTTGTCCTTGGAGCCCCTGTTGAACCATCCAGACGCCTGCGGGGCAGCTTCGGGGTTACCCACCCCTTTGATACGGGTCGAGATGCCTGCGACGGCATTCACATTCGTGTCAAAGATCGCGTCCAAGCAATCTTTTGCAGCATCACGGACGCGGCGGTAGTACTCGTCGCCGCGCAACGGATCAGGCGGGCCGCGGAACTCTACAATGGCCATGATCATCCCAACCGAGTATCACGTGTGCGCAGGGAAAGATACGCGCACTAGTACGTACGAAGGGCTTCCTTGACAGTCGGCACATGTTTTTGCATTTCCCGACGAAACTCTTGTCGTCCCTCGCGGCAGATGTGCTTGATGACTTGGAGCGCCTTATACTTGATGTTGGGCTTGTTCTTCTTCAGGCGACCGATCAGGTACTCCTGGACCTTCAAGCACGTGTCGAAGGAATGCTGTGTCATGCGGGCGATCTCCCCATACAGGTATCCCGGTGTGGGTGAGTCCGAGTCCTCCGTCGCGCGCGCCAGTACGTTCTTGTCCATCTCGCCAGCCTCTCCCAAAATGAGCCACGAAGTAAGGGCAAAGTGTCCGGATACCGCTGTCGAATGGGGTGCTTCCAGCAAACCCCTGCAAAACTACATACTGTACTACTGTACTTCAGCTTCCCTGTGAAACCTGTATCAAATTATAAGTCGATAAGAAAAATTATAACTCCCAAATACGAATGCCAGCTTGGTGTAGTGGTTATCACATCTCGTTTACACCGAGTAGGTCGCCGGTTCAATCCCGGCAGTTGGTATTCCTTTTTTCTTGGCAAACATTGCAATTGACGACATTACCTCATGAATCGTAGTACCCCATACTGGTACAGCATCTATACACTTGAGGGCTTATGTTTCGGAGTTTCGGGCACAACTGGACCCGACGTATCGTTGGGGCCTTCCATTGTTTCTCATTGGTGAAGGGCATAAAATAATGTCATACTGGTACTGCAGTAGTTAGCACAGAGTCCTCACAAACTATCAAGTTATGACGACGAGGGCGTTTTGCGTGTGCTTAATTTACTGTTAATGTGATATATGGCAGATTTCATGGCTATCGAATGAGGTGATTACTGTAATCACAAAGTAGCTGACTGCGACGTTGACTATTACTACGTACTGTAGTATAACAGTGTTCACAAAAGTACTTTCAACCACAACGCGAGGATGCACCTCGAATTACCTCAATGCATTGGACGCCAAGGTCAATTTCAAGGGGATTTTGGCTGAGACGATATCTCACAGACCGACAAGCCTAAAGCGTCCAAATTCCTTAACGTTCATGAAAATTATCGAGCAGAAAACACAGACGCAGAGAAAAGAGAGAGTTTTAACGTTTATAGTACCCGTACGCAACGCTGGCAATTTACTATTTCTGATGTGGTTAATCAGTGCAGGAATGTAGTATTTAAATGGAAAACCAATGGCTGGTTTGAACGACGACCTATACCTATACCCGGTGTACTAGTACTAGTATAGTAAATGAGATGTGATAACCAGCTAACGTAGTAAATGTAGTACGTACAGTTCACCAAGCTGGCATTCGTGAACGAGATAAGCCAAGCAATCACAACTCACAACAATGGCGTTGTGGCGCCAAAAATATGAAAGTTCAACCCTTGCCTAGCCAATGTTTTTAGCAATATTTACAGTAAACATTACAGCAATCCTTCACTATCAGGTGCTGCAGACAATGTAAATTAGTGTAGTTTACAGTTAGATTACATGAGGGATTTTGCTTGATGCCAATGCGCTCATACCATCCCATCAGATGGTTTGAAACGTTCTTGTGGTGGGCGACCAACAAGAGGGAGTTTGTTTAGTCGCTAAAAGTAAAAAAGAAATAGCACTTCCTGGTTTCGATCCAGGGACCTTTGGGTTATGAGCCCAACACGCTTCCTCTGCGCCAAAGTGCTATGTTTGAATTTCTTGAAAAACTTAATACATATGGGCAACTATTCAAATTCTAAGGGTACACCGACATTGTTTACTTTTTTGATATTGAGCTTGACCAAAATTACGGCGATCGTGTTAGCTTGTGTTCAAATCATGACCCAATACCTTGCTGCCAAAATTAATTCGTGCCGAGCTCACCGAAAACGACATCACCCCACGATCCAAGAATTGCATTACAATGCAAAGGGGGTACTTCTGTATCACGACCTTTATTAAGAGATCAACCACATAATTTTGCCCTCATTGGGGGCAAGTTGAACTTGTTATAATACTTCGAAGTACTTCAGGGGTGTATTACTTATTGTAGCCCCCCCTGATTAATTAGAACAAGAACACCAGTCAGGACTTGTGTCCAAGTGGACGCGAAATTGCCCCAACAAATGACAGACCAACACTACTGTATTTCGCATGATATTCTCAGTTTTTCACTCACTGTCAATCCAATGAATGTGTACTATTTGTAGCAGTAACGTTAACGTTAGGGTCGAAGAGTTGCGATTGGTATTGTTATGTCAACGATTAACATACGTAGCACTTTGGCGCAGAGGAAGCGTGTTGGGCTCATAACCCAAAGGTCCCTGGATCGAAACCAGGAAGTGCTATTTCTTTTTTACTTTTAGCGACTCTACAAACTCCCTCTTGTTGGTCGCCCACCACAAACCATCCAATGGGATGGGTGAGAGCGCATTGGCATCAAGCAAAATCCCTCATTTACACGAACTACGTTGTCCACAAGTTTGCGGCACCCGAAGTACTAGCGTAATGCAAAAATGCACAAGTGTTTGATCAAAACCTTGTCGATGTATTCAGTGACCACTTGGACGAAGAGTTGAAGTTTCATGCACCACGCCATTGTCGTAAATGATTGGTTGTTTTGAATATACTGCAGCTTTGAAATAATGCTTCTAACATGGATGCCAGCTTGGTGTAGTGGTTATCACATCTCGTTTACACCGAGTAGGTCGCCGGTTCAATCCCGGCAGTTGGTATTCCTTTTTTCTAACTTCGAAGTACTTTTTCGCATGGTGGACATCCCAACCTAGGTATCAATGCGCAAATAGCAATTCAATGTAACGTAAGAGCAGATGGACAACCCCATTTTCCTTGACAAGTCTTTTTTGCCAAGTGCCCCCTATAGCGCATATTAATAGATCCCCACCACGATGCCAATTTCAGCTGCTGCCGCCGTGCCGCCAGAGGTCATCACGATCTTTGTCCGCTTGTGTCAACGCAATGCCACCGACAAGTTCACGACCCACGTACATCCCCAAGCGACGGTGGAAACCCTCCAGCGCTTTCTCGTATCGCAATGGCATATCACCAAGAATCCGCTCAAGGACGCACCGTTGACTGGCCACGTGTTTAGCTTCCGTGGCCGCATCCTTCGCCACGACACCAACCTGGACATCTACTGTACGAACCATGTTCTCATGACGTGGCAAGCTCCCGCTCCTGTATTGGACCTTCAAGCGTCGACACATACACTGAGAGTGATCTCGTAGATGTCCACGACCAAGACTCGTTGTACCTTCGGTTTCCAGACATGGGCCCCATCTCGACACCATGGGCGTTGTCCACCAGTGAACTGCGCGACGAGCTGATTAGCCGCGGGGCGTACCAGCCTAATCTCCGCCCCGAGCAACTGGTACCCTAAATCCATTAGTGTATTTGGCTCGAATCTTCTACTTTCCATACCACCCGTCATTTCCCCCAAGTTAACCCCCCTACAGAGCCCTCTTCTACTGTAGCGATCCTTGTACTAGCCCTCGTTTGATGACGTGGCACTTCCAATCACTTTCTCTCTTCTCTCGTTCGATAGATGCATAAACTACAAGCGTTGCTGCAGCGCGAGAGTCGGCTGGAGCGGCTTCAGGTAGCGACCAAACGTGGCCGCGCCGACGACGTCCGTGCCATCACACAGGAACTGAAAGCCCTCGATGCCCAAGCAAACCAACGTCACACATACGACGATACACTGGAGAGTTGTCGCCCCAGGTCAATTCGGTGGCCGTCCCCTCCAAGCGCACACCGCACCGTGTTTTGCTCTCTGTCGCAGCTCGAACGCAACTACGAGAAAATCCCTCGCGATGTGCTGGAACAGGCGCTGTTGATCCTCGACGCCGACCGCAGCTGGGTGTTTCAGCCCCACAACACGCTGCAAAAGGCGTCGTTTGACTACAAGTACATGGCGTTTGCCAAGGATTTTATGAATTTGCTCGTGTTTAAAGAAGAAGCGCGCCTCGTGTTTTGGTTTCAGGTAAGGTGATTCATGTAATTACCGGCCAGCTTGGTCTACTTTCTGAGTGGCATAACTCGTCACCCATTCATCCAATGAGGCTGCGAAAACATGCATTTTGAAGATCGTGACGAGCTTTATAACTTTATGCAGGTCCCATCATTTGTATCGCATGGTCAATTTGCTCGTCGAATTTCTAAAATTGAAATTTCCCTGTGTGAATTTAATTCCCGGCCAGTAAGTCACTTGAATAATGTATACCTGATTTGGGTGACAAAATCCTCAGAACCTCTTAATAATGATATGTATAAATTATTCAAGTATTTAAATTTAGAAGTGCAACTAATATAAAAACTGTATTACATGTTGGACAAACAGAATATTTACATGAATCACCTTACGCCATATTCCCGTTGTCGCAGAATATATATATATATCAGTTTTTGCCCCTGGCTGGTATTATTACATGACGAGCAACTATTGAATCGATATTTGTCTAGTGTAGCCGGAAAAGAACTATCAAGCGCTGTCGGCGTTCTTGACGTCGACGGTCGACCCTGTCACAGGCAAACCGTACCTCCCCCTCACGGTGGAGCCCAATCGATGGCTCACGATGGGAGGTCAAGACGGCTGGGAAGGCAAGGTCCGGCGAGATGGCCGCCGCAAAACCACTCGCGCGATCCCTATCTTCACCCCGTACGATCAAAACATATCGATCTCCATGAGATTCTACGTCAACGAGAACTATGGACTTACGGCTACCTTGATCGTAGGAGCATCCAGCGCATTGTGACCAACCTGCAGTCCAAGAGCTTTGACGTGCTTGCTGTCAAGGAGATGCTGGCGCAAGCAAACTCGACCCTTCGCTTTGGAGATGACGTTGGAATGTCGTAACGAAGCAAAGTAACAAGTGCAACAAGTACACAACATGCACATACAGACATAGAACGCTCAGCGGGAAGCCTGGAGTGGTTGTGGTGCGAAGACGAACTTCTCTTCTACGCGTGAATGGCCAAAAGCCATTCGGCGTAGAATACCACAGCCACCCACGGGCTGGATCGAATGTTGTCGCGGAGGGACAAAGTGAGGGGGCTCTCCGTGATGACGGAGGATGGAAAGACTACGACAGTTGACGCAAAGACCGCACACCCTTCGCCCAGTGTCTTACTTTGTTCGGGGCGGGCTGTTGTGTGGAGGCATCCCCATGTGAGAAAACACAGAAACGAACACAACCCGACATGAGGCATCCCACAGTGGTTTCGGGGTTTAGGAGATCCCATCAGGACCCCCAGAGTGCCAAGGATGCCCGGCCATCACGTCAACTTCGCGCTAAACTTCCATCGCCTCCCCTCGTCTTCCATGCGCCTCCAGGATCAATGGCATCACTGCGTTGACGAGAATCGCCGAAATGCCAGTTAAATGGTATCCGGATAAGAAAAACTACCTAAAATCTCTCATTTATTTCATTTATAAAGTACATACTTCGAAGTATCTATTACCTACTGAAGGGTTTTCAGGTAATTATGGACAAGTTCATCACCAAGTCCACCAAGCGCGCCGCCTCGGCCGGCGACGATGGCGATAATGCCAGTCATACCTCTACGAACAAGAAAGTCAAGTCGGAAAGTATCTCGGCTCCTGCCGTGGGTGATTGCACATGGGAGACGATTGGAACGGTGCTGTACATGCACAACATCCCCCGAAGCACAGGTGCTCCAATTGCAGACAACACGCTCGCATCGATAGCAGCATTCGACATGGATAGCACGTTAATCTCGACGAAAAGTGGCAAGACGTTCCCCACAAACGCGAACGACTGGAAGTTCTGGAACGAGTGCGTCCCCGCCAAGTTGCGGGCCCTCGTCGCGGACGGGTACCACGTCGTGATCTTCTCCAACCAAAGCGGGTTGTCCAAGGGCCGGGTTGGCGCCACCGAGCTCAAGGTAACCTCCTTCTCCTCGCCGCCGTCTTCCTTGTCCAATCCTTTCCACCATGGATCATGCGTGCGTCCGTTGTATATACGTCGCAGACCAAAATCCAAGCGATTGCCGCCCAACTCAACCTTCCGCTTCGCGTGTTTCTCATGTCCGCCGACGATCATATGCGGAAACCTCGAACGGGCGCGTGGAAGCTCCTGGTAGAATACTTTGTACTTATCTTCGCACACTCCATGTTCAACCACTCGTGCATATGTAGCTCGACCACTGCAGTCTCAATGTCGATGCCGCCACCAGCTTTTACTGCGGCGATGCAGCTGGGAGACCGAAAGGTAGCGGAGATGGCCCGCGCCGCCGCCGTCATACTCTGTAGTATTGTCCTCTTACCCATTTGTTGGGCTTGAGTCGATCGATTGTTTGTACTGATTTTGCATGTAAAAAATGTCATGCCAAGCACACTATTTGAAGTCACACACTAATTCGATGTTGATGCGATCTGATTGGCTCGATACGTCTGCCGATGATGCTTTGGTTCATTATTTGGTTGTGTCGAATCACATTCATTCCATGTCGCTCCAGTTTAGAATTCACAAATGTATATATATATATATATATATATATATATATATATAAAGGCCGACGGACTTGCATGTAGCGCCAGGGAAGCCGAAAAAGGACTTTTCATGCGCCGACTACAAGTTTGCACTTAACGTTGGCGTGCCGTTCCACACTCCCGAACGGTTGTTCTTGCAGTCCACGCTGGTAAATTACTATTTATATATATATATGCTTATGCATTCTAAGCGATATACAGTACATACAGATTCGATAAATATATACTTCGAAGTATATATATATATATATATATATGCATTTGTCTATATATGTTTATGCACTCTAAGCAATATACAGTACATACAGATTCGATAAATATATATTTCGATATATATATGTTTGTTCCAAGGTCAATGTAATCAGCACAATATTTAAATAATACAATAAACTGTATTGAAAATATAATTGAAAATTTAATTGAACATGGCCATTGAAGTATCCTATATATTATATATATGATATTTTATGGGTGAGTAGAGCCTCCATTGCAAAGAATCGTCGTTCGACCTTGGCTTTGATCCGAGGACATTACTCCATCCAGGTAAGGTACATGATTAAATGTCGTTGAATACGTGCGATATATATATATATATATATATATATATACATTTTGAAACGTATTTCATACTATTTCGCCCAAATACTATTCAATTGACACTTGGTATCATAACTCGTTTTATTCAAACCTAGTAACCACACTAATCGTGACACCACACGACGCCCAGGAGATGGTGGTGCTGGTGGGAAGTCCAGCGTCGGGCAAAAGCTCGTTTTGCAAAGCGTATTTTCCCGGTACGACAATATACATATATATATCAACAAGTTGTATATATTGCCGTTTTACCCAAAATTTGGTTGACTTTTGTGCTGCTGATTCGCCAAATCTATCGATCGATTCTTTGTATGTTAAGATCGTCCAGTATCGCACTAATTTTAGTCACACACTAGTTCAATGTTGAATTGGTCTACGAGTGGATTTGATTGGCCACTTGATTCTTGATGTGGGTTTTGATTGGTCGTATATCGATTTGGTTATTCTGGTCATTTGATTGAGCACCACCCAAACACTCGAATTTCGAATAATCGACTTTAGAATTTCAAGTGTTGGACTTTTCATTCTTTGCGAGTTGGTTGCCAACAGAGTCACAAATAGTACAACAACTTGCTTACCCATTTGAAACCACTTGGAGGGGGATTCTGCTACAGAATAGCTTACCGAACAGTAAATAGGCTATGCCCGGATCAACCAAGACACGCTGAAAACGGCTGCGAAATGCAAAGCAGCGGCACAGGACTTGCTCTCCTCCGGCCGTAGCATCGTTGTCGACAACACGAACCGCGACGTCAAGGTAGGCCACGTCCGCCCTTTGTTTTTCTAGTTCAATCGCTACATTCCCTCAATATAAAGAGCACTCCAAATCAATCATACCACACATGCAATCAACATGTGCTCGAATAGACGCGGGCCGAGTGGGTCGCGTTGGCGAGAACGAATGTACGTGCCTCGATTCGACTTGTATTTATATTTGATGGACACGCCTCGAGCTTGTATATATATATCTCAACGCCATGTTTAAATATATATATATATATATATGGTTGGGTGTATGTATATTTAAAGTTGGGGTTTATTTTGGACCAAATATTGGATAATATTTTCTTATTTTTAAATATATATATATATATATATGATTGCGTGGGTGTAGAATATATATCTATATCCTCTTGACCACATCTTGGGTGGCGTTAGAATGTTCCCGTGCGTGCGTTTTATTTGGACGTAACGAAGCCAGTGGTGTTTCACTTGAACGAGTTTCGCATGCTGCTCAAGGAACGACATCCGGATGATCCGGATCTGGCCAAACCGAATGTGCCGGATATGGTCATCCACGGCTTTTTCAAAAACGTCCAAGTGCCCACGGTACGACTACTACTACTAGTACTACTAGTCCATCTACTACTACCATTGCCCACTTGATGCATATTCCACAAAAGCGTACAACTGCCACGAGTCCTCTCCGTTTCTCGGCGACCAATGGATACACAATAATATATATATTTTTGCATGATAATATTTCTTTTTCTATCTGGTATAGGTCCAAGAAGGATTTGGGTCGGTCGAAGTTGTACCATTTGTGCCCCTGCCATATCTCGTGCAAGGAAATACAACAGCAGACGACTCCACAGGACCAACCCGTGGCGCCCTGGACGACCAAGACAAGGTCCTCTTGACGTCGTTTCTGCTGGGGTAATCGACTTGTAAAAATATGTTTAAACAACTATTTTTTACTGGGCGAGAATCCCGCGAAGCACTGCGGCTTCGGCGGCCATGTCGTCCACACTTCGACACACACGAACGTCGTCGTCCTGTGGGTCCAAGTCGAACGACGGACGGGTCGCGTCGTGCGTAGCCAGCTACAAATCATACACAGCGCACATATTAGTACATATAAAAAAATCAAAATAATACTAAATATTGTCAATATGCGATTCGAAAGTGCAGGGTCGAAAGAACGTGGCAAAGACAATCGAGCAACCAATCAAAACCCAGAACACGAATCAAGTAGCCAATCGAACTCTTGTATTGTCCTTTTAAAATTTGGACTAGTCCAACTTCGAATCGCGTTAGGAATGAAATTAGGATTACTAATAGTACTGTACAGTACATTTAGTTCAAACAACTATCGATCGATGGATTCGGTGGATCAAGAGTCCCAACTCGAAAATATGACTGAACGGTCTATATATGATAAACTCATGTACATGTATCATCTACCTATCCCACGGGCTCTGCCAATGAATTACAAACGGGGAATCATATCTAAACACATTGCGTACGTGGTCGTAGATGTCGTCGTTGCGGCGGAAATCGTGCATGTGACGCGGTAACACGTGTATGTGACAGTGCGGTACGGTTTGGCCCGCGACAGCGCCATCCTACCCCACCATTTGAACGTTCAATCACGTTGTCCCTTGGCGACTCTTCTGCGGTGGCGTGTATACAAATGGACGGTTATCTATGGCGTATACTTACTTGAATGGAAAACGTATACGCTTCCGCATTGTAATGCGCTTGCAATCGCTTGGCAACGTGCTACCATACCATCATACTTCGTCAAAAACAGCTACTATTAATAGTAGTGCCAAACACCAGCAGATAAATACTAGTACAGCAGTAAAGCAATCAACTGCAAGAGATGGCCAAGCAACTACCGTGTCCTCCTGCACTTTAATACACATATTATTGTGTTTATTCTAAACTGGAGCGACATAGTGTAGGACTTTAATTAGTGTGATTGACATCACCACAGGGTACAAAGAATCGATCAATAAATTTGGCGAATCAGGACAATACCTGAGCGGCATGCCACAGATCGGCGACTTCGTCCCCGTCCAAGTCTAGGAACCGCGCCACGCGACGCTTGGGAATGACGAGCACATGCCCTGCCAAGAAGAATAGCGTCGTCATGATAACACATCGAGACACTTTATCATTACGAATCTCGCCATCGAACCTTTGAAACAGGGGTAAAGTGGTATTGTACATGTCATAGTAGTACCTGGCACGATGGGTTTGAGGTTTACGAGGCCGACGGACAGGGTCGACGTGTAAAACACTTCGGATTGGCGAATGGGATACGGTCCAAACTGTGTCCAGTGGGGATCCAATGCATGCGGAAACCCCAGCAACGCTACGTGACACACACACTCAGTGATAGCACCAATGCTATGTATGTTCGACGACGGGAGTCCCACCTTGGACAAACGCGTCGGGCGTGTCCATGTCGACATCGCGGAGGACGTCGTCGATCGCCACGTTTCCCACGGCCACAATGCCCGGTGGTCGAAACGACAACGTTCGATCGCTCGACACTTGCAAAAACGTTGTCGCGTCTTGGAAAAACGTCTGCGATGACGTTCGAAGGTGGTTGGACGCTCGAGATTTGGCATGTCCTACCTCGTGTTGGGTGCTACGAAAGACAGACGAGGAGATGGTCGCGTCAGTCGTGGTCCGGACTAACGCGGCGGTGGCGTTGGCCGGCGACGTCAACACACCCACGCGAAAGCCGCACTTGACCAACGCCGGCACAGCCACATCCAACGACGACGATGGCTACAAACATGTCTGAACCAAGAACAAGCTTGACGAGTACGACGTACATGGCACGATGTAAGGTCCAGAAGCACCAGGCGAATGTTGCGCTGTGTCACGAATTGCGCCAGCCGTTGCAACATGATGGGAAATGTTGATGACAGGCTTACTGGCACGACCACATCTGCGAAAGCTAGTATACTAAGCTCAAGTCAAGGTGCATTGCGTCCTAAACCCACTCGTCGTGCGTTGTCCTTAGCTTGCTAATACTCCGGAGTACTACTGTAGGGGTCGTCACACTAGGACCTACTACAAAACAATGGCAGTGGCGCACACTTTGGTTCTAACTTATACGTATAGAATGTAGACACGTAGCCGGGGGCGGTATACTCGTATCTTGCACGAACTCGCTGACAAAGTGGCACACCAGTACAACGTAGTTTACGAGCAGCGTTGGAGTACATATATACTAACATTACCACCTGAAGCTATGTACCTCTATTTACTCCAAGATGGGCACCGCGGCTACCATTGCGCGCTTTCTGTATGGATCCATGTCCGGTACGTCCTTGAGCACATTATCGTCGTCGTGTGCAACCACGGGCACCCGCCATGTCTTAATGTCCAGCACATATTACATGCATCGTTTGATTGAACGATGTCGCAAGGAGCCCACACATGAACGCCGATGCCTTGTCCAAGTACAACGTGTTGTTGTATATCCACAGCTCTTTGTAGTACACATACAACGTTGTAGCCTTCGACGACCCTGCCTCCGGCCACGCTGTACACGATCGTGACGAACGTGACGAACGTGACGACAAAGATGATGTCCGTCGTGTACCGGATGCACACGAGACAGTAGAATGCTGCGTTGGACGGAATTTTCAAAGGATTGCCAAACGTCGTGTGGTTGCGGAATGAAGTTGGAGAGCAATGTCATGGAGCCGTCATCCATCTGGAAGGACACGACTTCGCGGAACCCACTCACCCATTCGTGTATCAAGAACCACCCGACGAGCTGGAACGGCGCGTCTTATTCGTCAAAGTGACTGGCCCACCACAGCTCCACGTCACCAGACGTCTGGTCTTCGTAGTGAGCCACGTACTGCATGACCCGAATGTCCAGCGGTCACGGCAGCGATGCCTTGAGATCTTGCGCTTGACGATACATCGCCGTACGTCGCTAGCCAGCGTAGGAGCGGCAGAAAGTTGTCCACACACGATTTGAACGGACTCGCGACATTCGAGCACGCATCTCGAATGGTCACACAAGAAGAAGTTGTGGGGGATGTACACGGCTTGAGGGCTCCCCACGCGACCAGCGCAAACAAAAACGAGGCGCGGTTGACGGCAAAGGGCTCCAACACCATCGCCCCGCACACAGCACTGACGCTGAAGAGGGGTAGAATGCTAGTAGAATGGTCCTGCGTGCTGCGTTGCGCTGAGACAAGGGCACGCCCTGGACAATCACCTGAACAACGTGGAAACGGCGACTCGCACGAACCGGACGGACGCGGACGCGGCAGCGTGGGCCGACCTCGAGGCCCAGCACTCGATTGAGGGTGAGGCAATGCGGCTGCGGTGGACCCAGCGCAAGAACGACTTTGAAGAGCAAAAACAGGGCGCACAGAGCACACTCCCCCCCAACGTCGCCGCGTCTTGGAGGTGCCTGTTGGTTGGCATCGGGTAAAGATACCGCACCGTACACGTGGTGGCCACTCGGGCCGTGGCATTGGCTTGTTGCGTCGACAAGTCCAAGCCACTCACTTGATGAACCAGGTCCTATATCGGTTGCGGAATCGGAACGTGGATCATGTCTGTGGATCATGTCATAACCAGGTCCTATAACGGTTGTGGAATCGGAACGTGGATCATGTCTGTGCTTCCAAATGGCCCCTGTCCGGTGCACACTAGGGTTAACCCTGCGTTCAGCGGCGTCGAGCGACTGGTTCATTGTTATCGCCCTTCAATGGAAGCGTTTGGTAGACGAATGCGGGGCTTCTTCGAAGGAGACTCGACCCCGACCATGATGTTGAGTTGGCAACCACCAAGTCGGTGGCCCATCCCCAATATATCTTTCGTGTCGTTTTGTACTCGAACCGATACCGCCCCCTCCTTGTGGTCTTTAATGTCAACGGGTATGGTGCACGTCATCTATGAACTAACTTTTCACAAAATTTTCTGACTTCTATTTCATATTCATTTCTCAAAATTGCAGCAAATTGAGACGTATAATCGACAGATCTCAATGTGGTGAAGAAATTCTACGTCTCAGATTCAAATTTGGTGATGAATTGGTCCAGAAATAGATATTTAACCTAGCGGTATTTTACATGGGCGCTTGGATATTTGGCCATAGGGGTGGCCGCTC